TGGGGTCCTGGGTGTACACCCACCACCGGAGCGGAAGAATGGCAGGCGCATCTTACAGATCACTAGTCGATGGTCAGAGGGCAGATCAGCTCCACGGTAGGTCCTGGTGTCAAGGACATGGGCTCGCATCCGCTGGTCCGTCACTATGTAGTCCAGCAGCTGTTCTTGCTTGGACCCGGCATGCATCCATGATGTTGTGTGGATGCGCCGATGCCGGAACAGCGTGTTGGTAATTACAAGCCCATGGGCTGCACAAAAATCTAGCAGCCTCCTACCGTTGTTATTGAGCTGATCTGGCCCATGCCCTCCAATCACTCCAGACCAGGTGCCAGCATCATGACCCACTCGGGCATTGAAGTCACCCAACAAGATAACTCTATCCCGAGGGGCCACTTTAGCCAGCACCTGTGACAGGAGGTCATAGAAGGCATCTGACTCATCGGCTTTGCCTGCATCCCTCGACGGATGTTCGTCTTCGGTGGGGGCATAAGTAACCACGACCACCACTTCTCACCTCCGGTTGATGGGAGGGCGAGCCCAAAGTAGCCTGGGGCTTACAGCTTCCCACACCTCACCGCCACGCTCCCACGCCCCCTTCATTCTTTTGTTCATAAGAAGAGCCACACCCTGTTGTTTGACAGTCTGCTGCCCCGAGTAAAGGACTGTCCACCCTTCATGATGGCAGGAGCCCCTGAGGGTAGAGATTAAATCTCCTGGCTCCGCCAATTGGGGTTTGGCCAGGAGACGTCATAGACGCCTGTCCCCCCGGGGCCTCCGGCACAAGCTTATTAGTTAGATATTTTAGACGTGGTTTAGTGGTAAATTTTTGAAGATGGAGGGGTTACCAGCCCCTTGCACCCGTCCAGAGCCCCCATTTAGCCACTGTGGTGGTCACAGATGCCATGAGGGCAGGAGCCAATCGGAATTGGCCCTCCCCCCACAGCACTGTCCACGACAGAGTTGCCCGTTTGGCACCGCGAGGAGGCAGGGGGTTGTTTTGCGTGCGACACACACACACACACACAGTCACACACACAGTCACACACACACACACAGACACAAGAACAACAACAGCAATTCGCCACTAAGTGGCGGTGACGTCACCACGACACTTGTGCCAGGCTATGTGCACCTTGAGGCCACGTGAAGTGTCGAACGCCCACGGGCAGGAGGTCATGGGGCAGACCCAGGTGCCACGGGTCGACTACATGACCCAGCCAATGCAGCCTTCCCTGCCGGAGGAGCTCACCGATGGGACCTTGCCCAGATCTTTCAAGGATTTGTGAGCTCCTCACACAATCCAACCTGGTTAAACCCAGGATGGATCGTAGGCAGGCCAGCCTAAATGTTTCTAACCGGCGAAGATGTTCCATTAGGGGGGACCACGTTTCGCAAGCGTAGAGAAGGGAGGGAATGACCGTGGCCGAGAAGACCTGAAGCTTAGTGCGGAGCGACAGACCAGGTAGCTTCCACACAGCGTTACGCAACCGATGAAAAGATATTGCCACTCGACTGATTCGGAGTGAGACCTCTGCTGTTAAACTGGAGCCAGTCATAAGCACACTGCCCAGGTATGGGACACACACACACACATGACACACACACACACATGACACACACACACACATGACACACACACACACATGACACACACACACACATGACACACACACACACATGACACACACACACATGACACACACACACACATGACACACACACACATGACACACACACACATGACACACACACATGACACACACACACAGGAGCTCACTTTAATATACAAACTTTACTGATAAGAAATATTGTACAGGCAACACCGCGCGTGACACACGGCCGTCGTGAACCCCACCCCCAAGTGACACGCCCCTCCCCCCTAGTGACACGCCCCTCCACCCTAGTGACACGCCCCTCCCCCCCCCAGTGACACGCCCCTCCCCCCCCCAGTGACACGCCCCTCCCCCCCCTTAGTGACACGCCCCTCCCCCCTAGTAACACGCCCCTCCCCCCCCAGTGACACGCCCCTCCCCCCCCCAAGTGACACGCCCCTCCCCCCTAGTAACACGCCCCTCCCCCCCAGTGACACGCCCCTCCCCCCTAGTAACACGCCCCTCCCCCCCCAGTGACACGCCCCTCCCCCCTAGTAACACGCCCCTCCCCCCCCAGTGACACGCCCCTCCCCCCCAGTGACACGCCCCTCCCCCCCCCAGTGACACGCCCCTCCCCCCCCCAGTGACACGCCCCTCCCCCCCCAGTGACACGCCCCTCCCCCCCAGTGACACGCCCCTCCCCCCCCCAGTGACACGCCCCTCCCCCCCCCAGTGACACGCCCCTCCCCCCTAGTAACACGCCCCTCCCCCCCCCAGTGACACGCCCCTCCCCCCTAGTGACACGCCCCTCCCCCCTAGTAACACGCCCCTCCCCCCCCCAGTGACACGCCCCTCCCCCCTAGTGACACGCCCCTCCCCCCTAGTGACACGTCCGTCTTGAACCACCCCCCCCCCCCCCCCCCAGTGACGTCGGAGGTTGGGCTTCCCAGAATGCACCGCAGAGAGAAGTCCACTTCCACCCAACAACTTCCTTCTCCTCCTCGTGACCCCTGACCTCGATGAGGTGGGGGCAGCCCTCACCTCATCCCCCCTCCCCCTCCTCCCCCCCCCTGCTGTGAGGAGGAGGAGGAGAGCGGAGCTGAGGGATGCTCCGGGCTGTGGCGGTTCTGTGGGCACAGGGAAGGGTGACTAGAGGGTGACTAGAGGGTGACTAGAGGGTGACTAGAGGGTGACTAGAGGGTGACTAGAGGGTGACTACAGGGTGACTAGAGGGTGACTAGAGGGTGACTAGAGTGACTAGAGGGTGACTAGGAGGAGGAGAGCGGAGCTGAGGGATGCTCCGGGCTGTGGCGGTTCTGTGGGCACAGGGAAGGGTGACTAGAGGGTGACTAGAGGGTGACTAGAGGGTGACTAGAGGGTGACTAGAGGGTGACTAGGAGGAGGAGAGCGGAGCTGAGGGATGCTCCGGGCTGTGGCGGTTCTGTGGGCACAGGGAAGGGTGACTAGAGGGTGACTAGAGGGTGACTAGAGGGTGACTACAGGGTGACTAGAGGGTGACTAGAGGGTGACTACAGGGTGACTAGAGGGTGACTAGAGGGTGACTAGAGTGACTAGAGGGTGACTAGGAGGAGGAGAGCGGAGCTGAGGGATGCTCCGGGCTGTGGCGGTTCTGTGGGCACAGGGAAGGGTGACTAGAGGGTGACTAGAGGGTGACTAGAGGGTGACTAGAGGGTGACTAGAGGGTGACTAGAGGGTGACTAGGAGGAGGAGAGCGGAGCTGAGGGATGCTCCGGGCTGTGGCGGTTCTGTGGGCACAGGGAAGGGTGACTAGAGGGTGACTAGAGGGTGACTAGAGGGTGACTACAGGGTGACTAGAGGGTGACTAGAGGGTGACTACAGGGTGACTAGAGGGTGACTAGAGGGTGACTAGAGTGACTAGAGGGTGACTAGGAGGAGGAGAGCGGAGCTGAGGGATGCTCCGGGCTGTGGCGGTTCTGTGGGCACAGGGAAGGGTGACTAGAGGGTGACTAGAGGGTGACTAGAGGGTGACTAGAGTGACTAGAGGGTGACTAGAGGGTGACTAGAGGGTGACTAGGGTGACTAGAGTGACTAGAGGGTGACTAGAGGGTGACTAGGAGGAGGAGAGCGGAGCTGAGGGATGCTCCGGGCTGTGGCGGTTCTGTGGGCACAGGGAAGGGTGACTAGAGGGTGACTAGAGGGTGACTAGAGGGTGACTAGAGGGTGACTAGAGGGTGACTAGGAGGAGGAGAGCGGAGCTGAGGGATGCTCCGGGCTGTGGCGGTTCTGTGGGCACAGGGAAGGGTGACTAGAGGGTGACTAGAGGGTGACTACAGGGTGACTAGAGGGTGACTAGAGGGTGACTACAGGGTGACTAGAGGGTGACTAGAGGGTGACTAGAGTGACTAGAGGGTGACTAGGAGGAGGAGAGCGGAGCTGAGGGATGCTCCGGGCTGTGGCGGTTCTGTGGGCACAGGGAAGGGTGACTAGAGGGTGACTAGAGGGTGACTAGAGGGTGACTAGAGGGTGACTAGAGGGTGACTAGAGTGACTAGAGGGTGACTAGTGGGTGACTAGAGGGTGACTAGAGGGTGACTAGAGGGTGACTAGAGGGTGACTAGGGTGACTAGAGTGACTAGAGGGTGACTAGAGGGTGACTAGGAGGAGGAGAGCGGAGCTGAGGGATGCTCCGGGCTGTGGCGGTTCTGTGGGCACAGGGAAGGGTGACTAGAGGGTGACTAGAGGGTGACTATAGGGTGACTAGGGTGACTAGAGGGTGACTAGAGGGTGACTAGAGTGACTAGAGGGTGACTAGGAGGAGGAGAGCGGAGCTGAGGGATGCTCCGGGCTGTGGCGGTTCTGTGGGCACAGGGAAGGGTGACTAGAGGGTGACTAGAGGGTGACTAGAGGGTGACTAGAGGGTGACTAGAGTGACTAGAGGGTGACTAGTGGGTGACTAGTGGGTGACTAGAGGGTGACTAGAGGGTGACTAGAGGGTGACTAGGGTGACTAGAGTGACTAGAGGGTGACTAGAGGGTGACTAGGAGGAGGAGAGCGGAGCTGAGGGATGCTCCGGGCTGTGGCGGTTCTGTGGGCACAGGGAAGGGTGACTAGAGGGTGACTAGAGGGTGACTAGAGGGTGACTAGAGGGTGACTAGAGTGACTAGAGGGTGACTAGTGGGTGACTAGGGTGACTAGAGGGTGACTAGAGGGTGACTAGGGTGACTAGAGGGTGACTACAGGGTGACTACAGGGTGACTAGAGGGTGACTAGAGGGTGACTAGGAGGAGGAGAGCGGAGCTGAGGGATGCTCCGGGCTGTGGCGGTTCTGTGGGCACAGGGAAGGGTGACTAGAGGGTGACTAGAGGGTGACTAGAGGGTGACTACAGGGTGACTAGAGGGTGACTAGGGGGTGACTAGAGAGTGACTAGGAGGAGGAGAGCGGAGCTGAGGGATGCTCCGGGCTGTGGTGGTTCTGTGGGCACAGGGAAGGGTGACTAGAGGGTGACTAGAGGGTGACTAGAGGGTGACTAGAGGGTGACTAGAGGGTGACTAGAGGGTGACTAGGAGGAGGAGAGCGGAGCTGAGGGATGCTCCGGGCTGTGGCGGTTCTGTGGGCACAGGGAAGGGTGACTAGAGGGTGACTACAGGGTGACTACAGGGTGACTATAGGGTGACTAGAGGGTGACTAGTGTGACTAGAGGGTGACTAGAGGGTGACTAGAGGGTGACTAGAGGGTGACTAGGAGGAGGAGAGCGGTGCTGAGGGGTTGTCCGGGCTGTGACGGTTCTGTGGGCACAGGGCAGAGTGACTAGAGGGTGACTAGAGGGTGACTATAGTGTGACTACACAGTGACTAGTGTGACTACACAGTGACTAGTGTGACTACACAGTGACTAGTGTGACTACACAGTGACTAGTGTGACTAGTGTGACTACACAGTGACTAGTGTGACTACACAGTGACTACACAGTGACTAGTGTGACTACACAGTGACTAGTGTGACTACACAGTGACTAGTGTGACTACACAGTGACTAGTGTGACTACACAGTGACTAGTGTGACTACACAGTGACTAGTGTGACTACACAGTGACTAGTGTGACTACACAGTGACTAGTGTGACTACACAGTGACTAGTGTGACTACACAGTGACTAGTGTGACTACACAGTGACTAGTGTGACTACACAGTGACTAGTGTGACTACACAGTGACTAGTGTGACTACACAGTGACTAGTGTGACTACACAGTGACTAGTGTGACTACACAGTGACTAGTGTGACTACACAGTGACTAGAGTGACTAGTGTGACTACACAGTGACTACACAGTGACTACACAGTGACTAGTGTGACTACACAGTGACTAGTGTGACTACACAGTGACTAGTGTGACTACACAGTGACTACACAGTGACTACACAGTGACTAGTGTGACTACACAGTGACTAGTGTGACTACACAGTGACTACACAGTGACTAGTGTGACTACACAGTGACTAGTGTGACTACACAGTGACTAGTGTGACTACACAGTGACTAGTGTGACTACACAGTGACTAGTGTGACTACACAGTGACTACACAGTGACTAGTGTGACTACACAGTGACTAGTGTGACTACACAGTGACTAGTGTGACTACACAGTGACTACACAGTGACTAGTGTGACTACACAGTGACTAGTGTGACTACACAGTGACTAGTGTGACTACACAGTGACTAGTGTGACTACACAGTGACTAGTGTGACTACACAGTGACTAGTGTGACTACACAGTGACTAGTGTGACTACACAGTGACTAGTGTGACTACACAGTGACTAGTGTGACTACACAGTGACTACACAGTGACTAGTGTGACTACACAGTGACTAGTGTGACTACACAGTGACTAGTGTGACTACACAGTGACTAGTGTGACTACACAGTGACTAGTGTGACTACACAGTGACTAGTGTGACTACACAGTGACTAGTGTGACTACACAGTGACTAGTGTGACTACACAGTGACTAGTGTGACTATACAGTGACTACACAGTGACTAGTGTGACTACACAGTGACTAGTGTGACTACACAGTGACTAGTGTGACTACACAGTGACTAGTGTGACTACACAGTGACTAGTGTGACTACACAGTGACTAGTGTGACTACACAGTGACTAGTGTGACTACACAGTGACTACACAGTGACTACACAGTGACTAGTGTGACTACACAGTGACTAGTGTGACTACACAGTGACTAGTGTGACTACACAGTGACTACACAGTGACTAGTGTGACTACACAGTGACTAGTGTGACTACACAGTGACTAGTGTGACTACACAGTGACTAGTGTGACTACACAGTGACTAGTGTGACTACACAGTGACTACACAGTGACTAGTGTGACTACACAGTGACTAGGGTGACTAGTGTGACTACACAGTGACTAGTGTGACTACACAGTGACTAGTGTGACTACACAGTGACTAGGGTGACTAGTGTGACTACACAGTGACTAGTGTGACTACACAGTGACTAGTGTGACTACACAGTGACTAGTGTGACTACACAGTGACTAGTGTGACTACACAGTGACTAGTGTGACTAGTGTGACTACACAGTGACTAGTGTGACTAGTGTGACTACACAGTGACTAGTGTGACTACACAGTGACTAGTGTGACTACACAGTGACTAGTGTGACTACACAGTGACTAGTGTGACTACACAGTGACTAGTGTGACTACACAGTGACTAGTGTGACTACACAGTGACTAGTGTGACTACACAGTGACTAGTGTGACTACACAGTGACTAGTGTGACTACACAGTGACTAGTGTGACTACACAGTGACTAGTGTGACTACACAGTGACTAGTGTGACTACACAGTGACTAGTGTGACTACACAGTGACTAGTGTGACTACACAGTGACTAGTGTGACTACAACAGTGACTAGTGTGACTACACAGTGACTAGGTGACTAGTGTGACTACACAGTGACTAGTGTGACTACACAGTGACTAGTGTGACTACACAGTGACTAGTGAATACACCGTGACTAGTGTGGAACTACACAGTGACTAGTGTGACTTACACAGTGGACTAGATGTGACTACACAGTGACTAGTGTGACTACACAGTGGACTACACAGTAACTACAACAGTGACTAGTGTGATACACAGTGACTAGTGGTGACTACACTAGTGACTACAACAGTGGACTCGTGTGACTACACAGTGACTAGTGTGACTAGTGTGTGGACTACACCATGTGACTAGTGTGACTTCCACAGGTGACTACACAGTGCCTAGTGTGAACTACACAGTTGACTACACAGTATGACTAGTGTGACTACACAGTGACTAGTGTGACTACACAGTGACTTACACATGTGGACTAGTGTGACTACACAGTGACTACACAGTGACTAGTGTGGACTACACAGTGCCTAGGTTTGTGACTACACATGACTAGTGTGACTACACCTGTGATCTACACGTGTTATGGTGTGGGACTAGTGTGACTACACAGTGACTACACAGTGACTAGGTGATACACAGTGACTAGTGTGACTACACAGTGACTAGTGTGACTACACAGTGACTAGTGTGACTACACAGTGACTAGTGTGACTACACAGTGACTAGTGTGACTACACAGTGACTAGTGTGACTACACAGTGACTAGTGTGACTACACAGTGACTAGTGTGACTACACAGTGACTAGTGTGACTACACAGTGACTAGTGTGACTACACAGTGACTACACAGTGACTACACAGTGACTAGTGTGACTACACAGTGACTAGTGTGACTACACAGTGACTAGTGTGACTACACAGTGACTAGTGTGACTACACAGTGACTAGTGTGACTACACAGTGACTAGTGTGACTACACAGTGACTACACAGTGACTACACAGTGACTAGTGTGACTACACAGTGACTAGTGTGACTACACAGTGACTAGTGTGACTACACAGTGACTACACAGTGACTAGTGTGAATACTAGTCCCCGTGTCTCCGTGTCTCTCTCCCCGTGTCTCTCTCCCCGTGTCTCTCTCTGCCCGTGTCTCTCTCCCCGTGTCTCCGTGTCTCTCCCCGTGTCTCACTCCCCATGTGTCTCTCTCCCCGTGTCTCTCTCCCCGTGTCTCCGTGTCTCTCTCCCCGTGTCTCTGTGTCTCTCTCCCCGTGTCTCTCTCTCCGTGTCTCTCTCCCCGTGTTTCTGTGTCTCTCTCCCCATGTCTCCGTGTCTCTCTCCCCGCGTCTCCGTGTCTCTCTCCCCGTGTCTCCGTGTCTCTCTCCCCGTGTCTCTCTCCCCGTGTCTCTCTCCCCATGTCTCCGTATCTCTCTCCCCGTGTCTCTCTCCCCGTGTCTCCGTGTCTCTCTCCCCGTGCCTCTCTCCCCGTGTCTCTCTCCCCGTGTCTCTGTGTCTCTCTCCCCGTGTCTCCGTGTCTCTCTCCCCGTGTCTCCGTGTCTCTCTCCCCGTGTCTCCGTGTCTCTCTCCCCATGCCTCCGTGTCTCTCTCCCCGTGTCTCCGTGTCTCTCTCCCCGTGTCTCCATGTCTCTCTCCCCGTGTCTCTCTCCACGTGTCTCTCTCCACGTGTCTCTCTCCACGTGTATCTCTCCCCGTGTCTCTCTCTCCGTGTCTCTCTCCCCATGTCTCTCTCCCTGTGTCTCTCTCCCCGTGTCTCCGTGTCTCTCTCCCCGTGTCTCTCTCCCCATGTCTCCGTGTCTCTCTCCCCGTGTCTCTCTCCCCGTCTCTCTCTCCCCGTGTCTCCGTGTCTCTCTCCCCGTGTCTCTGCGTCTCTCTCCCCGTGTCTCTGTGTCTCTCTCCCCGTGTCTCCGTGTCTCTCTCCCCGTGTCTCTCTCCCCGTGTCTCTCTCCACATGTCTCTCTCCCCGTGTCTCTCTCTCCGTGTCTCTCTCCCCGTGTCTCTGTGTCTCTCTCCCCGTGTCTCCGTGTCTCTCTCCCCGTGTCTCTCTCCGCGTGTCCCCATGTCTCTCTCCCCGTGTCTCCGTGTCTCCCCGTGTCTCTCTCCCCGTGTCTCTCTCCCCGTGTCTCTCTCCCCGTGTCTCCCTCCCCGTGTCTCTCTCCCCGTGTCTCCCTCCCCGTGACTCTCTCCCCGTGTCTCTCTCCCCGTGTCTCTCTCCCCGTGTCTCTCTCCCCGTGTCCCTGTGTCTCTCTCCCCGTGTCTCCGTGTCTCTGTGTCTCTCTCCCCGTGTTTCTCTCCCCGTGTCTCTCCCCCCGTGTCTCTCTCCCCGTGTCTCTCTCCCCGTGTCTCTGTGTCTCTCTCCCCGTGTCTCTCTCCCCGTGTCTCTCTCTCTCTCTCCCCGTGTCTCTCTTTCTCTCTCCCCGTGTCTCTCTCCCCGTGTCTCCGTGTCTCTCTCCCCGTGTCTCTCTCTCCGTGTCTCCGTGTCTCTCTCTCTCTGTGTCTCTCTCCCCGTGTCTCCGTGTCTCTCTCCCTGTGTCTCTCTCCCCGTGTCTCTCTCTCCCCGTGTCTCTCTCTCTCTCTCTCCCCGTGTCTCTCTCCCCGTGTCTCTCTCCCCGTGTCTCCGTGTTTCTGTCCCTGTGTCTCTGTCCCCGTGTCTCTGTCCCCGTGTCTCTCTCCCCATGTCTCTCTCCCCGTGTCTCTCTCCCCGTGTCTCTCTCCCCGTGTCTCTGTCCCCGTGTCTCTGTGTCTCTCTCCCCGTGTCTCTCTCCCCGTGTCTCCCCGTGTCTCTCTCCCCGTGTCTCCGTGTCTCTGTCCCCGTGTCTCCGTGTCTCTCTCCCCGTGTATCCCTCCCCGTGTCTCCGTGTCTCCGTGTCTCTCTCCCCGTGTCTCCCTCCCCGTGTCTCCGTGTCTCTCTCCCCGTGTCTCTTTCCCCGTGTCTCTCTCCCCGTGTCTCCGTGTCTCTCTCCCCGTGTCTCCGTGTCTCCCTCCCCGTGTCTCCGTGTCTCTCTCCCCGTGTCTCTCTCCCCGTGTCTCCGTGTCTCTCTCCCCGTGTCTCTCTCCCCGTGTCTCCGTGTCTCTGTGTCTCACTCCCCGTGTCTCCGTGTCTCCCCGTGTCTCCGTGTCTCTGTCCCCGAGTCTCCGTGTCTCTCTCCCCGTGTCTCTCTCCCCGTGTCTCCGTGTCTCTCTCCCCGTGTCTCCGTGTCTCCCCGTGTCTCCGTGTCTCTGTCCCCGTGTCTCTGTGTCTCTCTCCCCGTCTCTCTCCCCGTGTCTCTCTCCCCGTGTCTCTCTCCCCGTGTCTCCGTGTCTCTGTGTCTCTCTCCCTGTGTCTCCGTGTCTCCCCGTGTCTCCGTGTCTCTGTCCCCGTGTCTCTGTGTCTCTCTCCCCGTGTCTCTCTCCCCGTGTCTCTTTCCCCGTGTCACTCTCCCCATGTCTCCGTGTCTCTGTGTCTCTCTCTCCCCGTGTCTCTCTCCCCGTGTCTCTCTCCCCATCTCTCTCCCCGTGTCTCTTTCCCCGTGTCTCTTTCCCCGTGTCTCTCTCCCCGTGTCTCTGTCCCCGTGTCTCTCTCCCCGTGTCTCTGTCCCCGTGTCTCTGTCCCCGTGTCTCTCTCCCCGTGTCTCTCTCCCCGTGTCTCTCTCCCCGTGTCTCTCTCCCCGTGTCTCTCTCCCCGTGTCTCTCTCCCCGTGTCTCTCCCCGTGTCTCTCGCCGTGTCTCTCTCCCCGTGTCTCTGTCTCCGTGTCCCCGTCTCTCCCCGTGTCTCCCCGTGTCCCCGTGTCTCTCCGTGTCTCTGTGTCTCCGTCTCCGTGTCCCCGTGTCTCTCTCTCCCCGTGTCTCTGTGCCCGTGTCTATCTGCCCACCTTCTTTTTCTTCTTGTCCTTCTTGCGTCTGCGTCTCTCCCCATGTCTCTGTGTCTCTGTCTCCCCGTGTCTCTCTCCCCGTGTCTCTCTCTCCCCGTGTCTCTCTCTCCCCGTGTCTCTCTCTCCCCGTGTCTCTCTCTCCCCGTGTCTCCGTGTCTCTCTCTCCCCGTGTCCCCGTGTCTCTCCCCGTGTCTCTGTCTCCCCGTGTCTCTCTCCCCGTGTCTCTCTCTCCCCGTGTCTCTCTCTCCCCGTGTCTCTCTCTCCCCGTGTCTCCGTGTCTCTCTCTCCCCGTGTCTCTCCCCGTGTCTCTCTCTCCCCGTGTCTCTCTCTCCCCGTGTCTCTCTCTCCCCATGTCTCTCTCCCCGTGTCTCTCTCCCCGTGTCTCTGTGTCTCTCTCTCCCCGTGTCCCCGTGTCTCTGTATCTCTGTCCCCGTGTCCCTGTCCCCGTGTCTATCTGCCCACCTTCTTTTTCTTCTTGTCCTTCTTGCGTCTGCGTCTCTCCGGGTCGTCTTCTCTCTTCTTCTTTTTCTTCTTGGGGTCCGAGTCGGACGCCAGCTCTGAGACACACACAGACAGACAGACACAGACACACAGTCACACACACAGACACACACACACAGTGTACACACACACACAGAGACAGACACACACACACAGTCACACAGTGTACACACACAGTCACACAGACACACACACAGAGACACACACAGAGAGAGACACACACACACAGACACACACACACAGTGTACACACACACAGAGAGACACAAACACACACACACAGACACACAGACACACACACAGTGTACACACACAGACACACAGACACAGTCACACACACAGAGAGACACACACACAGTGTACACACAGTGTACACAGTCACAGACACACACAGTCACAGTGTACACAGTCACAGACACACACAGTCACAGTGTACACAGTCACACACAGAGACAGACACACACAGAGACACAGTCACACAGGCAGACACACACAGAGACACACATAGACACAGTCACACAGACACAGTCACACACACAGAGACACACATAGACACAGTCACACAGACACAGTCACACACACAGAGACACACATAGACACAGTCACACATAGACACACACAGAGACACACACAGAGACACACATAGACACAGTCACACAGAGACACACACAGAGACACACACAGAGACACACACAGAGACAGACACACACAGACACACACAGAGACACAGTCACACAGAGAAACACACAGACACACAGTCAGTCACACACACAGACACAATCACACACTCACAGTCACACACAGTGTACACACACACAGTCACAGTCACACACACAGAGACACACACAGACACACACAGTGTACACAGTCACACACAGACACACACAGAGAAACACAGTGTTCACACACACAGACACAGTCACACACACAGTCACACACACAGAGACACACACAGAGACACACACACAGAGACACACACACAGAGACACACACACACAGATACACAGACACACACAGACACACACACAGACACACACAGATACACACACACAAATACACACACACAAATACACACACACAGACACACGCAGGCACACACAGACACACAAACACAGATACATACACACACACAGATACACACAGATACACACACAGAGACACACACAGAGACACACAGAGAGACACACCCAGACACACAGAGACACACGCACAGACACATGCAGAGACACACGCGCAGACACACAGAGATACACACACACACACACACAGACACACACACACAGACACACACATACACAGACACACACCCAGACCCACACAGAGAGACACACCCAGACACACACACACAAAGACACACACACAGTCACACACACAGAGACACACAGAGACACACACACAGTCACACAGACACACAGCCACAGTCACAGAGTGTACACACACAAACACACACAGAGACACACACAGACACACACAGACACACATAGACACACAGACACAGTCACACAGACACAGTCACACAGACACAGTCACACACAGTCACACACAGTGTACACACACACACAGTGTACACACACACAGTACACACACACAGACACGGTGTACACACAGACACAGTGTACACAGTCACACAGTGTACACACACAAACACACACAGAGACACACACAGACACACACAGACACACACGTACACACACAGAGACACACACAGAGACACACACAGAGACACACACAGTCACAGTCACACAGTCAGTCACACACAGTCACACACAGACACACACAGACACAGTCACACACACAGAGACACACACAGACACAGTGTACACACACACAGTACACACACACAGACACGGTGTACACACACACAGACACAGACACACACAGTCACACACAGACACACGGATAGTGTATATAGTGTAGTGTATAGTGTAGTGTATAGTAGTGTATAGTGTAGTGTATAGTAGTGTAGTGTACAGTAGTGTATAGTATAGTGTATAGTAGTGTAGTGTATAGTAGTGTAGTGTATAGTGTAGTGTATAGTGTAGTGTATAGTAGTGTAGAGGGTAGTGTAGTGTATAGTGTAGTGTGTAGTGTATAGTGTATAGTAGTGTAGTGTATAGTGTAGTGTAGTGTACAGTAGTGTAGTGTACAGTAGTGTAGTGTATAGTGTAGTGTGTATAGTAGTGTATAGTGTAGTGTATAGTGGTGTATAGTAGTGTAATGTATAGTAGTGTAGTGTATAGTGGTGTAGTGTATAGTATAGTAGTGTATAGTGTAGTGTATAGTAGTGTAGTGTATAGTAGTGTAGTGTATAGTGTAGTGTATAGTAGTGTAGTGTGTAGTAGTGTAGTGTATAGTGGTGTAGTGTATAGTAGTGTAGTGTATAGTGGTGTAGTATATAGTGTAGTGTATAGTAGTGTATAGTGTAGTGTATAGTAGTGTAGTGTATAGTGGTGTAGTGTATAGTGTATAGTACTGTATAGTAGTGTAGTGTATAGTACTGTATAGTAGTGTAGTGTATAGTAGTGTATAATAGTGTATAGTGTAGTGTAAAGTAGTGCATACTAGTGTATAGTGTAGTGTATAGTAGTGTATAGTAGTGCAGTGTATAGTGTAGTGTATAGTGTAGTGTATAGTAGTGTAGTGTATAGTGTATATTCGTGTAGTGTAGAGTGTATAGTAGTGTATAGTGTATAGTAGTGTAGTGTATAGTGTAGTGAATAGTGTATAGTGTAAATTTCGATTTAAAGCTTTCGTGACTGCAATGATTCATCTTCTTTGGTTCTTTCGGTAAAGTCACGTAGAATGAGAATAAAATAATAAATTGATAAAATAAAATAACACAATAATATTCTCACGACGTTTCGGCCACAACACAAGCGGCCTTCATCAGGTGAAGGGGGCGAGACTGTCAGGTAGGACAGCGCTGTCCTACCTGACAGTCTCTCTCATTCTACGTGACTTTACCGAAAGAACCAAAGAAGAGTGTATAGTGTAGTGTATAGTAGTGCAGTGTATAGTGTAGTGTATAGTGTAGTGTATAGTAGTGTAGTGTAAAGTATAGTAGTGTACAGTGTAGTGTATAGTGTAGTGTATAGTAGTGTAGTGTATAGTGTATAATATTGTATAGTGTAGTGTATAGTAGTGTATAGTAGTGCAAGGTTATGTTTTTGTGTTGTAGGTGTTGTTGTGGTTGTTGTGGTTGTTGTTAGTGTTGTTGGTGTTGTTGTGGTTGTTGTTGTTGTGGTTGTTGTGGTTGTTAGTGTTGTTAGTGTTGTTGTGGTTGTTGTGGCTGTTGTTGTTAGTGTTGTTGGTGTTGTTGTGGTTGTTAGTGTTGTTGGTGTTGTTGTGGTTGTTGTGGTTGTTGTTGTGGTTGTTGTGGTTGTTGTTAGTGTTGTTGTGGTTGTTGTGGCTGTTGATAGTGTTGTCGGTGTTGTTGTGGTTGTTGTGGTTGTTGTGTTGTTGTGGTTGTTGTGGTTGTTGTTGTGGTTGTTAGTGTTGTTGTGGTTGTTGTTAGTGTTGTTGTGGTTGTTGTTAGTGTTGTTGGTGTTGTTGTGGTGGTGGTTGTTGTGAGTGTTGTTAGTGTTGTTGTGGTTGTTGTTAGTGTTGTTGTGAGTGTTGTTGTGGTTGTTGTTGGTGTTGTTGTGGTTGTTGTTGTGGTTGTTGTGAGTGTTGTTGTGGTTGTTGTGGTTGTTGTGTTGTTGTGGTTGTTGTGGTTGTTGTTGGTGTTGTGGTTGTTGTGGTTGTTGTTAGTGTTGTTGGTGTTGGTGTGGTTGTTGTTGGTGTTGTTGTGGTGGTGGTTGTTGTTGTGGTTGTTGTGAGTGTTGTTGTGGTTGTTGTGGTTGTTGTGGTTGTTGTTAGTGTTGTTGTTGTGGTTGTTGTGGTTGTTGTTAGTGTTGTTGGTGTTGTTGTGGTGGTTGTTGTGGTGATTGTGGTTGTTGTTGTGTCTCACCCTTGCCGTCGTGACTCATGGTGTCCGGCCTGCGGTGTTTCTGCTTCTGTTTGTGCTTCTTGCGAAGAGGCATCTGGTGCAGCAGCCGGTACTGATCCGGTAGCTACACAACAACAACAACCACGTCAACAACAACCACGTCAACAACAACCACGTCAACAACAACCACGTCAACAACAACCACGTCAACAACAACCACGTCAACAACAACCACGTCAACAACAACCACGTCAACAACAACCACGTCAACAACAACCACGTCAACAACAACCACGTCAACAACAACCACGTCAACAACAACCACGTCAACAACAACCACGTCAACAACAACCACGTCAACAACAACCACGTCAACAACAACCACGTCAACAACAACCACGTCAACAACAACCACGTCAACAACAACCACGTCAACAACAACCACGTCAACAACAACAACAACAGCTGCTGCACCACCACAAGCACGTCAACAGCTACACCACCACCACCACTACAACAACAAAGCCATCACCCCCGTGTCTCCCCGTGTCTCTCCCCCCGTGTCTCTCCCCCCGTGTCTCTCTCCCCGTGTCTCTCTCCCCGTGTCTCTCTCCCCGTGTCTCTCTCTCTCCGTGTCTCTCCCCCCGTGTCTCTCCCCCCGTGTCCCTCTCCCCGTGTCCCTCCCCCCGTGTCCCTCTCCCCGTGTCCCTCTCCCCGTGTCTCTCTCCCCGTGTCTCTCTCCCCGTGTCTCTCTCCCCGTGTCTCTCTCCCCGTGTCTCTCCCCGTGTCTCTCCATGTGTCTCTCCCTATGTGTCTCTCCCTATGTGTCTCTCCCTGTGTCTCCCCGTGTCTCTCCCCGTGTGTCTCCCCGTGTCTCTCCGTGTCTCCCCGTGTCTCTCCCCGTGTCTCCCCCCGTGTCTCCCCGTGTCTCTCCCCGTGTCTCCCCCCGTGTGTCTCCCCGTGTTTTCTCCCCGTGTGTCTCCCCGTGTCTCTCCCCGTGTCTCTCCCCGTGTCTCTCTGCGTCTCCCCGTGTGTCTCCCCGTGTCTCTCCCCGTGTCTCTCCCCGTGTCTCCCCGTGTGTCTCCCCGTGTCTCCCCGTGTGTCTCCTCGTGTCTCTTTCCCCGTGTCTCTCTCCCCGTGTCTCTCTCCCCGTGTCTCCCCGTGTGTCTCCCCGTGTCTCTCCCCGTGTGTCTCCCCGTGTCTCTCCCTGTGTGTCTCCCCGTGTCTCCCTGTCTCTCTCCCCGTGTGTCTCCCCGTGTCTCTCTCCCCGTGTGTCTCCCCGTGTGTCTCCCCGTGTCTCTCTCCCCGTGTCTACCCGTGTCTACCCGTGTCTCCCCGTGTCTCCCCGTGTCTCTCCCCGTGTCTCTCTCCCCGTGTGTCTCCCCGTGTCTCCCCGTGTGTCTCCCTGTCTCTCTCCCCGTGTGTCTCTCCCCGTGTCTCCCCGTGTCTCCCCGTGTCTCCCTGTCTCTCCCCGTGTCTCCCTGTCTCTCTCCCCGTACCGGCCCAGCATGGAGCCTGAATCCCGTCATGAGGGCACTGGGAAGACAGTGCAGCTCCTTCCTGTCTCTCTCCCCGTGTGTCTCACCGTGTGTCTCTCCCCGTGTCTCTCCGTGTCTCTCTCCCCGTGTCTCCCCGTGTCTCCCCGTGTGTCTCTCCGTGTCTCTCCCCGTTGTGTCTCCCCGTACCGGCCCAGCATGGAGCCTGAATCCCGTCATCAGGGCACTGGGGAGACAGTGCAGCTCCTTGCCGTGTCTCTCCCCGTGTGTCTCCCCGTGTCTCCCCGTGTCTCCCTGTGTGTCTCCCCGTGTGTCTCCCCGTGTCTCTCTCCCCGTGTCTCTCTCCCCGTGTCTCTCTCCCCGTGTCTCCCCGTGTCTCCCCGTGTCTCTCCCCGTGTGTCTCCCCGTGTCTCCCCGTGTCTCCCTGTGTGTCTCCCCGTGTGTCTCCCCGTGTCTCTCTCCCCGTGTCTCTCTCCCCGTGTCTCTCTCCCCGTGTCTCCCCGTGTCTCCCCGTGTCTCTCTCCCCGTGTCTCTCTCCGTACCGGCCCAGCGTGGAGCCTGAATCCCGTCATGAGGGCACTGGGGAGACAGTGCAGCTCCTTCCTGTGTGTCTCTCCGTGTCTCCCCGTGTCTCCCTGTCTCTCCCCGTGTCTCCCTGTCTCTCTCCCCGTACCGGCCCAGCGTGGAGCCTGAATCCCGTCATGAGGGCACTGGGGAGACAGTGCAGCTCCTTCCTGTGTGTCTCCCCGTGTCTCTCTCCCCGTGTCTCCCTGTGTGTCTCCCCGTGTCTCTCTCCCCGTGTCTCCCCGTGTCTCTCTCCGTACCGGCCCAGCGTGGAGCCTGAATCCCGTCATGAGGGCACTGGGGAGACAGTGCAGCTCCTTGCCGTGTGTCTCCCCGTGTCTCTCTCCCCGTGTCTCCCTGTGTGTCTCCCCGTGTCTCTCTCCCCGTGTCTCCCCGTGTCTCTCTCCGTACCGGCCCAGCGTGGAGCCTGAATCCCGTCATGAGGGCACTGGGGAGACAGTGCAGCTCCTTGCCGTGTGTCTCCCCGTGTCTCTCTCCCCGTGTCTCCCTGTGTGTCTCCCCGTGTCTCTCTCCCCGTGTCTCCCCGTGTCTCTCTCCGTACCGGCCCAGCGTGGAGCCTGAATCCCGTCATGAGGGCACTGGGGAGACAGTGCAGCTCCTTGCCGTGTGTCTCCCCGTGTCTCTCTCCCCGTGTCTCCCTGTGTGTCTCCCCGTGTCTCTCTCCCCGTGTCTCCCTGTGTGTCTCCCCGTGTCTCTCTCCCCGTGTCTCCCCGTGTCTCTCTCCGTACCGGCCCAGCGTGGAGCCTGAATCCCGTCATGAGGGCACTGGGGAGACAGTGCAGCTCCTTCCTGAGTGTCTCTCCGTGTCTCTCTCCCTGTGTGTCTCCCCGTGTCTCCCTGTCTCTCGCCATGTCTCCCTGTCTCTCTCCCCGTGTGTCTCCCTGTCTCTCTCTCCCCGTGTGTCTCCCCGTGTCTCCCCGTGTCTCCCTGTCTCTCCCCGTGTCTCCCTGTCTCTCTCCCCGTACCGGCCCAGCGTGGAGCCTGAATCCCGTCATGAGGGCACTGGGGAGACAGTGCAGCTCCTTGCCGTGTGTCTCCCCGTGTCTCTCTCCCCGTGTCTCCCTGTGTGTCTCCCCGTGTCTCTCTCCCCGTGTCTCCCCGTGTCTCTCTCCGTACCGGCCCAGCGTGGAGCCTGAATCCCGTCATGAGGGCACTGGGGAGACAGTGCAGCTCCTTGCCGTGTGTCTCCCCGTGTCTCTCTCCCCGTGTCTCCCTGTGTGTCTCCCCGTGTCTCTCTCCCCGTGTCTCCCTGTGTGTCTCCCCGTGTCTCTCTCCCCGTGTCTCCCCGTGTCTCTCTCCGTACCGGCCCAGCGTGGAGCCTGAATCCCGTCATGAGGGCACTGGGGAGACAGTGCAGCTCCTTCCTGTGTGTCTCCCCGTGTCTCCCCGTGTCTCCCTGTCTCTCCCCGTGTGTCTCCCTGTCTCTCTCTCCCCGTGTGTCTCCCCGTGTCTCCCCGTGTCTCCCTGTCTCTCCCCGTGTCTCCCTGTCTCTCTCCCCGTACCGGCCCAGCGTGGAGCCTGAATCCCGTCATGAGGGCACTGGGGAGACAGTGCAGCTCCTTGCCGTGTGTCTCCCCGTGTCTCTCTCCCCGTGTCTCTCTCCCCGTGTCTCCCCGTGTCTCCCCGTGTCTCCCCGTGTCTCTCTCCCTGTCTCTCTCCCCGTACCGGCCCAGCGTGGAGCCTGAATCCCGTCATGAGGGCACTGGGGAGACAGTGCAGCTCCTTGCCGTGTGTCTCCCCGTGTCTCTCTCCCCGTGTCTCTCTCCCCGTGTCTCCCCGTGTCTCCCCGTGTCTCCCCGTGTCTCTCTCCCTGTCTCTCTCCCCGTACCGGCCCAGCGTGGAGCCTGAATCCCGTCATGAGGGCACTGGGGAGACAGTGCAGCTCCTTCCTGTCTCTCTCCCCTTGTGTCTCTCCCCGTGTCTCTCCGTGTCTCTCTCCCCGTGTGTCTCCCCGTGTCTCTCTCCCCGTGTCTCTCTCCCCGTGTCTCTCTCCCCGTGTCTCTCTCCCCGTGTCTCTCCCCGTGTGTCTCTCCCCGTACCGGCCCAGCGTGGAGCCTGAATCCCGTCATGAGGGCACTGGGGAGACAGTGCAGCTCCTTCCTGAGTGTCTCTCCGTGTCTCTCTCCCTGTGTGTCTCCCCGTGTCTCCCTGTCTCTCCCCATGTCTCCCTGTCTCTCTCCCCGTGTGTCTCCCTGTCTCTCTCTCCCCGTGTGTCTCCCCGTGTCTCTCCCCGTACCGGCCCAGCGTGGAGCCTGAATCCCGTCATGAGGGCACTGGGGAGACAGTGCAGCTCCTTGCCGTGTGTCTCCCCGTGTCTCTCTCCCCGTGTCTCCCCGTGTCTCTCTCCGTACCGGCCCAGCGTGGAGCCTGAATCCCGTCATGAGGGCACTGGGGAGACAGTGCAGCTCCTTGCCGTGTGTCTCCCCGTGTCTCTCTCCCCGTGTCTCCCTGTGTGTCTCCCCGTGTCTCTCTCCCCGTGTCTCCCTGTGTGTCTCCCCGTGTGTCTCCCCGTGTCTCTCCCCGTGTGTCTCCCCATACCGGCCCAGCGTGGAGCCTGAATCCCGTCATGAGGGCACTGGGGAGACAGTGCAGCTCCTTCCTGAGTGTCTCCCCGTGTGTCTCACCGTGTGTCTCTCCCCGTGTCTCTCCGTGTCTCTCTCCCCGTGTCTCCCCGTGTCTCCCCGTGTGTCTCCCCGTGTCTCTCCCCGTGTCTCTCTCCCCGTGTCTCTCCCCGTACCGGCCCAGCGTGGAGCCTGAATCCCGTCATGAGGGCACTGGGGAGACAGTGCAGCTCCTTCCTGTGTGTCTCCCCGTGTCTCTCCCCGTGTCTCTCTCCCCGTGTCTCTCCCCGTACCGGCCCAGCGTGGAGCCTGAATCCCGTCATGAGGGCACTGGGGAGACAGTGCAGCTCCTTCCTGTGTGTCTCCCCGTGTCTCCCCATGTCTCCCTGTCTCTCCCCGTGTGTCTCCCTGTCTCTCTCCCCGTGTCTCTCTCCCCGTGTCTCCCCATGTCTCCCTGTCTCTCCCCGTGTGTCTCCCTGTCTCTCTCCCCGTACCGGCCCAGCGTGGAGCCTGAATCCCGTCATGAGGGCACTGGGGAGACAGTGCAGCTCCTTCCTGTCTCTCTCCCCGTGTGTCTCACCGTGTGTCTCTCCCCGTGTCTCTCCGTGTCTCTCTCCCCGTGTCTCCCCGTGTCTCCCCGTGTCTCTCCCCGTGTGTCTCCCCGTGTCTCTCCCCGTGTCTCTCCCCGTGTGTCTCTCCCCGTACCGGCCCAGCGTGGAGCCTGAATCCCGTCATGAGGGCACTGGGGAGACAGTGCAGCTCCTTGCCGTGTGTCTCCCCGTGTCTCTCCCCGTGTCTCCCTGTCTCTCCCCGTGTCTCTCCCCGTGTGTCTCTCCCCGTACCGGCCCAGCGTGGAGCCTGAATCCCGTCATGAGGGCACTGGGGAGACAGTGCAGCTCCTTCCTGTGTGTCTCCCCGTGTCTCCCCGTGTGTCTCCCCGTGTCTCTCCCCGTGTCTCTCTCCCCGTGTCTCTCCCCGTACCGGCCCAGCGTGGAGCCTGAATCCCGTCATGAGGGCACTGGGGAGACAGTGCAGCTCCTTCCTGTGTGTCTCCCCGTGTCTCCCCATGTCTCCCTGTCTCTCCCCGTGTGTCTCCCTGTCTCTCTCCCCGTGTCTCTCTCCCCGTGTCTCCCCATGTCTCCCTGTCTCTCCCCGTGTGTCTCCCTGTCTCTCTCCCCGTACCGGCCCAGCGTGGAGCCTGAATCCCGTCATGAGGGCACTGGGGAGACAGTGCAGCTCCTTCCTGTCTCTCTCCCCGTGTGTCTCACCGTGTGTCTCTCCCCGTGTCTCTCCGTGTCTCTCTCCCCGTGTCTCCCCGTGTCTCCCCGTGTCTCTCCCCGTGTGTCTCCCCGTGTCTCTCCCCGTGTCTCTCCCCGTGTGTCTCTCCCCGTACCGGCCCAGCGTGGAGCCTGAATCCCGTCATGAGGGCACTGGGGAGACAGTGCAGCTCCTTCCTGTGTGTCTCTCCGTGTCTCCCCGTGTCTCCCTGTCTCTCCCCGTGTCTCTCCCCGTGTGTCTCTCCCCGTACCGGCCCAGCGTGGAGCCTGAATCCCGTCATGAGGGCACTGGGGAGACAGTGCAGCTCCTTCCTGTGTGTCTCTCCGTGTCTCCCCGTGTCTCCCTGTCTCTCCCCGTGTCTCCCTGTCTCTCTCCCCGTACCGGCCCAGCGTGGAGCCTGAATCCCGTCATGAGGGCACTGGGGAGACAGTGCAGCTCCTTCCTGAGTGTCTCTCCGTGTCTCCCCGTGTCTCCCCGTGTCTCTCTCCCCGTGTGTCTCCCTGTCTCTCTCTCCCCGTGTGTCTCCCCGTGTCTCCCCGTGTCTCCCTGTCTCTCCCCGTGTCTCCCTGTCTCTCTCCCCGTGTCTCTCTCCCCGTACCGGCCCAGCGTGGAGCCTGAATCCCGTCATGAGGGCACTGGGGAGACAGTGCAGCTCCTTCCTGTCTCTCTCCCCGTGTCTCCCCGTTGTGTCTCCCCGTACCGGCCCAGCGTGGAGCCTGAATCCCGTCATGAGGGCACTGGGGAGACAGTGCAGCTCCTTGCCGTGTGTCTCCCCGTGTCTCTCTCCCCGTGTCTCCCCGTGTCTCTCCCCGTGTGTCTCCCCGTGTGTCTCTCCCCGTGTCTCCCTGTCTCTCTCCCCGTACCGGCCCAGCGTGGAGCCTGAATCCCGTCATGAGGGCACTGGGGAGACAGTGCAGCTCCTTGCCGTGTGTCTCCCCGTGTCTCCCCGTGTCTCCCTGTCTCTCCCCGTGTCTCCCTGTCTCTCTCCCCGTACCGGCCCAGCGTGGAGCCTGAATCCCGTCATGAGGGCACTGGGGAGACAGTGCAGCTCCTTCCTGTGTGTCTCTCCGTGTCTCCCCGTGTCTCCCTGTCTCTCCCCGTGTGTCTCCCTGTCTCTCTCTCCCCGTGTGTCTCCCCGTGTCTCCCCGTGTCTCCCTGTCTCTCTCCCCGTACCGGCCCAGCGTGGAGCCTGAATCCCGTCATGAGGGCACTGGGGAGACAGTGCAGCTCCTTCCTGTGTGTCTCTCCGTGTCTCCCCGTGTCTCCCTGTCTCTCCCCGTGTCTCCCTGTCTCTCTCCCCGTACCGGCCCAGCGTGGAGCCTGAATCCCGTCATGAGGGCACTGGGGAGACAGTGCAGCTCCTTCCTGTCTCTCTCCCCGTGTCTCTCCCCGTGTGTCTCCCCGTGTCTCCCCGTTGTGTCTCCCCGTACCGGCCCAGCGTGGAGCCTGAATCCCGTCATGAGGGCACTGGGGAGACAGTGCAGCTCCTTGCCGTGTGTCTCCCCGTGTCTCTCTCCCCGTGTCTCCCCGTGTCTCTCCCCGTGTGTCTCCCCGTGTGTCTCTCCCCGTGTCTCCCTGTCTCTCTCCCCGTACCGGCCCAGCGTGGAGCCTGAATCCCGTCATGAGGGCACTGGGGAGACAGTGCAGCTCCTTGCCGTGTGTCTCCCCGTGTCTCCCCGTGTCTCCCTGTCTCTCCCCGTGTCTCCCTGTCTCTCTCCCCGTACCGGCCCAGCGTGGAGCCTGAATCCCGTCATGAGGGCACTGGGGAGACAGTGCAGCTCCTTCCTGTGTGTCTCTCCGTGTCTCCCCGTGTCTCCCTGTCTCTCCCCGTGTGTCTCCCTGTCTCTCTCTCCCCGTGTGTCTCCCCGTGTCTCCCCGTGTCTCCCTGTCTCTCTCCCCGTACCGGCCCAGCGTGGAGCCTGAATCCCGTCATGAGGGCACTGGGGAGACAGTGCAGCTCCTTCCTGTGTGTCTCTCCGTGTCTCCCCGTGTCTCCCTGTCTCTCCCCGTGTCTCCCTGTCTCTCTCTCCCCGTGTGTCTCTCCGTGTCTCCCCGTGTCTCCCTGTCTCTCCCCGTGTGTCTCTCCCCGTACCGGCCCAGCGTGGAGCCTGAATCCCGTCATGAGGGCACTGGGGAGACAGTGCAGCTCCTTGCCGTGTGTCTCCCCGTGTCTCTCTCCCCGTGTGTCTCCCCGTGTCTCCCCGTGTCTCTCTCCCCGTGTCTCTCCCCGTGTGTCTCTCCCCGTACCGGCCCAGCGTGGAGCCTGAATCCCGTCATGAGGGCACTGGGGAGACAGTGCAGCTCCTTCCTGTGTGTCTCTCCGTGTCTCTCCATGTCTCCCTGTCTCTCTCCCCGTGTGTCTCCCTGTCTCTCTCTCCCCGTGTGTCTCCCCGTGTCTCCCCGTGTCTCTCTCCCCGTGTGTCTCTCCCCGTACCGGCCCAGCGTGGAGCCTGAATCCCGTCATGAGGGCACTGGGGAGACAGTGCAGCTCCTTCCTGTGTGTCTCTCCGTGTCTCTCCATGTCTCCCTGTCTCTCTCCCCGTGTGTCTCCCTGTCTCTCTCTCCCCGTGTGTCTCCCCGTGTCTCCCCGTGTCTCTCTCCCCGTGTGTCTCTCCCCGTACCGGCCCAGCGTGGAGCCTGAATCCCGTCATGAGGGCACTGGGGAGACAGTGCAGCTCCTTGCCACACAGCGGAGGCTTCTCCATCACCGCTCGTAGACTCGAGCCGTCTTGCAGCGCTGGAGTGTCAATCATTCCTGGGGTGGGGCGACAGGAGACACGGGGAGAGACACGGGGAGACACGGGGAGAGAGACGCGGGGAGAGAGACACGGGAAGAGAGAGACGGGGAGAGAGATACACGGGGAGAGAGACACGGGGAGAGAGATACACGGGGGGAGAGAGACAGGGAGAGAGATACACAGAGAGAGAGAGACACAGAGAGAGAGACACAGAGAGAGAGAGACACAGAGAGAGAGAGACACGGGGAGAGACGCAGGGAGAGAGACGCAGGGAGAGACACGGGGAGAGAGAGACACGGGGAGAGACGGAGAGAGAGACACGGGGAGAGAGAGACACGGGGAGAGAGAGACGGGGAGAGAGATACACGGGGAGAGAGACACGGGGAGAGAGATACACGGGGGGAGAGAGACAGGGAGAGAGATACACAGAGAGAGAGAGACACAGAGAGAGAGACACAGAGAGAGAGAGACACAGAGAGAGAGAGACACGGGGAGAGACGCAGGGAGAGAGACGCAGGGAGAGACACGGGGAGAGAGAGACACGGGGAGAGACGGAGAGAGAGACACGGGGAGAGAGAGACACGGGGAGAGAGAGACACGGGGAGAGAGAGACACGGGGAGAGACACGGGGAGAGACACGGGGAGAGAGACACGGGGAGAGAGACACGGGGAGAGAGACGCGGGGAGAGAGACGCGGGGAGAGAGACGCGGGGAGAGAGACGCGGGGAGAGAGACGCAGGGAGAGAGACGCGGGGAGAGAGACACGAGGAGAGACACGGGGAGAGAGACACGGGGAGTGACACGGGAAGAGAGACACGGGGAGAGACACGGGGAGAGAGACGCGGGGAGAGAGACACGGGGAGAGAGACAGGGGGAGAAAGACACGGGGAGAAAGACACGGGGAGAGAGACACGGGGAGAGACACATGGAGAGAGAGACACGGGGAGAGAGAGACACGGGGAGAGAGAGACACGGGGAGAAAGACACGGGGAGAGAGACACGGGGAGAGAGACACGGGGAGAGAGACACGGGGAGAGAGACACGGGGAGAGAGACACGGGGAGAGAGACACGGGGAGAGAGACACGGGGAGACACGTGGGGGACAGGGGAAGGCATAGAGACAGGACACACACACACGGACAATGCAACACCGAGACAAACAGAGACACAGAGGCAGACGCAGACACAAGGGGACATCACGGCAATGCAGACAAACTAGCACCGTCACCTCTCCCTCGTGTCTCCCTCTCTCTGTGTGTCCCCGTGTCTCTATCTGTGTCTCTCCCCGTGTCTGTATGTGTGTCTGTATGTGTGTCTGTATGTTGGTCGACTCAGCCTCAAATGAGTACCTGGTGCGGTGTGCAAACATCGCCACTGGGGAGACAAAGGCGGTCGGGCGTGGTGCTGGCCACCCACCCCCTCGTGTACCGTTCCGGCCTTCATAGGTGCTCGCTAACAGCACTTGCCCCTACAGTCTGTTAAGGCTATACGGGGGATCTTTGTCTGTATGTGTGTGTTTGTGTGTATGTGTGTGTGCCTGCGTCTGTGTCTGTATGTGTGTCTGTATGTGTGTCTGTATGTGTATCTGTGTATGTGTGTCTGTGTATGTGTGTCTGTGTCTGTGTGTGTGTCTGTCTGTGTCTCTCCCCGTATCTGTGTCTCTCCCCGTGTCTGTGTCTCTCCCCGTGTCTCTATCTGTGTCTCTGTCTCCCAGTGTCTCTATCTGTGTCTCTGTCTCCCAGTGTCTCTATCTGTGTCTCTGTCTCCCAGTGTCTCTATCTGTGTCTCTGTCTCCCCGTGTCTCTATCTGTGTCTCTGTCTCCCAGTGTCTCTATCTGTGTCTCTGTCTCCCCGTGTCTCTATCTGTGTCTCTGTCTCCCAGTGTCTCTATCTGTGTCTCTGTCTCCCCGTGTCTCTATCTGTGTCTCTGTCTCCCAGTGTCTCTATCTGTGTCTCTGTCTCCCCGTGTCTCTATCTGTGTCTCTGTCTCCCAGTGTCTCTATCTGTGTCTCTGTCTCCCCGTGTCTCTATCTGTGTCTCTGTCTCCCCGTGTCTCTATCTGTGTCTCTGTCTCCCAGTGTCTCTATCTGTGTCTCTGTCTCCCAGTGTCTCTATCTGTGTCTCTGTCTCCCCGTGTCTCTATCTGTGTCTCTGTCTCCCAGTGTCTCTATCTGTGTCTCTGTCTCCCCGTGTCTCTATCTGTGTCTCTGTCTCCCCGTGTCTCTATCTGTGTCTCTGTCTCCCCGTGTCTCTATCTGTGTCTCTGTCTCCCAGTGTCTCTATCTGTGTCTCTGTCTCCCCGTGTCTCTATCTGTGTCTCTGTCTCCCCGTGTCTCTATCTGTGTCTCTGTCTCCCAGTGTCTCTATCTGTGTCTCTGTCTCCCAGTGTCTCTATCTGTGTCTCTGTCTCCCCGTGTCTCTATCTGTGTCTCTGTCTCCCAGTGTCTCTATCTGTGTCTCTGTCTCCCCGTGTCTCTATCTGTGTCTCTGTCTCCCCGTGTCTCTATCTGTGTCTCTGTCTCCCCGTGTCTCTATCTGTGTCTCTGTCTCCCCGTGTCTCTATCTGTGTCTCTGTCTCCCCGTGTCTCTATCTGTGTCTCTGTCTCCCAGTGTCTCTATCTGTGTCTCTGTCTCCCAGTGTCTCTATCTGTGTCTCTGTCTCCCCGTGTCTCTATCTGTGTCTCTGTCTCCCCGTGTCTCTATCTGTGTCTCTGTCTCCCCGTGTCTCTATCTGTGTCTCTGTCTCCCAGTGTCTCTATCTGTGTCTCTGTCTCCCCGTGTCTCTATCTGTGTCTCTGTCTCCCAGTGTCTCTATCTGTGTCTCTCCCCGTGTCTCTATCTGTGTCTCTGTCTCCCAGTGTCTCCATCTGTGTCTCTGTCTCCCAGTGTCTCTATCTGTGTCTCTGTCTCCCCGTGTCTCTATCTGTGTCTCTGTCTCCCAGTGTCTCTATCTGTGTCTCTGTCTCCCAGTGTCTCTATCTGTGTCTGTGTCTCTCCCCGTGTCTCTATCTGTGTCTCTGTCTCCCAGTGTCTCCATCTGTGTCTCTGTCTCCCAGTGTCTCTATCTGTGTCTCTGTCTCCCCGTGTCTCTATCTGTGTCTCTGTCTCCCCGTGTCTCTATCTGTGTCTCTGTCTCCCCGTGTCTCTATCTGTGTCTCTGTCTCCCAGTGTCTCTATCTGTGTCTCTGTCTCCCAGTGTCTCTATCTGTGTCTCTGTCTCCCCGTGTCTCTATCTGTGTCTCTGTCTCCCCGTGTCTCTATCTGTGTCTCTGTCTCCCCGTGTCTCTATCTGTGTCTCTGTCTCCCAGTGTCTCTATCTGTGTCTCTGTCTCCCCGTGTCTCTATCTGTGTCTCTGTCTCCCAGTGTCTCTATCTGTGTCTCTCCCCGTGTCTCTATCTGTGTCTCTGTCTCCCAGTGTCTCCATCTGTGTCTCTGTCTCCCAGTGTCTCTATGTGTGTCTCTGTCTCCCCGTGTCTCTATCTGTGTCTCTGTCTCCCAGTGTCTCTATCTGTGTCTCTGTCTCCCAGTGTCTCTATCTGTGTCTGTGTCTCTCCCCGTGTCTCTATCTGTGTCTCTGTCTCCCAGTGTCTCCATCTGTGTCTCTGTCTCCCAGTGTCTCTATCTGTGTCTCTGTCTCCCCGTGTCTCTATCTGTGTCTCTGTCTCCCAGTGTCTCTATCTGTTTCTCTGTCTCCCCGTGTCTCTATCTGTGTCTCTGTCTCCCCGTGTCTCTATCTGTGTCTCTGTCTCCCAGTGTCTCTATCTGTGTCTGTGTCTCTCCCCGTGTCTCTATCTGTGTCTCTGTCTCCCAGTGTCTCTGTCTCCCCGTGTCTCTATCTGTGTCTCTGTCTCCCCGTGTCTCTATCTGTGTCTGTGTCTCTCCCAGTGTCTCTATCTGTGTCTGTGTCTCCCCGTGTCTCTATCTGTGTCTGTGTCTCTCCCCGTGTCTCTATCTGTGTCTCTGTCTCCCCGTGTCTCTATCTGTGTCTCTGTCTCCCCGTGTCTCTATCTGTGTCTCTGTCTCCCCGTGTCTCTATCTGTGTCTCTGTCTCCCAGTGTCTCTATCTGTGTCTCTGTCTCCCCGTGTCTCTATCTGTGTCTCTGTCTCCCCGTGTCTCTATCTGTGTCTCTGTCTCCCAGTGTCTGCCCACCCCATGCCCCCCCCCTGCCCCCCCATGCCCCCCCCCCTGCCCCCCCCCCCTGCCCCCCCCCCGTGCCCCCACCAGGCAGGTCAGGCAGGAAGTTGCTCAACTTCTCCTTCACTTTCTTGCCACAGAACTTTGCGAAGGCGGCGTCGAGGTTGTAGTGGCAGAGCAAGTTGCTGCTGCCCGTCAGCTCACTCGCCACTGGGGGGCAGGGGGGGCAGGGGGGGGCACGGGGGGGGGGGCACGGGGGCCAGCGGGGGCAGGGGGGGCACGGGGGAGTTACAGAGAGAAGTCGACTCACACAGAGACCCATAGACTCACTCACAGACCCATAGACTCACTCACACAGAGACCCATAGACTCACTCACACAGAGACCCATAGACTCACTCACACAGAGACCCATAGACTCACACGGAGACCCACAGACTCACTCACACAGAGACCCATAGACTCACTCACACAGACCCATAGACTCACTCACACAGAGACCCATAGACTCACACAGAGACCCATAGACTCACACAGAGACCCATAGACTCACTCACACGAGACCCATAGACTCACTCACACAGAGACCCATAGACTCACTCACACAGAGACCCACAGACTCACTCACACAGAGACCCACAGACTCACTCACACAGAGACCCATAGACTCACTCACACAGAGACCCACAGACTCACTCACACAGAGACCCACAGACTCACTCACACAGAGACCCACAGACTCACTCACACAGAGACCCATAGACTCACTCACACAGAGACCCATAGACTCATCACACACAGATACCCATAGACTCACTCACACAGAGACCCATAGACTCACTCACACAGAGACCCACAGACTCACTCACACAGAGACCCACAGACTCACTCACACAGAGACCCATAGACTCACTCACACAGAGACCCACAGACTCACTCACACAGAGACCCACAGACTCACTCACACAGAGACCCATAGACTCACTCACACAGAGACCCATAGACTCACCACACAGAGACCCATAGACTCACTCACACAGAGACCCATAGACTCACTCACACAGAGACACATAGACTCACTCACACAGAGACCCATAGACTCACTCACACAGAGACCCATAGACTCACTCACACAGAGAGCCATAGACTCACTCACACAGAGACACATAGACTCAGCACACACAGATACCCATAGACTCACCACACACAGAGACACATAGACTCACTCACACAGAGACCCATAGACTCACTCACACAGAGACCCATAGACTCACTCACACAGAGACCCATAGACTCACTCACACAGAGACACATAGACTCATCACACACAGATACCCATAGACTCACACAGAGACCCATAGACTCACCACACAGAGACCCATAGACTCACTCAGAGACCCATAGACTCACTCACACAGAGACCCATAGACTCACTCACACAGAGACCCATAGACTCACTCACACAGAGACACATAGACTCATCACACACAGATACCCATAGACCCACACAGAGACCCATAGACTCACCACACAGAGACCCATAAACTCACTCAGAGACCCATAGACTCACTCACACAGAGACCCATAGACTCACACAGAGACCCACAGACTCACTCACACAGAGACCCATAGACTCACCACACAGAGATCCATAGACTCACTCACACAGACAGAGACCCATAGACTCACACAGAGACCCATAGACTCACTCACACAGAGACCCATAGACTCACACAGAGACCCATAGACTCACCACACACAGAGACCCATAGACTCACCACACACAGAGACCCATAGACTCACTCACACAGAGACCCATAGACTCACTCACACAGAGACCCACAGACTCACTCACACAGAGACCCACAGACTCACTCACACAGAGACCCACAGACTCACTCACACAGAGACCCACAGACTCACTCACACAGAGATCCACAGACTCACTCACACAGAGACCCATAGACTCACTCACACAGAGACCCATAGACTCACACAGAGACCCATCGACTCACTCACACAGAGACACATAGACTCACTCACACAGAGACACATAGACTCACACAGAGACCCATAGACTCACTCACAGAGCCCCATAGACTCACTCACACAGAGACCCATAGACTCACTCACACAGAGACCCATAGACTCACACAGAGACCCACAGACTCACTCACACAGAGACCCATAGACTCACTCACACAGAGACCCATAGACTCACTCACAGAGAGATCCATAGACTCACACAGAGACCCATAGACTCACTCATACAGAGACCCATAGACTCACACAGAGACCCATAGACTCACCACACACAGAGACCCATAGACTCACTCACACAGAGACCCATAGACTCACCACACAGAGACCCATAGACTCACTCACACAGAGACCCACAGACTCACTCACACAGAGACCCACAGACTCACTCACACAGAGACCCACAGACTCACTCACACAGAGACCCACAGACTCACTCACACAGAGACCCACAGACTCACTCACACAGAGACCCATAGACTCACTCACACAGAGACCCATAGACTCACACAGACCCATAGACTCACTCACACAAAGACCCATAGACTCACACAGAGACCCATAGACTCACTAACACAGAGACCCATAGACTCACTCACACAGAGACCCATAGACTCACACAGAGACCCATAGACTCACTCACACAGAGACCCATAGACTCACCCACACAGAGACCCATAGACTCACTCACACAGAGACCCATAGACTCACTCACGCACACAGAAACCCATAGACTCACCACCACACTGAGACCTATAGATTCACTCACACAGAGACCCATAGACTCACTCACACAGAGACCCATAGACTCACTCACACAGAGACCCATAGACTCACTCACACAGAGACCCATAGACTCACTCACACAGAGACCCATAGACTCACTCACACAGAGACCCATAGACTCACTCACACAAAGACCCATTGACTCACTCACACAGAGACCCATAGACTCACTCACACAGAGACCCATAGACTCACTCACACAGAGACCCATAGACTCACTCACACAGAGACCCATAGACTCACACACACAGAGACCCATAGACTCACACACACAGAGACCCATAGACTCACACAGAGACCCATAGACTCTCACACACAGAGACCCATAGACTCACACACACAGAGACCCATAGACTCACTCACACAGAGACCCATAGACTCACTCACACAGAGACCCATAGACTCACTCACGCACACAGAAACCCATAGACTCACCACCACACTGAGACCTATAGATTCACTCACACAGAGACCCATAGACTCACTCACACAGAGACCCATAGACTCACTCACACAGAGACCCATAGACTCACTCACACAGAGACCCATAGACTCACTCACACAGAGACCCATAGACTCACTCACACAGAGACCCATAGACTCACTCACACAGAGACCCATAGACTCACTCACACAGAGACCCATAGACTCACTCACACAAAGACCCATTGACTCACTCACACAGAGACCCATAGACTCACTCACACAGAGACCCATAGACTCACTCACACAGAGACCCATAGACTCACTCACACAGAGACCCATAGACTCACACACACAGAGACCCATAGACTCACACACACAGAGACCCATAGACTCACACAGAGACCCATAGACTCACACACACAGAGACCCATAGACTCACACGCACAGAGACCCATAGACTCACTCACACAGAGACCCATAGACTCACTCACACAGAGACCCATAGACTCACACACACAAAGACCCATAGACACACTCACACAGAGACCCATAGACTCACCACACACAGAAACCCATAGACCGCGGGCTTCCCGCACTCCCGACCCACCTTGCCTAGCCGCCCCGCCGTCCTTCCCCTCACGCCCACCCCACGAGCCTAACTAGGCCGCAACCCACCTGGTTCGCGGAGCAGATAGAAGGGCTCGTTAGAGACGCCGCCACTGCCGCCGCCGCCGCCTCCTCCGGCGGCCCCCCCGCCGCAGTCGTCCAGCGCCTTCCCGTAGCCGCCGAGAGGCGCCGAGGAGCCGGGCCCAGGCAGGCCCGGATCGGCTCCAGAGAACGCGGCCATCAGCCGATCAGCCTCCATCATCACGGGGAGTGAGAGGAGGCGATAGATTCTCTACAGTCGGGCGCGTCGATTTGTGCGGCGTCGATTCCTATTGGGTGCGGGAGGTGATGCGTGGGTTTTAGATTCGATTTAATTATTTAAAGGGAGAAGTCGATTCACGCGGTGTCGAGTCTTGCAGTATCGATTCCTAATGGGTTGGTGAGATGCGTGGTGGGGTTTCGATTTATTTCTAGAGATTCGATTTCTGCCGTGTCGATACAGTTGTTAGCGGAACCGATTCCTGCTGTCGATTGTATTGACTTGGTCGAGATGCGTTGGGGGGGGGAGCTTAGCAGGTAAATCGATTCCGCGGTGTCGATTCAAAATAGGAGAATCGTGGAATGGGTCGGGTTGAGCCAAGGAATCGAAACCCGGCGATTGAGTGTCGATCCCTCAGGCGACCGTCACGGGCAAAGGAATCGATTTGCGCAACTAACGCCGGTATCGATTAACGCGGGTCGACTCCGTGGGCGATCCAGCGGTGTCGATTCCAGTTCGCTTGCATTGAGGCCAATGCTGGTGCTGAGACGAAGCTCTGACGCTGATTGGATGTCAAAAATATATAGACATGGTCTCTGTAGTGACTCAGTCACTCACAGTCACTCAGTCAGTCACACAGTCAGTCACACAGTCACTCACCCAGTCACTCACCCAGTCAGTCACACAGTCACTCACCCAGTCACTCACACAGTCACTCACCCAGTCACTCACACAGTCACTCACACAGTCAGTCACACAGTCACTCACACAGTCACCCAGTCACTCACCCAGTCAAAAATATATAGACATGGTCTCTGTAGTGACTCAGTCACTCACAGTCACTCAGTCAGTCACCCAGTCAGTCACACAGTCAGTCACTCATCCAGTCACTCACCCAGTCACTCACACAGTCACTCACCCAGTCATTCACACAGTCAGTCACACAGTCACTCACACAGTCACCCAGTCACTCACCCAGTCAAAAATATATAGACATGGTCTCTGTAGTGACTCAGTCACTCACACAGTCACTCACACAGTCACTCACACAGTCACTCAGTCACCCAGTCAGTCACTCACCCAGTCACTCACACAGTCACTCAGTCACTCACACAGTCACTCACACAGTCAGTCACTCACACAGTCACTCACCCACACAGTCAGTCACTCACACAGTCACTCACCCAGTCAGTCACCCAGTCACTCACACAGTCACTCAGTCAGTCACCCACACAGTCACTCAGTCAGTCACCCACACAGTCACTCACACAGTCAGTCAGTCACCCAGTCACTCACAGTCAGTCACTCACCCAGTCAGTCACAGTCACCCACACACTCACCTACCCAGTCACTCACACAGTCACTCACAGTCACCCAGTCACTCACTCACACAGTCAGTCACACAGTCACTCACACTCACCCAGTCAGTCACACAGTCACTCACACAGGCACTCACCCAGTCACTCACCCAGTCACTCACACAGGCACTCACCCAGTCACTCAGTCTGTCACCCAGTCACTCACCCAAACAGTCACTCACACAGGCACTCACCCAGTCACTCACCCAGTCAGTCAGTCACCCAGTCACTCACACGGTCACTCACCCAGTCACTCACAGTCACTCACCCAGTCAGTCACCCAGTCACTCACCCACCCAGTCACTCACCCACTCAGTCACTCACCCAGTCACTCACCCCACCACCCACACAGGTTTGAACAAGTACATCTGATAAACCACGACTAATGTCATCCATCGTGTAATTATTGATCTTTATTCTTGCAATACGGGGAACGCGAGGCCACTATCATTACTGACAACTACTCACCCAACCACCCAGCCACTCACCCACCCACCCAGCCACTCACCCAGCCACTCAACCACCCACCCAGCCACTCACCCAGCCACTCACCCACCCGCCCAGCCACTCACCCACCCGCCCACTCACCATCTCACCACTCACTCCACATCTCATTCACCCACCCACTCGCTCACCATCTCACTCACCCACCCACTCGCTCACCATCTCACCCACACACTCACCCGCTCACCCACCCACCCACTCCACATCTCACTCATCCACCCACCCACTCACTCGCTCACTCACGCACCATCACTCTCACGCAGCCACTCACCATCACTCACTCACACTCACCGAAACACACACACACTCACCATCTCACTCACACAGCCACACTCTCACACTGTCACTCACCATCTCACTCTCTCTCACACTCACCATTTCACTCACACAGCCACTCACTGACACTCTCACACTCACCATCTCACTCTCTCACACTCACCATCTCACTCACTGACACACTCTCACTGACACTCTCACTGACACTCTCACTCTCTCTCACACTCACCATCTCACTGACACACTCTCACACACTCACCATCTCACTCACACAGCCACTCACTGACACTCTCACTGACACTCACACACTCACACTGTCACTCACCATCTCACTCTCACACTCACTGACACACACTCTCACACTCAATCACACTGTCACTCACCATCTCACTCTCTCTCGCACTCACCATCACTCTCACTGACACACTCACACTGTCACTCACCATCTCACTCTCTCTCACACTCACCATCTCACTCACTGACACACTCACTGACACTCTCACTGACACTCACTTACCATCTCACTCTCTCTCACACTCACCATCTCACTCACTGACACACTCTCACACTCACCATCTCACGCTCTCACACTCACCATCTCACTGACACACTCTCACACACTCACTCACACTGTCACTCACCATCTCACTCTCTCTCACACTCACCATCTCACTCACTGACACACTCTCACACTCACCATCTCACTCACACACCCACTCACTGACACACTCTCACACACACACTCTCACACACACACTCTCACACACACACTCTCACACACTCACTCACACTGTCACTCACCATCTTACTCTCTCTCACACTCACCATCTCACTCACTGACACTCTCACACACACTCACCATCTCACTCACACAGCCTCTCACTAACACACTCTCACTGACACTCTCACACTCTCACTCACCATCTCACTCACTGACACACTCTCACTGACACTCTCACACTCTCACTCACCATCTCACTCACTGACACACTCTCACTCACTCACACTCACCATCACCACACTCACCACCCTCACCACACTCACCACCCTCACCACCATCACCACACTCACCACACTCACCATCTCACTCTCTATCACACTCACCATCTCACTCACACAGCCTCTCACTAACACACTCACACTGACACTCTACCATCTCACTCACTGACACTCACACTCACCATCACCACACTCACCACCCTCACCACACTCACCACCATCACCACACTCACCACACTCACCACCATCACCACACTCACCAAAATCACCACACTCACCACACTCACCACCATCATCACACTCACCAAAATCACCACACTCACCACTCACCACACTCACCACCATCACCACACTCACCATCACCACCATCACCACCCTCACCACACTCACCACCATCACAACCATCACCACAATCACCACACTCACCACCATCACCACAAGCACCACACTCACCACACTCACCACCATCACCACACTCACCACCATCACAACACTCACCATCATCACCACACTCGCCACCATCACCACACTCACCACACTCACCACCATCACCACACTCACCACCATTACCACACTCACCACACTCACCATTATCACAACCATCATCACCACACTCACCATCACCACCATCACCACACTCACCACCATCACCACACTCACCAGACTCACCATCACACTCATCACCACACTCACCACCATCACCACACTCACCACCATCACCACACTCACCACCACCACACTCACCACCATCACCACACTCACCATCACCACACTCACCACCACCACACTCACCACCATCACCACACTCACCATCACCACACTCACCACCACCACACTCACCACCATCACCACACTCACCACCATCACCACACTCACCACCATCACCACACTCACCACCATCACCACACTCACCACCATCACCACCATCACCACACTCACCACCATCACACTCACCACCATCACCACACTCACCATCACCACACTCACCACCACCACACTCACCACCATCACCACACTCACCACCATCACCACACTCACCATCACCACACTCACCACACTCACCACTACAAAGCACCGCCTCCATACGAAAAAAAACAGTCTAAGCTGTGTGTGTGTGTCTGTGTGTGTGTGTCTGTGTGTCAGTGTGTGTCTCTGTGTGTATGTCTATGTGTGCGTGTGTCTCTGTGTGTGTGTCTATGTGTGTGTGCACGCTTGTGTGTCTGTGTGTATGTGTACGCTTGTGTGTCTGTGTGTGTGTATGTGTCTATGTGTGTATGTCTATGTGCGCGTGTGTATGTGTCTATCTGTGTGTGTGTCTATGTGTGTCTATCTGTGTGTGTTTATGTGTGTGCATATGTGTGTGTGTGTGTGTCTATGTGTGTGTGTGTCTATGTGTGTGTGTTTGTGTGTGTGTGTCTATCTGTGTCTGTGTGTGTCTATGTGTGTGTCTACCTGTGTGTGTCTATCTGTGTGTGTCTGTGTCTATGTGTGTGTCTATGTGTGTCTGTGTGTGTGTGTCTATGTGTGTCTGTGTGTGTGTGTCTATGTGTGTGTCTATGTGTGTGTCTGTGTGTGTGCGTGTCTATGTGTGTGTCTATGTGTGTGTGTGTCTATGTGTGTATGTGTGTGTCTATCTCTGTGTGTCTCTCTCATTTCCCGTGGACCGTGTCCATCTGCTCCTGGACTTCCATGAAAAGTCTCTGCAGGTGCAGATTGGAGCCGATGAGAGGCAGTACATCTCTCAGCAGATCACGCTTAGACACCCCCTGTACATAGACACACACACACACATAGACACACACACGCAAACACACATTATAGATACATAGACACACACACAGACACACACACACGCACAAACACAGACACACACACATTATAGATACATAGACAACAACAACAACAATCGCCATTCACCACTAAGTGGCGGTGACGTCACCACGACGCTTGTGCCAGGCCATGTGCACCTTGAGGCCACGTGAAGTGTCGAACGCCCGCTGGCAGGAGGTCACGGGGCAGACCCAGGTGCCACGGGTCGACTGACTGAGATGACTGGCTGATGCACCACCTGTGCCCCCTACTGTGCCAACCCGCTGTGCTTTAGCAACGGAGGGCGACTGCCTCCAAGTGCCCAGTAGCATCCTTCACGAGCCTCCTCCACAGAGGCCGATCTTGACACCGCTGGTACCGGTCATCGGCAAGTCCACTCAGCTCCACGTCCTCCTGTACCACATCACTCCATCTCTTCTCTAGCCCGTGCCGCGCCCGCTTAGCCCCCTCAATCCGGCCGGACAAAAGCTGTTTCGGCATGCGGTGGCTGGGCATGCGGGCTACGTGACCCAGCCAATGCAGCCTTGCCTGCCGGAGGAGCTCACCGATGGGACCTTGCCCAGATCTTTCAAAGATTTGTGAGCTCCTCACAAAATCCAGCCAGGTTAAACCCAGGATGGATCGTAGGCAGGCTAGCCTAAATGTTTCTAACCGGAGAAGATGTTCCATTAGGGGGGTCCACGTTTCGCAAGCGTAGAGAAGGGAGGGAATGACCGTGGCCGAGAAGACCTGAAGCTTAGTGCGGAGCGACAGACCAGGTAGCTTCCACACAGCGTTACGCAACCGATGAAAAGATATTGCCGCTCGACTGATTCGGAGTGAGACCTCTGCTATTAAACACACAGACACACACATAGATACACACACACAGACACAGATGGTGGTGATGGTGGTGGTAGTGATGGTGGTGATGGTGGTGGTAGTGGTGGTAGTGATGCTGGTGATGGTAGTGATGGTGGTAATGGTGATGGCGGTGATGATGATGGTGGTGGTGATGTTGATGGTGGTGATGTTGATGGTGATGGTGGTGATGTTGATGGTGGTGGTGATGGTGGTGATGGTGGTGATGGACGTGATGGTGATGGTGGTGATGGTGGTGATGGTGGTGATGGTGATGTTGACGGTGGTGATGGTGGTGGTAGTTATGGTAGTGATGATAGTAACGGTAGTGATGGTAGTGGTAGTGATGGTAGTGATGGTGATGATGGTGGTGGTGGTGGTAATGGAGGTGATGGTGGTGATGGTGATGATGGTGGTGGTGATGTTGACGGTGGTGATGGTAGTGATGGTAGTAACGGTAGTGATGGTAGTGGTAGTGATGGTGATGATGGTGGTGATGTTGACGGTGGTGGTGATGGTGGTGATGGTGGTGATGGAGGTGATGGTGGTGATTGTGGTGATGGTGATGGTGATGTTGAAGGTAGTGATGGTAGTAACGGTAGTGATGGTAGTGATGGTGATGATGGTGGTGATGGAGGTAATGGTGGTGATGGTGATGATGGTGGTGGTGATGTTGACGGTGGTGATGGTGGTGGTAGTGATGGTAGTGATGGTAGTGGTAGTGATGGTGATGATGGTGGTGGTGATGGTGGTGATGTTGACGGTGGTGGTGGTGATGGTGGTGATGGTGGTGGTGGTGATGGTAGTGATGGTGGTAATGATGATGGTGGTGATGATGATGGTGGTGGTGGTGATGTTGATGGTGGTGGTGGTGATGTTGACGGTAGTGATGGTAGTGGTAGTGATGGTAGTGATGGTGATGATGATGGTGGTGGTGATGCCATCCTCACCAAGATGTGTGTCTCCCAGGTGCTGCAGGAGCTGGGCTGGATGGGGCCCATGAGCTCTGTACAGACCTCCCTCAGACGGTTCTCCATACCTACAACATCAACAACATCACCATCACCAACATCACCACCATCAACATCATCAACATCATCACCACCACCATCAACATCATCACTATCAATAACATCAACATCAACAACAACATCACCACCATCATCATCATCACTATCATCATCATCAACAACAACATCAACAACATCATCACCATACAGACCTCCCTCAGACGGCTCTCCATACCTACAACATCAACAACATCACCATCACCAACATCACCACCATCAACATCATCAACATCATCACCACCACCATCAACATCATCACTATCAATAACATCAACATCACCATCAACATCACCATCACCAACATCACCATCATCATCATCATCACCATCATCACTATCATCATCACCATCATCATCACCACCATCATCACCATCAACATCATCACCATCATCATCACCACCATCATCACCACCATCAACATCATCACCATCACCACCATCAACATAACCATCATCACCATCATCACCACCATCAACATCACCATCATCACCATCAACATCACCATCATCATCATGTATAGTGTATAGTGTAGTGTATAGTAGTGTAGTGCATAGTGTAGTGTATAGTGCTGTAGTGTATAGTATAGTAGTGTATAGCATAGTAGTGTATAGTAGTGTATAGTGTAGTGTATAGTAGTGTAGAGTATAGTAGTGTATAGTGTAGTAGTGTATAGTATAGTAGTGTATAGTAGTGTAGTGTATAGTGTATAGTAGTGTATAGTATAGTAGTGTATAGTGTAAAGTATAGTAGTGTATAGTGTAGTGTATAGTGTAGTGTATTTACCCTCCTGAGCGAGGTATCTGGTGTAGGCAGTGAGCCAGTGGCGATATTGTAGTGTATAGTAGTGTATAGTGTATAGTAGTGTATAGTGTATAGTAGTGTATAGTGTAGTGTATTTACCCTCCTGAGCGAGGTATCTGGTGTAGGCAGTGAGCCAGTGGCGATATTGTAGTGTATAGTATAGTAGTGTATAGTGTAGTGTATAGTGTAGTGTATAGTAGTGTATAGTGTAGTGTATAGTGTATAGTATAGTAGTGTATAGTATAGTAGTGTATAGTGTATAGTAGTGTATAGTGTATAGTAGTGTATAGTGTATAGTAGTGTATAGTGTATAGTAGTGTATAGTGTAGTGTATTTACACTCCTGAGCGAGGTATCTGGTGTAGGCAGTGAGCCAGTGGCGATATTGTAGTGTATAGTATAGTAGTGTATAGTGTAGTGTAAAGTGTAGTGTATAGTAGTGTATAGTGTAGTGTATTTACCCTCCTGAGCGAGGTATCTGGTGTAGGCAGTGAGCCAGTGGCGATATTGTAGTGTATAGTATAGTAGTGTATAGTAGTGTATAGTGTATAGTAGTGTATTGTATAGTGTAGTGTATAGTGTATAGTAGTGTATAGTGTAGTGTATTTACCCTCCTGAGCGAGGTATCTGGTGTAGGCAGTGAGCCAGTGGCGATATTGTAGTGTATAGTATAGTAGTGTATAGTGTAGTGTAAAGTGTAGTGTATAGTAGTGTATAGTGTAGTGTATTTACCCTCCTGAGCGAGGTATCTGGTGTAGGCAGTGAGCCAGTGGCGATATTGTAGTGTATAGTATAGTAGTGTATAGTAGTGTATAGTGTATAGTAGTGTATAGTGTATAGTAGTGTATAGTGTATAGTAGTGTATAGTGTAGTGTATTTACCCTCCTGAGCGAGGTATCTGGTGTAGGCAGTGAGCCAGTGGCGATATTGTAGTGTATAGTATAGTAGTGTATAGTGTATAGTAGTGTATAGTATAGTAGTGTATAGTATAGTAGTGTATAGTGTATAGTAGTGTATAGTATAGTAGTGTATAGTATAGTAGTGTATAGTGTATAGTAGTGTATAGTGTATAGTAGTGTATAGGGTAGTGTATTTACCCTCCTGAGCGAGGTATCTGGTGTAGGCAGTGAGCCAGTGGCGATATTGTAGTGTATAGTATAGTAGTGTATAGTAGTGTATAGTGTAGTGTATAGTAGTGTATAGTGTAGTGTATTTACCCTCCTGAGCGAGGTATCTGGTGTAGGCAGTGAGCCAGTGGCGATATTGTAGTGTATAGTATAGTAGTGTATAGTAGTGTATAGTGTATAGTAGTGTATAGTGTATAGTAGTGTATAGTGTATAGTAGTGTATAGTGTATAGTAGTGTATAGTGTAGTGTATTTACCCTCCTGAGCGAGGTATCTGGTGTAGGCAGTGAGCCAGTGGCGATATTGTAGTGTATAGTATAGTAGTGTATAGTGTATAGTAGTGTATAGTATAGTAGTGTATAGTGTATAGTAGTGTATAGTATAGTAGTGTATAGTATAGTAGTGTATAGTGTATAGTAGTGTATAGTGTATAGTAGTGTATAGTGTAGTGTATTTACCCTCCTGAGCGAGGTATCTGGTGTAGGCAGTGAGCCAGTGGCGATATTGTAGTGTATAGTATAGTAGTGTATAGTAGTGTATAGTGTATAGTAGTGTATTGTATAGTGTAGTGTATAGTGTATAGTAGTGTATAGTGTAGTGTATTTACCCTCCTGAGCGAGGTATCTGGTGTAGGCAGTGAGCCAGTGGCGATATTGTAGTGTATAGTATAGTAGTGTATAGTGTAGTGTAAAGTGTAGTGTATAGTAGTGTATAGTGTAGTGTATTTACCCTCCTGAGCGAGGTATCTGGTGTAGGCAGTGAGCCAGTGGCGATATTGTAGTGTATAGTAGTGTATAGTGTATAGTAGTGTATAGTGTATAGTAGTGTATAGTGTAGTGTATTTACCCTCCTGAGCGAGGTATCTGGTGTAGGCAGTGAGCCAGTGGCGATATTGTAGTGTATAGTATAGTAGTGTATAGTAGTGTATAGTATAGTAGTGTATAGTATAGTAGTGTATAGTGTATAGTAGTGTATAGTATAGTAGTGTATAGTATAGTAGTGTATAGTGTATAGTAGTGTATAGTGTATAGTAGTGTATAGTGTAGTGTATTTACCCTCCTGAGCGAGGTATCTGGTGTAGGCAGTGAGCCAGTGGCGATATTGTAGTGTATAGTATAGTAGTGTATAGTGTAGTGTAAAGTGTAGTGTATAGTAGTGTATAGTGTAGTGTATTTACCCTCCTGAGCGAGGTATCTGGTGTAGGCAGTGAGCCAGTGGCGATATTGTAGTGTATAGTATAGTAGTGTATAGTAGTGTATAGTGTATAGTAGTGTATAGTGTATAGTAGTGTATAGTGTATAGTAGTGTATAGTGTAGTGTATTTACCCTCCTGAGCGAGGTATCTGGTGTAGGCAGTGAGCCAGTGGCGATATTGTAGTGTATAGTATAGTAGTGTATAGTGTATAGTAGTGTATAGTATAGTAGTGTATAGTATAGTAGTGTATAGTGTATAGTAGTGTATAGTATAGTAGTGTATAGTATAGTAGTGTATAGTGTATAGTAGTGTATAGTGTATAGTAGTGTATAGGGTAGTGTATTTACCCTCCTGAGCGAGGTATCTGGTGTAGGCAGTGAGCCAGTGGCGATATTGTAGTGTACAGTATAGTAGTGTATAGTAGTGTATAGTGTAGTGTATAGTAGTGTATAGTGTAGTGTATTTACCCTCCTGAGCGAGGTATCTGGTGTAGGCAGTGAGCCAGTGGCGATATTGTAGTGTATAGTATAGTAGTGTATAGTAGTGTATAGTGTATAGTAGTGTATAGTGTATAGTAGTGTATAGTGTATGGTAGTGTATAGGGTAGTGTATTTACCCTCCTGAGCGAGGTATCTGGTGTAGGCAGTGAGCCAGTGGCGATATTGTAGTGTACAGTATAGTAGTGTATAGTAGTGTATAGTGTAGTGTATAGTAGTGTATAGTGTAGTGTATTTACCCTCCTGAGCGAGGTATCTGGTGTAGGCAGTGAGCCAGTGGCGATATTGTAGTGTATAGTATAGTAGTGTATAGTGTATAGTAGTGTATAGTGTATAGTAGTGTATAGTGTATAGTAGTGTATAGTGTAGTGTATTTACCCTCCTGAGCGAGGTATCTGGTGTAGGCAGTGAGCCAGTGGCGATATTGTAGTGTATAGTGTATAGTAGTGTATAGTATATAGTAGTGTATAGTGTAGTGTATAGTGTAGTGTATTTACCCTCCTGAGCGAGGTATCTGGTGTAGGCAGTGAGCCAGTGGCGATATTGTAGTGTATAGTATAGTAGTGTATAGTGTATAGTAGTGTATAGTATAGTAGTGTATAGTGTAGTGTATAGTATAGTAGTGTATAGTAGTGTATAGTGTAGTGTATTTACCCTCCTGAGCGAGGTATCTGGTGTAGGCAGTGAGCCAGTGGCGATATTCCCCCGGCGAGCCCAGCGACAAGGCCGCTGCCGTCTGAGCCTCCAGCTGAGCCACAGAACAGCTGCGCTGCAAGCTAGGAGACACGGCGGAGACACGCAGAGCCTGGCGTGCACCGCTAGAGACACGGAGACACACAGAGACACGGGGTGAGACACACAGACACACACAGACACACACAGACACACACAGAGACACACAGAGACACGGGGTGAGACACACACACACAGACACACACACAGCTGCGCTGCAAGCTAGGAGACACGGCGGAGACACGCAGAGCCTGGCGTGCACCGCTAGAGACACGGAGACACACAGAGACACGGGGTGAGACACACAGACACACACAGACACACACAGACACACACAGAGACACACAGAGACACGGGGTGAGACACACACACACAGACACACACACAGCTGCGCTGCAAGCTAGGAGACACGGCGGAGACACGCAGAGCCTGGCGTGCACCGCTAGAGACACGGAGACACACAGAGACACGGGGTGAGACACACAGACACACACAGACACACACAGAGACACGGGGTGAGACACAGACACACAGAGACACACACAGAGACACACACACATAGAAACACACAAACACACACAGAGACACGCAGACAGCTGCGCTGCAAGCTAGGAGACACGGCGGAGACACGCAGAGCCTGGCGTGCACCGCTAGAGACACGGAGACACACAGAGACACGGGGTGAGACACACAGACACGGGGTGAGACACAGACACACAAAGACACACACAGACACACACACACACAGAGACACACAGACACACACAGAGACACACAGACAGCTGCGCTGCAAGCTAGGAGACACGGCGGAGACACGCAGAGCCTGGCGTGCACCGCTAGAGACACGGAGACACACAGAGACACGGGGTGAGACACACAGACACGGGGTGAGACACATACAGAGACACGGGGTGAGACACACAGACACGGGGTGAGACACAGACACACACAGAGACACACAGAGACACACAGAGACACGGGGTGAGACACACAGACACACAGAGACACACACAGAGACACACAGAGACACACACACAGACACACACAGACACACAGAGACACACACAGAGACACACACACACATAGAGACACACAGAGACACACACAGAGACACACAGACAGCTGCGCTGCAAGCTAGGAGACACGGCGGAGACACGCAGAGCCTGGCGTGCACCGCTAGAGACACGGAGACACACAGAGACACGGGGTGAGACACACAGACACGGGGTGAGACACAGACACACACAGACACACACAGAGACACACACACACAGACACACACACAGCTGCGCTGCAAGCTAGGAGACACGCAGAGCCTAGCGTGCACCGCTAGAGACACGGAGACACACAGAGACACGGGGTGAGACACGGGGTGAGACACAGACACAGACACACAGAGACACACACAGAGACACACACATAGAGACACACAGACACACACAGAGACACACAGACACACACAGAGACACACAGACAGCTGCGCTGCAAGCTAGGAGACACGCAGAGCCTGGCGTGCACCGCTAGAGACACGGAGACACACAGAGTCACGGGGTGAGACACACAGAGACACACAGACACACACAGACACACACAGAGACACGGGGTGAGACACACACACACAGACACAAACAGAGACACACAGAGACACGGGCTGAGACACACACACACAGACACACACACAGCTGCGCTGCAAGCTAGGAGACATGCAGAGCCTAGCGTGCACCGCTAGAGACACGGAGACACACAGAGACACGGGGTGAGACACGGGGTGAGACACAGACACACAGAGACACACACAGAGACACACACACAGAGACACACAGACACACACAGAGACACACAGACAGCTGCGCTGCAAGCTAGGAGACACGGTGGAGACACGCAGAGCCTGGCGTGCACCGCTAGAGACACGGAGACACACAGAGACACGGGGTGAGACACACAGACACACACAGACACACACAGACACACACACAGAGACACGGGGTGAGACACACAGACACGGGGTGAGACACAGACACACACAGACACACACAGAGACACACAGAGACACGAGGTGAGACACACAGAGACACACACACAGACACACAGACAGCTGCGCTGCAAGCTAGGAGACACGGCGGAGACACGCAGAGCCTGGCGTGCACCGCTAGAGACACGGAGACACACAGAGACACGGGGTGAGACACACAGACACACAGAGACACATACAGAGACACGGGGTGAGACACACAGAGACACACAGAGACACACACTACACACACACTACACACACTACACACACACAGACACACACACCACACACACACTACACACACACCACACACTACACACACACACACAGACACACACAGACACACACACCTACAAACACACACACACACACTACACACACACTACACAGACACACACACAGACACACACACACACTACACACACACTACACACACACACACACTACACACACACTACACACACACTACACACACACACTACACACACACACTACACACACAGTGACACACACACACACACTACACACTACACACACACACACTACACACACAGTGACACACACACACACACTACACACACTACACACACACACTACACACACAGTGACACACTACACACACTACACACACTACACACACACTACACACACTACACACACACACTACACACACAGTGACACACACACACACAGTGACACACACTACACACACACTACACACACACAGTCACGTGCCTGTGTGCGCGAGTCTGCAGGGCGGCGAGTGGGCCTGAGCAGTGCAGTGCATTCTGGGAGGCGAGGCAACCCCGGAGGTCGGAGCACAGGGGCAGCACATCGTGGCGGTCACAGATCAACGTCCTGTAAACAACAACAACTACAACTATACAACAACTATACAACAACAACAACTAAACAACAACAACTAAACAACAACAACCACAACATCAACAACAACTAAACAACAACATCATCCACCACTCCTAGCACAGGGGCAGCACATCGTGGCGGTCACAGATCAACGTCCTGTAAACAACAACAACAACTACAACAACAACTACAACAACTATACAACAACTATACAACAACAACTATACAACTAAACAACAACAACTACAACTATACAACAACAACTATACAACAACTAAACAACAACAACTAGAACTAAACAACAACAACTACTATACAACAACAACTAAACAACAACTAAAACAACATCATTCACCACTCTAGCACAGGGGCAGCACATCGTGGCGGTCACAGATCAACGTCCTGTAAACAACAACAACAACTACAACAACAACTACAACAACTATACAACAACTATACAACAACAACTATACAACTAAACAACAACAACTACAACTATACAACAACAACTATACAACAACTAAACAACAACAACTAGAACTAAACAACAACAACTACTATACAACAACAACTAAACAACAACTAAACAACATCATTCACCACTCCTAGCACAGGGGCAGCACATCGTGGCGGTCACAGATCAACGTCCTGTAAACAACAACAACAACTACAACAACAACTACAACAACTATACAACAACTATACAACAACAACTATACAACTAAACAACAACAAACTACAACTATACAACAACAACTATACAACAACTAAACAACAACAACTAGAACTAAACAACAACAACTACTATACAACAACAACTAAACAACAACTAAACAACATCATTCACCACTCCTAGCACAGGGGCAGCACATCGTGGCGGTCACAGATCAACGTCCTGTAAACAACAACAACAACTACAACAACAACTACAACAACTATACAACAACTATACAACAACAACTATACAACTAAACAACAACAACTACAACTATACAACAACAACTATACAACAACTAAACAACAACAACTAGAACTAAACAACAACAACTACTATACAACAACAACTAAACAACAACTAAACAACATCATTCACCACTCCTAGCACAGGGGCAGCACATCGTGGCGGTCACAGATCAACGTCCTGTAAACAACAACAACAACAACTATACAACAACTATACAACAACAACTAAACAACAACAACTACAACTATACAACAACTAAACAACAACAACTAAACAACAACAACCACAACATCAACAACAACTAAACAACAACAACCACAACAACAACAACTATACAACAACTATACAACAACAACAACTAAACAACAACAACTACACAACAACAACTACAACAACTAAACAACAACAACTAAACAACAACAACTACACAACAACAACTACAACAACTAAACAACAACAACTACAACAACAACTAAACAACAACAACTACACAACAACAACTAAACAACAACAACTACAACAACAACTAAACAACAACAACTACACAACAACTAAACAACAACAACTAAACAACAACAACTACAACAACAACTAAACAACAACAACCACAACAACTAAAGAACAACTAAACAACAACAACTACAACAACAACCCTCACCCTCACCACCACTCTCACCACCCTCACCACCCTCACCACCACCACCACCCTCACCACCACCACCCTCACCACCACCACCCTCACCACCACCACCCTCACCACCACCACCCTCACCACCACCCTCACCACCACCACTCTCACCACCACCCTCACCACCACCCTCACCACCACCCTCACCACACCCTCACCAGCAGTGCAGGCTGCTGCTGTAGCAGTACCACCCTCACCACCCTCACCACCACTCACCACCACCCTCACCACCACCACCCTCACCACCACCCTCACCACCCTCACCACCACCCTCACCACCACCCTCACCACCACTCACCACCACCCTCACCACCACCCTCACCACCACCCTCACCACCACCACCACCACACACCACCACCCTCACCACCACCCTCACCACCACCCTCACCACCACCCTTCACCACCACCCTCACCACCACCCTCACCACCACCCTCACCACCACCCTTCACCACCACCCTCACCACCACCCTCACCACCACCCTCACCACCACCCTTCACCACCACCCTTCACCACCACTCTCACCACCACCCTCACCACCACCCTCACCACCCTCACCACCACCCTCACCAGCAGTGCAGGCTGCTGCTGTAGCAGTAGCACCCTCACCACCCCTCACCACCACCCTCACCACCACCCTCACCACCACCCTCACCACCACTCACCACCACCATCACCAGCAGTGCAGGCTGCTGCTGTAGCAGTAGCACCCTCACCACCCCTCACCACCACCCTCACCACCACCCTCACCACCCCCACCACCACCCTCACCACCCCCACCACCACCCTCACCACCACCCTCACCACCACCCTCACCACCCTCACCACCACCCTCACCACCACCCTCACCACCACCCTCACCCTCACCACCCTCACCACCCCTCACCACCACCCTCACCACCACCCTCACCACTCTCACCACTCACCACCACCCTCACCAGCAGTGCAGGCTGCTGCTGTAGCAGTAGGTGCGTCCGTTGCTCAGGGACACCACGGGGCGACCCTCCGGGGTCAAAGTGCAGCCCCCAGCAGCCAGAGACTCCCCTCCTGGGGGGGTGACATCACTTCCTGTGTGACATCTCTTCCTGTCTGTCACCACTTCCTGTGTATCTGCAATCACTTCCTGTATGACATCACTTCCTGTGTCTGTGATCACTTGCTGTATGACATCACTTCCTGTCTGCGATCACTTAGGTGCTATAGCTTGCTGTCACCACATCCTGTAACATCACTTCCTGTGTCTGATTACTCCGTGACATCATTTCCTGCAGATGCCATCACTTCCTGTGGGGCATCACTTCCTGTGTCTGTCACCACTTCCTCTCTGCTTGTGTGACATCACTTCCGGTGTAGCATCACTTCCGGTGTGGCCTCATCACTTCCTGCGTGTGCGACGCCTCTTCCCGCGTGTGTGACGTCACTTCCTGTGTGTGCGACGTCACTTCCTTCGTGCGCGTTACCGTGCATGATGGGAGCCATCGATCGGTTGTCCACGATGACGCGGCCGCTCTTGAGGTCCCTGAGTGGAGGAGGGGATGGGGAGGAGTCACGCCCACACCTCACCCACGCCCACGCCTCACCCACGCCCACACCTCGCTCACGAGCCACGCCCACACCTCGCCCGCTAGCCACGCCCACACCTCGCCCACGCCTCGACCACGAGCCACGCCCACACCTCGCCCGCTAGCCACGCCTCACCCACGAGCCACGCCCACACCTCACCCGCGAGCCACGCCCACACCTCACCCGTTAGCCACACCCACACCTCACCCGCGAGCCATGCCCACACCTCGCCCACACCTCGCCCACACCTCACCCGCGAGCCACGCCCACACCTCACCCGTTAGCCACACCCACACCTCACCCGCGAGCCATGCCCACACCTCGCCCACACCTCGCCCACACCTCACCCCGCGAGCCACGCCCACACCTCGCCCACACCTCACCTACGAGCCACGCCCACACCTCACCCACGAGCCACGCCCACACCTCACCCGCGAGCCACGCCCACACCTCGCCCACGCCCACACCTTGCCCGCTAGCCACGCCCACACCTCACCCACGAGCCACGCCCACACCCCACCCACGAGCCACGCCCACACCCCACCCACTAGCCACGCCCACACCAGTGAGCCTCATGAGACTTCACGCAGCTCACGAACTTCATCACTATGAACCCAACCACCCTGACCATCTTAACCACCCTGACCATCTTAACCACCCTGACCATCTTAACCACCCTGACCATCTTAACCACGCTGACCATCTTAACCACCCTGACCATCTTAACCACCCTGACCATCTTAACCACGCTGACCATCTTAACCACCCTGACCATCTTAACCACCCTGACCATCTTAACCACGCTGACCATCTTAACCACCCTGACCATCTTAACCACCCTGACCATCTTAACCACCCTGACCATCTTAACCACGCTGACCATCTTAACCACGCTGACCATCTTAACCACGCTGACCATCTTAACCACCCTGACCATCTTAACCACCCTGACCATCTTAACCACCCTGACCATCTTAACCACCCTGACCATCTTAACTACCCTGACCATCTTAACCACCCTGACCATCTTAACCACGCTGACCATCTTAACCACCCTGACCATCTTAACCACGCTGACCATCTTAACCACCCTGACCATCTTAACCATGCTGACCATCTTAACCACGCTGACCATCTTAACCACCCTGACCATCTTAACCACGCTGATCATCTTAACCACCCTGACCATCTCATCCAGGCTGGCCATCTCATCCACGCTGACCATCTTAACCACGCTGACCATCTTAACCACGCTGATCATCTTAACCACGCTGATCATCTTAACCACCCTGACCATCTTAACCACCCTGACCATCTTAACCACGCTGACCATCTTAACCACGCTGACCATCTTAACCAACCTGACCATCTTAACCACCCTGACCATCTTAACCACCCTGACCATCTTAACCACGCTGACCATCTTAACCACCCTGACCATCTTAACCACGCTGACCATCTTAACCACGCTGACCATCTTAACCACGCTGACCATCTTAACCACCCTGACCATCTTAACCACCCTGACCATCTTAACCACCCTGACCATCTTAACCACGCTGACCATCTTAACCACCCTGACCATCTTAACCACGCTGACCATCTTAACCACCCTGACCATCTTAACCACGCTGACCATCTTAACCACGCTGACCATCTTAACCACGCTGACCATCCTAACCACGCTGACAATCCTAACCACGCTGACCATCTTAACCACCCTGACCATCTTAACCACCCTGACCATCTTAACCACCCTGACCATCTTAACCACCCTGACCATCTTAACCACCCTGACCATCTTAACCACCCTGACCATCTTAACCACCCTGACCATCTTAACCACCCTGACCATCTTAACCACCCTGACCATCTTAACCACGCTGACCATCTTAACCACCCTGACCATCTTAACCACCCTGACCATCTTAACCACGCTGACCATCTTAACCACGCTGACCATCTTAACCACCCTGACCATCTTAACCACGCTGACCATCTTAACACCCTGACCATCTTAAACCACCCTGACCATCTTAACCACGCTGACCATCTTAACCACGCTGACCATCTTAACCACCCTGACCATCTTAACCACGCTGACCATCTTAACCACCCTGACCATCTTAACCACGCTGACCATCTTAACCACCCTGACCATCTTAACCACCCTGACCATCTTAACCACGCTGACCATCTTAACTACGCTGACCATCTTAACCACGCTGACCATCTTAACCACGCTGACCATCTTAACCACCCTGACCATCTTAACCACGCTGACCATCTTAACCACGCTGACCATCTTTACCACCCTGACCATCTTAACCACCCTGACCATCTTAACCACCCTGACCATCTTAACCACCCTGACCATCTTAACCACGCTGACCATCTTAACCACCCTGAACATCTTAACCACCCTGACCATCTTAACCACCCTGACCATCTTACAACCACCCTGACCATCTTAAACCACGCTGACCATCTTAACCACCGCTGACCATCTTAACCACGCTGACCATCTTAAACCACCCTGACCATCTTAACCACCCTGACCATCTTAACCACGCTGACCATCTTAACCACGCTGACCATCTAACCACCCTGACCATCTTAACCACGCTGACCATCTTAACCACGCTGACCATCTTAACCACCCTGACCATCTTAACCACCCTGACCATCTTAACCACGCTGACCATCTTAACCACGCTGACCATCTTAACCACCCTGACCATCTTAACCACGCTGACCATCTTAACCACGCTGACCATCTTTACCACCCTGACCATCTTAACCACCCTGACCATCTTAACCACCCTGACCATCTTAACCACGCTGACCATCTTAACCACCCTGAACATCTTAACCACCCTGACCATCTTAACCACCCTGACCATCTTAACCACCCTGACCATCTTAACCACGCTGACCATCTTAACCACCCTGACCATCTTAACCACGCTGACCATCTTAACCACCCTGACCATCCTAACCACCCTGACCATCTTAACCACCCTGACCATCTTAACCACCCTGACCATCTTAACCACGCTGACCATCTTAACTACGCTGACCATCTTAACCACGCTGACCATCTTAACCACGCTGACCATCTTAACCACCCTGACCATCTTAACCACGCTGACCATCTTAACCACGCTGACCATCTTAACCATGCTGACCATCTTAACCACCCTGACCATCTTAACCACCCTGACCATCTTAACCACCCTGACCATCTTAACCACCCTGACCATCTTAACCACCCTGACCATCTTAACCACGCTGACCATCTTAACCATGCTGACCATCTTAACCACCCTGACCATCTTTACCACCCTGACCATCTTAACCACCCTGACCATCTTAACCACCCTGACCATCTTAACCACCCTGACCATCTTAACCACGCTGACCATCTTAACCACCCTGAACATCTTAACCACCCTGACCATCTTAACCACCCTGACCATCTTAACCACCCTGACCATCTTAACCACGCTGACCATCTTAACCACGCTGACCATCTTAACCACGCTGACCATCTTAACCACCCTGACCATCTTAACCACCCTGACCATCTTAACCACGCTGACCATCTTAACCATCTTAACCACGCTGACGAGGTGGGGTGAGCGGTCGGGTGAGCAGTGGGGTGAGGGGTGGGGTGAGCGGTGGGGTGAGCGGTGGGGTGAGCGGTGGGGTGAGCGGTGGAGTGAGCGGTGGGGTGAGCGGTGGGGTGAGCGGTGGGGTGAGGGGTGGGGTGAGGGGTGAGCGGTGGGGTGAGCAGTGGGGTGAGCGGTGGAGTGAGCGGTGGGGTGAGCGGTGGGGTGAGCGGTGGGGTGAGCGGTGGGGCGAGCGGCTGAGCGGTGGGGTGAGCGGCGGGGTGAGCGGTGGGGTGAGCGGCTGAGCGGTGGGCGCTCACCAGACAGAGACGCAGGCGGTGGTGGTGATGGCCATGGTGAGCCAAGCGTTGCTGGTGAGCGCCGCTGGTGAGGCGGTGAGGACCAGCGGTGGACACACACGGCGCCCGCATGGCGAGAAGGCCAGGAGCGTGCGGTCCTCGCTCACCACGCTCACCACCTCGCTGCTCACCACACACACACACACAGTCACTCACCACCTCGCTGCTCACCACACACACACACACAGTCACTCACTCACCACACTCACACACAGTCACTCACCACACACACACACACACAGTCGCTCACCACGCTCACCACCTCGCTACTCACCACACACACACACACAGTCACTCACCACCTCGCTACTCACCACACACACACAGTCACTCACCACACTCACACACAGTCACTCACCACACACACACAGTCAGTCACCACGCTCACCACGCTCACCACCTCGCGACTCACCACACACACACACACAGTCACTCACCACGCTCACCACGCTCACCACCTCGCTACTCACCACACACACACACACACAGTCACTCACCACACTCACCACCTCGCTACTCACCACACACACACACCGTCACTTACCACACTCACCACGCTCACCACCTCGCTACTCACCACACACACACACACCGTCACTCACCACGCTCACCACACACACACCGTCACTCACCACCTCGCTACTCACCACACACACACACACCGTCACTCACCACGCTCACACCACCACACAGCTCTGACTTCACGTTGACCCCGGGCTGACCTCGCGACCTAACGTTGACCCCGTGACCTAACGTTGACCCCGTGACCCCCCGCCCATGTTGACTCTGTGACCCCTCTGCATTCATCCCCATGACCCCCCGCGTTGACCCCGTGACCCCCTCCCCCCCCCCCGCGTGGACCCCGTGACCCCCCAGCGTTGACCCCGTGACCCCTCCGCCCCACGTTGACCCCGTGACCCCTCCCCCGCCCCACGTTGACCCCGTGACCCCGCCCACGTGACCCTCACGTGTTCCCCGTGGCGGCGAGGACCGGTGACACGGTCACGGCGTCCCACAGCGGGCGGCCGAGACGGAGACAGCGCAGCAGGTGGAGACGCGGAGACACGGAGACATCGTTGTCCACGTCCAGCTGGGTCAACGGGTCCCCACAGATCTGAGACACACAGAGACACAGAGAGACACAGAGACACAGAGACACAGAGACACAGAGTGAGACACACAGAGACACAGAGACAGCGCAGCAGGTGGAGACGCGGAGACACGGAGACATCGTTGTCCACGTCCAGCTGGGTCAACGGGTCCCCACAGATCTGAGACACACAGAGACACAGACACACAGAGACACACAGAGACACAGAGACACAGAGACACACAGAGACACAGAGACAGCGCAGCAGGTGGAGACGCGGAGACACAGAGACATCGTTGTCCACGTCCAGCTGGGTCAACGGGTCCCCACAGATCTGAGACACACAGAGACACAGAGACACAGAGACACAGAGACACAGAGACACAGAGTGAGACACACAGAGACACAGAGACAGCGCAGCAGGTGGAGACGCGGAGACACGGAGACATCGTTGTCCACGTCCAGCTGGGTCAACGGGTCCCCACAGATCTGAGACACACAGAGACACAGAGACACAGAGTGAGACACACAGAGACACAGAGACACAGAGACACAGAGACACACAGAGTGAGACACACAGAGACACAGAGACAGCGCAGCAGGTGGAGACGCGGAGACACGGAGACATCGTTGTCTACGTCCAGCTGGGTCAACGGGTCCCCACAGATCTGAGACACACAGAGACACAGAGACACAGAGTGAGACACACAGAGACACAGAGACACAGAGACACAGAGACACACAGAGTGAGACACACAGAGACACAGAGACAGCGCAGCAGGTGGAGACGCGGAGACACGGAGACATCGTTGTCTACGTCCAGCTGGGTCAACGGGTCCCCACAGATCTGAGACACACAGAGACACAGGGAGACACACAGAGTGAGACACACAGAGACACACAGAGACACAGAGTGAGACACAGAGACACAGAGACAGCGCAGCAGGTGGAGACGCGGAGACACGGAGACATCGTTGTCCACGTCCAGCTGGGTCAACGGGTCCCCACAGATCTGAGACACACAGAGACACAGAGTGAGACACAGAGACACAGAGTGAGACACACAGAGACACAGAGACACAGAGTGAGACACACAGAGACACAGAGACAGCGCAGCAGGTGGAGACGCGGAGACACGGAGACATCGTTGTCCACGTCCAGCTGGGTCAACGGGTCCCCACAGATCTGAGACACACAGAGAGACACAGAGTGAGACACAGAGACACACAGAGAGACACAGAGTGAGACACACAGAGACACACAGAGACACGGAGACATCGTTGTCTACGTCCAGCTGGGTCAACGGGTCCCCACAGATCTGAGACACACAGAGAGACACAGAGTGAGACACACAGAGACACACAGAGACACGGAGACATCGTTGTCCACGTCCAGCTGGGTCAACGGGTCCCCACAGATCTGAGACACACAGACACACAGAGACACAGAGTGAGACACACAGAGACACAGAGTGAGACACACAGAGACACAGAGTGAGACACACAGACACACAGAGAGACACAGAGACACAGAGACACAGAGTGAGACACACAGAGACACAGAGTGAGACACACAGAGACACACAGAGACACAGAGTGAGACACACAGAGTGAGACACACAGAGACACAGAGACAGCGCAGCAGGTGGAGACGCGGAGACACGGAGACATCGTTGTCTACGTCCAGCTGGGTCAACGGGTCCCCACAGATCTGAGACACAGAGACACACAGAGACACAGAGACACAGAGACACAGAGTGAGACACACAGAGACACAGAGACACAGAGACATCGTTGTCCACGTCCAGCTGGGTCAACGGGTCCCCACAGATCTGAGACACACAGAGACACAGAGACACGGAGTGAGACACACACACAGACACAGAGTGAGACACACAGAGACACAGAGTGAGACACACAGAGACACAGAGACAGCGCAGCAGGTGGAGACGCGGAGACACGGAGACATCGTTGTCCACGTCCAGCTGGGTCAACGGGTCCCCACAGATCTGAGACACACAGAGAGACACAGAGACACAGAGACACAGAGACACAGAGACACAGAGTGAGACACACAGAGACACACAGAGTGAGACACACAGAGACACAGAGACAGCGCAGCAGGTGGAGACGCGGAGACACGGAGACATCGTTGTCCACGTCCAGCTGGGTCAACGGGTCCCCACAGATCTGAGACACACAGAGAGACACAGAGACAGGGAGACACAGAGTGAGACACACAGAGACACAGAGTGAGACACACAGAGACACAGAGACAGCGCAGCAGGTGGAGACGCGGAGACACGGAGACATCGTTGTCCACGTCCAGCTGGGTCAACGGGTCCCCACAGATCTGAGACACACAGAGACACAGAGACACAGAGACACAGAGTGAGACACACAGAGACACAGAGTGAGACACACAGAGACACAGAGACAGTGCAGCAGGTGGAGACGCGGAGACACGGAGACATCGTTGTCCACGTCCAGCTGGGTCAACGGGTCCCCACAGATCTGAGACACACAGAGAGACACACAGAGTGAGACACAGAGACACAGAGTGAGACACACAGAGACACAGAGTGAGACACACAAAGACACACAGAGAGACACAGAGACACAGAGACACAGAGTGAGACACACAGAGACACAGAGTGAGACACACAGAGAGACACAGAGTGAGACACACAGAGAGACACAGAGACACGGAGACATCGTTGTCCACGTCCAGCTGGGTCATCGGGTCCCCACAGATCTGAGACACAGAGACACAGAGACACACAGAGTGAGACACACAGAGACACAGAGTGAGACACACAGAGACACAGAGACACAGAGTGAGACACACAGAGACACAGAGACACAGAGTGAGACACACAGAGACACAGAGACAGCGCAGCAGGTGGAGACGCGGAGACACGGAGACATCGTTGTCCACGTCCAGCTGGGTCAACGGGTCCCCACAGATCTGAGACACACAGAGACACAGAGACACACAGAGACACAGAGACACAGAGTGAGACACACAGAGACACAGAGAGACATCGTTGTCCACGTCCAGCTGGGTCAACGGGTCCCCACAGATCTGAGACACGGAGACACAGAGACACAGAGTGAGACACACAGAGACACAGAGAGACATCGTTGTCCACGTCCAGCTGGGTCAACGGGTCCCCACAGATCTGAGACACACAGAGAGACACAGAGACACAGAGTGAGACACACAGAGTGAGACACACAGAGACACAGAGTGAGACACACAGAGACACACAGAGACACACAGAGACACAGAGTGAGACACACAGAGACACACAGAGACACAGAGACACAGAGACACAGAGTGAGACACACAGAGACACAGAGACAGCGCAGCAGGTGGAGACGCGGAGACACGGAGACATCGTTGTCCACGTCCAGCTGGGTCAACGGGTCCCCACAGATCTGAGACACACAGAGAGACACAGAGACACAGAGTGAGACACACAGAGTGAGACACACAGAGACACAGAGACACAGAGTGAGACACACAGAGACACACAGAGACAGGGAGACATCGTTGTCTACGTCCAGCTGGGTCAACGGGTCCCCACAGATCTGAGACACAGAGACACAGAGTGAGACACAGAGCGAGACACAAAGAGACACATAGACACACAGTGAGACACAGAGACACACAGAGAGACACACAGAGACACAGAGACACGGAGACAGAGTGAGACACACAGGGAGACACACAGGGAGTGAGACACAGAGACACAGTGAGACACAGGGAGACACAGTGAGAGAGACACAGTGAGACACAGGGAGACACAGGGAGACACAGTGAGAGACACAGTGAGACACAGGGAGACATAGTGAGACACAGTGAGACATAGGGAGTGAGACACAGAGACACAGGGAGACACAGTGAGACACAGACAGGGAGTGAGACACAGGGAGACACAGGGAGACACAGGGGGACACACAGGAAGTGAGACACAGTGAGACACACAGGGAGTGAGACACAGACAGTGAGACAGAGACACAGACAGAGTCTGCGACCTGCACGCTGAACGACTTCCGTGTTGGCAGTGCCGCTAGGTCAGGGACCCCCCCCCACGGCAGCACAGAGAGACACAGGGAGACACAGGGAGTGAGACACACAGGGAGACAAAGTGAGACACAGGGAGACACAGTGAGACACAGGGGGACAGTGAGACACAGTGAGATACAGGGAGGGACAGTGTGAGACACAGGGAGACACAGGGAGACACAGGGAGACACAGGGACACACAGTGAGACACAGGGAGACACAGGGAGACACAGTGAGACACAGTGAGACACAGGGAGACACAGGGAGACACAGGGAGACACAGGGAGACACAGTGAGACACAGGGAGACACAGTGAGACACAGGGAGACACAGGGAGACACAGGGAGACACAGGGAGACACAGGGAGACACAGGGAGAGACACAGGGAGACACAGTGAGACACAGGGAGACACAGGGAGAGACACAGGGAGACACAGTGAGACACAGGGAGAGACACAGTGAGACACAGGGAGACACAGTGAGACACAGGGAGACACAGGGAGACAGTGAGAGACACAGGGAGACACAGGGAGACACAGGGAGAGACAGGGAGACACAGTGAGACACAGGGAGACACAGTGAGACAGTGAGACACAGGGAGACACAGGGAGACACAGGGAGACACAGGGAGACACAGGGAGACACAGGGAGAGACACAGTGAGACACAGGGAGACACAGTGAGACACAGGGAGACACAGGGAGACAGTGAGAGACACAGGGAGACACAGGGAGACACAGGGAGAGACAGGGAGACACAGTGAGACACAGGGAGACACAGTGAGACAGTGAGACACAGGGAGACACAGGGAGATACAGGGAGACACAGGGAGACACAGGGAGACACGGGGAGACACGGGGAGACACAGGGAGACACAGGGAGACACAGTGAGACACAGTGAGACACAGTGAGACACAGTGAGACACAGGGAGACACAGGGAGACACAGGGAGACACAGTGAGACACAGGGAGACACAGGGAGACACAGGGAGACACAGGGAGACACAGTGAGACACAGGGAGACACAGGGAGACACAGGGAGACACAGGGAGACACAGGGAGAGACACAGGGAGACACAGTGAGACACAGGGAGACACAGGGAGAGACACAGGGAGACACAGTGAGACACAGGGAGAGACACAGTGAGACACAGGGAGACACAGTGAGACACAGGGAGACACAGGGAGACAGTGAGAGACACAGGGAGACACAGGGAGACACAGGGAGAGACAGGGAGACACAGTGAGACACAGGGAGACACAGTGAGACAGTGAGACACAGGGAGACACAGGGAGATACAGGGAGACACAGGGAGACACAGGGAGACACAGGGAGACACAGGGAGACACAGGGAGACACAGGGAGACACAGGGAGACACAGGGAGAGACACAGTGAGACACAGGGAGACACAGTGAGACACAGGGAGACACAGGGAGACAGTGAGAGACACAGGGAGACACAGTGAGACACAGGGAGACACAGGGAGACACAGGGAGACACAGGGAGACACAGGGAGAGACACAGGGAGACACAGTGAGACACAGGGAGACACAGGGAGAGACACAGGGAGACACAGTGAGACACAGGGAGAGACACAGTGAGACACAGGGAGACACAGTGAGACACAGGGAGACACAGGGAGACAGTGAGAGACACAGGGAGACACAGGGAGACACAGGGAGAGACAGGGAGACACAGTGAGACACAGGGAGAGACAGGGAGACACAGTGAGACACAGGGAGACACAGTGAGACAGTGAGACACAGGGAGACACAGGGAGATACAGGGAGACACAGAGAGACACAGGGAGACACAGGGAGACACAGGGAGACACAGGGAGACACAGGGAGACACAGGGAGACACAGGGAGACACAGGGAGACACAGGGAGACACAGGGAGTGAGACACACAGGGAGACACAGAGAGACACAGGGAGAGACACAGGGAGAGACACAGGAAGGGAGACACAGGGAGACACAGGGAGAGACACAGGGAGACACAGGGAGACACAGGGAGACACACAGGGAGACACAGGGAGACACAGGGAGACACAGGGAGACACAGGGAGAGAGACAGGGAGACACAGGGAGTGAGACACAGTGAGACACAGGGAGACACAGTGAGACACAGGGAGACACAGGGAGTGAGACACAGGGAGACACAGTGAGACACACAGTGAGACACAGGGAGTGAGACACACAGGGAGTGAGACAGTGAGACACAGTGAGACACAGTGAGACACAGGGAGAGACACAGGGAGAGACACAGGGAGACACAAACAGTGAGACAGTGAGACACAGAGAGAGTCTGCGACCTGCACGCTGAACGACTTCCGTGTTGGCAGTGCCGCTAGGTCAGGGACCCCCCCCACGGCAGCACAGGGAGACACAGGGAGACACAGGGAGACACAGGGAGACACAGTGAGACACATGGAGACACATGGAGACACAGTGAGACACAGGGAGACACAGTGAGACACAGGGAGACACAGTGAGACACATGGAGACACAGTGAGACACAGGGACACACAGGGAGTGAGACACACAGGGAGACACAGGGAGACACAGGGAGTGAGACACAGTGAGACACAGGGAGACACAGTGAGACACATGGAGACACAGTGAGACACAGGGAGACACAGTGAGACACATGGAGACACAGTGAGACACAGGGAGACACAGGGAGTGAGACACAGACACAGGGAGACACAGTGACACACAGGGAGTGAGAGACACAGGGAGACACAGACAGACAGACACAGACACAGAGAGAGTCTGCGACCTGCACGCTGAACGACTTCCGTGTTGGCAGTGCTGCTAGGTCAGGGACCCCCCCCACGGCAGCACAGAGAGACACAGAGAGATACAGTGAGACACAGTGAGACACAGTGACACACAGGGAGACACAGGGAGTGAGACACAGGGACACACAGTGAGACACAGGGAGTGAGACAGAGACACAGAGAGACACAGGGAGTGATAGAGAGACAGTGAAAGACACAGGGAGATACAGGGAGACACAGGGAGTGAGACACAGACACAGAGAGACAGGGAGTGAGACACACAGGGAGACACACAGGGAGTGAGACACACAGGGAGACACAGGGAGACACAGGGACACACAGTGAGACACAGGGAGACACACAAGGAGACACACAGTGAGACACAGAGAGAGTCTGCGACCTGCACGCTGAACGACTTCCGTGTTGGCAGTGCCGCTAGGTCAGGGACCCCCCCCCACGGCAGCACAGGGAGACACAGGGAGACACAGGGAAAGACAGGGAGACACAGGGAGAGAGACACACAGGGAGTGAGACACAGGGACACACAGTGAGACACAAACAGGAAGTGAGACAGTAAGACACAGACACAGACAGAGTCTGCGACCTGCACGCTGAACGACTTCCGTGTTGGCAGTGCCGCTAGGTCAGGGACCCCCCCCACGGCAGCACAGGGAGACACAGGGAGACACACAGGGAGACACACAGGGAGACACACAGGGAGACACAGGGAGACACACAGGGAGACACAGGGAGACACAGGGAGACACAGTGAGACACAGGGAGACACAGTGAGAGACAGGGAGTGAGACACACAGTGAGACACAGGGAGTGAGACAGAGAGACACAGAGACAGAGTGTGCGACCTGCACGCTGAACGACTTCCGTGTTGGCAGTGCCGCTAGGTCAGGGACCCCCCCCACGGCAGCACAGGGAGACACAGGGAGACACAGGGAGACACAGGGAGACACACAGGGAGACACACAGGGAGACACAGTGAGACACAGGGAGACACAGTGAGACACAGTGAGACACAGTGAGACAGTGAGACAGAGACACAGACAGAGTGTGCGACCTGCACGCTGAACGACTTCCGTGTTGGCAGTGCCGCTAGGTCAGGGACCCCCCCCACGGCAGCACAGGGAGACACAGGGAGACACAGTGAGACACAGGGAGACACAGGGAGACACACAGGGAGACACACAGGGAGACACAGTGAGACACAGGGAGACACAGTGAGACACAGTGAGACACAGTGAGACAGTGAGACAGAGACACAGACAGAGTCTGCGACCTGCACGCTGAACGACTTCCGTGTTGGCAGTGCCGCTAGGTCAGGGACCCCCCCCACGGCAGCACAGGGAGACACAGGGAGACACACAGGGACACACAGGGAGTGAGACACACAGGGAGACACAGGGAGACACACAGGGAGTGAGACACACAGGGAGTGAGACACACAGTGAGACACACAGTGAGACACAGACAGACAGTGAGACACAGAGACAGAGTGTGCGACCTGCACGCTGAACGACTTCCGTGTTGGCAGTGCCGCTAGGTGAGGGACCCCCCCCACGGCAGCACAGGGACACACAGGGAGACACAGTGAGACACAGTGAGACACAGGGAGACACAGGGACACAGGGAGTGAGACACAGAGAGAGTCTGCGACCTGCACGCTGAACGACTTCCGTGTTGGCAGTGCCGCTAGGTGAGGGACCCCCCCCACGGAGGTAGCGGCACCACCGGGACGCCCGGCGTCCCTGTCCAGTACTGGGCTCACCTGGCAACACACAAACACACACACACGTTACACACGTTACACACGTTACACACTTATATACACACAGACACACACGTTACACACAGTCACATTACACACACACACAGACACACACGTTACACACTTACACACAGTCACATTACACACACACACAGTCACATTACACACACACACACAGACAGTCACATTACACACACACACACAGACAGTCACATTACACACACACACAGACACATTACACACACACACAGACAGTCACATTACACACACACACACACAGACAGTCACATTACACACACACACACAGACAGTCACATTACACACACACACAGACACATTACACACACACACACAGACAGTCACATTACACACACACACACAGTCACATTACACACACACACACACGTTACACACACATTACACACACGTTACACACACAGACACACACACACAGACACACACGTTACACACACAGACACACAGACACACACGTTACACACTTACACACACACACACGTTACACACACATTACACACACACACACACACGTTACACACACAGACACACACGTTACACACTTACACACTTACACACACGTTACACACTTACACACACACAGACACACACGTTACACACACGTTACACACTTACACACACGCAAACACACAGACACATTACACACACACACGTTACACACGTTACACACACGTTACACACACACACACGTTACACACTTACACACACTTACACACACGTTACACACTTACACACACGTTACACACACATTACACACACAGACACACACACAGACACACACACAGTCACATTACACACACACACACAGACACATTACACACACACACACAGTCACATTACACACACACACACAGTCACATTACACACACACACACACAGTCACACACGTTACACACTTACACACTTACACACACGTATATCTATATACACACACACAGACACACACACAGACACATTACACACACACACACACGTTACACACACAGACGTATATCTATATACACACACACAGACACACACACAGACACATTACACACACACACAGTCACACACGTTACACACGTTACACACACACAGTCACACACGTTACACACTTACACACACGTTACACACACATACAGTCACACACACACACAGTCACACACAGTCACACACTTACACACACGTTACACACACATTACACACACACAGTCACACACACACAGTCGCACACGTTACACACTTACACACACGTATATCTATATACACACACACACACACAGTCACATTACACACTTACACACACACAGTCACACACGTTACACACTTACACCTTACACACACGTATATATATACACACACAGTGACACACATTACACACACACAGACACGCACATTACACACACTACACACACATTACACACATACACAGGTAGACACACACAGACACACACACACAGACATTACACACACACAGACACATTACACACATTACACACACACATTACATACTTACACACACATTACACACACACATTACACACACACACATTACACACACACACACGTGTATATATACACACACAGACACATTACACATATTACACACACACATTACACACATTACATACTTACACACACATTACACACATTACACACACACATTACACACAGACACACAGATTACACACACACACATTACACACACACACACGTATATATACACACACACACATTACACACACAGAGTACACACACGTACACATACACACGTACATACACGTATATATACACACACACACACGTACAGTACACACACATACACACACATGTACACACACACGTACAAAGACAAAGATCCCCCATATAGCCTTAACAGACTGTAGGGGCAAGTGCTGTTAGCGAGCACCTATGAAGGCCGGAACAGTACACGAGGGGGTGGGTGGCCAGCACCACGCCCGACCGCCTTTGTCTCCCTAGTGGCGATGTTTACACACCGCACCAGGTACTCATTTGAGGCTGAGTCGACCTAGGGGAGGCCCGGGACCGGTTCAGATAATCGTCACTGGTGTTGGCCGTGAGCGGGAATCGAACCCGGGTCGCCAAGTTCATAGCGCAGCGTAGCGCTAACCGCTACACTATCGCTCCCCTACACTCACACACACACTCTCTCACACACACATCCACACACTCTCACACTCTCACACTTACACTCTCACACTCTCACACACTCACACACACACTCTCACTCACACACACACTCTCACACTGACACACACACACACACTCACACACTCTCACACTCTCACTCACACACTCTCAAACCTACACACACGTACACACACGTACACACACACGTACATTACACACACTACATTACACACACGTACACACGTACAGACACACACACACACGTACAGACACACACACATTACACACACTACATTACACACACGTACAGACACACACACACACGTACAGACACACACACATTACACACACTACATTACACACATGTACAGACACACACACACACGTACAGACACACACACATTACACACACGTACAGTGGTCCAGACTGTTGTTATGATGCCCTGGTGGTCCCCCTCTTTAAGAACGGGGACCGCACAGACTGTAATAACTACAGGGGCATCTCACTCCTCAGTGTGCCGGGAAAGGCTCCTGGCAAGGATCATTCAACATCGCCTTGCCAGGCACGCTGAGGAGAGGCTTGCGGAGCCCCAATGCGGTTTCAGGAAAGGGCGGTCCTGCACAGATGCCATATTTTCTGTCCGTCTGCTACAGCAGAGGTGTAGGGAATTCCAACAAGACCTACATCTCTGCTTTATTGACCTGGTCAAGGCTTATGATTCCATCATTAGGCCTGGGCTCTGGGTTGTTCTTCGTGCTTTTGGAGTACCTGACCCTCTGCTCACGTCCGGGTGCGGTCAAGGGATGGCTCCCTATTGCTCAACCACGTTGGCATCGTCCCCGACTCCTCCTGATGTCGAGGGTAAATGGGCGAGGTTTAGGACTGACTCATGCAGCTGCAATGGCTGCTTTGGGTACGCGGTCCAGACCTCCCCAGAGACCCTGGCTGACAGAGGAGGTGTCCAGGATGGTTGAGAAAAAGCGACAGGCCCACTGTCATCGGCTACAGAATCCCACGTCAGAGAATGAGGAGGCTTATCGCAGCCTTCGCTCGGAGGTTCGGAGAGCCGTGAGGCGCTGCAAGGATGGGTGGTGGTCGCGGGTTGCTGAGGAGATGGAATCTGCCTCAGTGGCTCGCGATCACAAATCTCTATTTAACTCCATCAAAAAAGGTAACCTGCAGCGCCACACCTATTACCATCATTAGGGGAAAAAACGTTGATCCAATCTCCGACCCCCGGGAACAGGTTTGCAGATTTGCTGAGCATTTCTGTGAGGTCTTGGGGGAGGGAAAATCCCTCAGCCAGGAAAACATCGTGGCACAAAGTGAGGATGACCCTGCTGAGGCTGCGGTGACTCAAATATTGGAAGAAGTCACCCTCTGTGAGTGGCTGGCTGAGGTGCCATCTGTTGAGGAAGTACTGAAGGCGATCCGGAGTCTGAGACCAGGAAAGGCAGCGGGCAGAGATGATCTCCCAAGCGAAATGCTGAGGGAGGGTGGCGTTTGTGCACAGACTGCCCTACATGACATCATAACAACAGTCTGGACCATTGGACGGGTTCCGCAGGATTGGAAGGATGCCCTGGTGGTCCCCCTCTTTAAGAAGGGGGACCGCACAGACTGTAACAACTACAGGGGCATCTCACTCCTCAGTGTGCCGGGAAAGGTCCTGGCAAGGATTATTCAACATTGCTTTGCCAGGCACGCTGAGGAGAGGCTTGTGGAGCCCCAATGCGGTTTCAGGAAAGGGCGGTCCTGCACAGATGCCATATTTTCTGTCCGTCTGCTACAGCAGAGGTGTAGGGAATTCCAGCAAGATCTACATCTCTGCTTTATTGACCTGGTCAAGGCCTATGATACGATCAATAGGCCTGGGCTCTGGGTTGTTCTTCATGCTTTTGGAGTACCTTACCCTCTGCTCACGATCATGAAGGACCTTCATGATGGTGAGCGGGCCCGGGTAAAACTACGTGGCCGGGAGTCAGAGCCATTCCCTGTACACCTTGGGGTGCGACAGGGATGTCCTCTGGCTCCCACATTATTTAATATCTATTTTGACCACGCAGTTCGTGAAGCCTTCAATAGCAGTACCGGAGGAATTTCCATCTGGTACAGATATAATGGGACGCTGATCGACGCCCGGGTGCGGTCAAAGGATGGCTCCCTATTGCTCAACTACGTTATGTATGCTGATGATTTGGTAATAGCTGCTCATTCAGAGGAGGAGTTGGAGACGCTGCTGCTGAGACTGGAGCGTGCCATCAGCCCCACCAAAACTATGCACCTGCCTGGGTATTTTGTACCATCGGACACTCCACCCCCACAACTCCCAATCGGTGATGGGGCAGTTGTGGAGAGAGTGGAGAGTTTCCCATACCTGGGAAGTGTGCTTATGACCGGCTCCGGTTTAACAGCAGAGGTCTCACTCCGAATCAGTCGAGCGGCAATATCTTTTCATCGGTTGCGTAACGCTGTGTGGAAGCTACCTGGTCTGTCGCTCCGCACTAAGCTTCAGGTCTTCTCGGCCACGGTCATTCCCTCCCTTCTCTACGCTTGCGAAACGTGGACCCCCCTAATGGAACACCTTCGCCGGTTAGAAACATTTAGGCTGGCCTGTCTACGATCCATCCTGGGTTTAACCAGACTGGATTGTGTGAGGAGCTCACAAATCCTGGAAAGATCTGGGCAAGGTTCCATCGGTGAGCTCCTCCGGCAGGCAAGGCTGCGATGGCTGGGTCATGTAGCCCGCATGCCCAGCCACCGCATGCTGAAACAGCTTTTGTTCAGCCGGATTGAGGGGGCTAAACGGGCGCGGCACGGGCTAGAGAAGAGATGGAGTGATGTGGTACAGGAGAACGTGGAGCTGAGTGGACTTGCCGATGACTGGTACCAGCGGTGTCAAGATTGGCCTCTGTGGAGCAGGCTCGTGAAGGATGCTACTGGGCAGTTGGAGGCAGTCGCCCTCCAACAACAACGGAGGGCGGAGGAGCGACGCTCACAATAACGAGCGGAGCGCCGGGTGGCTAAAGCACAGCAGGTTGGCACAGTAGGGGGCACAGGTGGTGCATCAGCCAGTCATCTCAGTCAGTCGACCCGTGGCACCTGCTGGGTCTGCCCCGTGACCTCCTGCCAGCGGGTGTTCGACACTTCACGTGGCCTCAAGGTGGCCGGGCACAAGCGTCGTGGTGACGTCACCACCACTTAGTGGCGAATGGTGGTTGTTGTTGTTGTGTCTGCGTGTGTATACGTGTACGCATGTATACGTGTGTGTGTGTACGTGTGTGTGTGTCTGCGTGTGTGTGTGTGTGTATACGTGTGTATGTATACACGTGTGTATATGTGTGTGTGTGTCTGCGTGTGTAGGTGTGTGTGTGTATACGTGTGTGTGTCTGTGTGTGTGTATACACGTGTATGTATGTATATACGTGTGTGTGTGTATATGTGTGTATGTGTGTGTACGTGTGTGTGTATACGTGTGTGTGTGTGTACGTGTGTGTGTATACGTGTGTGTGTGTGTACGTGTGTGTGTATACGTGTGTGTGTGTGTACGTGTGTGTGTATACGTGTGTGTGTGTGTGTACTGTGTGTGTACGTGTGTGTGTGTGTGTGTCTGTGTGTGTACGTGTGTGTGTGTGTGTCTGTGTGTGTACGTGTGTGTGTATGTGTACGTGTATGTGTATACGTGTGTACGTGTATGTGTATGTGTGTGTGTGTGTATGTGTGTGTGTGTGTATGTGTGTGTGTGAGTGTGTGTATACGTGTGTACGTGTATGTGTATGTGTGTGTGTGCTCGCCCCCCCCCCGCCCCCCGCCCCACCGCACCGTGCGCGTCATCCCGGCTCCCCCGTGCAGCCCCCCCGCCCCTGTACCCCCCCCGCCCCTCCCCTCCTTGCGGGGTCGCCCTTTCCTCCGCACGGCGGCCGCGGCCCCGGACGCGGCCTCCGAAGCCGCTCGCTTGACCAGTGACCGCTGGTGAAGGTGCCGCTGCTGCTGCTGCTGCTGATGATGATGCTGATGATGCTGCTGATGATGCTGATGATGCTGAGCTGAAGGCGCCGGGGCCGCAACCGGGGCGGCGGCGCCGGCGCTGGCGGCGGCGGCGGGGGGGCGGCCGCCGCGGCACCGCCGGGCGGACGCCGGTCTTCGACGCCGGCATCGCCACCACCACCGCCATCGCCATCGCTGCTGCTGCTGCTGCTGCTACTGCTGCTGGTACTGCTGCTGCTGGAGGCGGTGCTGCTGCTGACGGCGGCGGCACCGGCGGCACCGGCACCGGCACCGGCGTCGACCGGCTGAGGTTTGACGGGCGCTGGGACGGCCGTGGGCTGCGTTGGGAACGGCCTGAACGGCGCGCGGGGGGTGGTGGAGGGGTGGAAATGCAAAGATGGAGACCACCGTGTGTAAGACACGCGCACACACACACACACGTACTCACGTACACACACACTCACGTACACACGCACACACACACGTACTCACGCATACACACACTCACGTACACACGCACACACACACGTACTCACGTACACACACACTCACTCACGCGCACACACACGTACTCACGTATACACACACTCACGTACTCACGTATACACACACGTACTCACGTATACACACACGTACACACGTACACACACACGCGCTCACACACACGTACACACACACGTACACACTCACGAATACACACACTCACGTATACACACACACAGACACGTACACACACACACTCACGTACACACACGTACACACACACACACGTACACTCATGTACACACGTACACTCACGTACACACACTCACGTACACACACACACACTCACGTACACACACACACTCACATACACACACACGTACACACACACACGCGCTCACACACACGTACACACACGTACACTCATGTACACACACACACTCACGTACACACACACACACTCATGTACGCACACACACATGTACACACACTCACGTACACACACACACACACTCACGTACACACACACACTCACACAGACACACTCACGTACACACACACGTACTCACCTGTCTGGCTGTTGTTGTGGCTGTGTGGGCGTGGTGGTGGTGACTACCGTGGCCACCGTCCCTACAGCCGCCCCACTCACAGCGACACAGCTGTTGCCGTGTGTGGCTGTTGCCGTGGCGACGGCCGCTGGGGTAACCACCGGTCCGCCTGGAACACATTCACACACACACACAGTCACACACAGTCGCACACACACACACACACAGTCACACAACAACAACAACAACCGCCATTCGCCACTAAGTGGCGGTGACGTCACCACGACGCTTGTGCCAGGCTATGTGCACCCTAGGCCACGTGAAGTGTCGAACGCCCGCGGGCAGACCCAGGTGCCACGGGTCGACTGACTGAGGTGACTGGCTGATGCACCACCTGTGCCCCCTACTGTGCCAACCTGCTGTGATTTAGCCACCCGGCATTCCGCTCGTTGTTGTGAGCGTCGCTCCTCCGCCCTCCGTTGTTGTTGGAGGGCGACTGCCTCCAACTGCCAGTAGCGTCCTTCACGAGCCTCCTCCACAGAGGCCGATCTTGACACCGCTGGTACCAGTCATCGGCAAGTCCACTCAGCTCCACGTCCTCCTGTACCACATCACTCCATCTCTTCTCTAGCCCGTGCCGCGCTCGTTTAGCCCCCTCGATCCGGCCGAACAAAAGCTGTTTCGGCATGCGGTGGCTGGGCATGCGGGCTGCCTGACCCAGCCATCGCAGCCTTGCCCGCCGGAGGAGCTCACCGATGGGACCTTGCCCAGATCTTTCAAGGATTTGTGAGCTCCTCACACAATCCAGTCTGGTTAAACCCCGGATGGATCGTAGGGAGGCCAGCCTAAATGTTTCTAACCGGCGAAGATGTTCCATTAGGGGGTCCACGTTTCGCAAGCGTAGGGAAGGGAGGGAATGACCGTGGCCGAGAAGACCTGAAGCTTAGTGCGGAGCGACAGACCAGGTAGCTTCCACACAGCGTTACACAAACGATGAAAAGATATTGCCGCTCGACTGATTCGGAGTGAGACCTCTGCTGTTAAACTGGAGCCGGTCATAAGCACACTGCCCAGGTATGGGAAACTCTCCACTCTCTCCACAACTGCCCCATCACCGATTGGGAGTTGTGGGGGTGGAGTGTCCGATGGTACAAAATACCCAGGCAGGTGCATAGTTTTGGTGGGGCTGATGGCACACTCCAGTCTCAGCAGCAGCGTCTCCAACTCCTCCTCTGAATGAGCAGCTATTACCAAATCATCAGCATACATAACGTAGTTGAGCAATAGGGAGCCATCCTTTGACCGCACCCGGGCGTCGATCAGCCTCCCATTATATCTGTACCATATGGAGATTCCCCCGGGACAGCTATTGAAGGCTTCATGTACTACGTGGTCAAAATAGATGTTAAATAATGTGGGAGCCAGAGGACATCCCTGTCGCACCCCAAGGTGTACAGGGAATGGCTCTGACTCCCGGCCACGTAGTTTTACCCGGGCCCGCTCACCATCATGAAGGTCCTTAATGATCGTGGGCAGAGGGTCAGGTACTCCAAAAGCACGAAGAACAACCCAGAGCCCAGGCCAACTGATGGTATCATAGGCCTTGACCAGGTCAATAAAGCAGAGATGTAGGTCTTGTGGGAATTCCCTACACCTCTGCTGTAGCAGACAGACAGAAAATATGGCATCTGTGCAGGACCGCCCTTTCCTGAAACCGCATTGGGGCTCCGCAAGCCTCTCCTCAGCGTGCCTGGCAAGGCGATGTTGAATAATCCTTGCCAGGACCTTTCCCGGCACACTGAGGAGTGAGATGCCCCTGTAGTTGTTACAGCCTGTGCGGTCCCCCTTCTTAAAGAGGGCGACCACCAGGGCATCCTTCCAATCCTGCGGAACCCGTCCAGTGGTCCAGACTGTTGTTATGATGTCATATAGGGCAGTCTGTGCACAAACGCCACCCTCCCTCAGCATTTTGCTTGGGAGATCATCTCTGCCCGCTGCCTTTTCTGGTCTCAGACTCCGGATCGCCTTCAGTACTTCCTCAACAGATGGCACCTCAGCCAGCCACTCACAGGGGGTGACTTCTTCCAATATTTGAGGCACCGCAGCCTCAGCAGGGTCATCCTCACTTTGTGCCACGATGTTTTCCTGGCTGAGGGATTTCCCCTCCCCCAGGACCTCACATAAATGCTCAGCAAATCTGCAAACCTGTTCCTGGGGGTTGGAGATTGGATGACCGTTTTTTCCCCTAATGATGGTAATAGGTGTGGCGCTGCAGGTTACTTTTTTGATGGAGTTAAATATAGATTTGTGATCGTGAGCCACTGAGGCAGATTCCATCTCCTCAGCAACCTGCGACCACCACCCATCCTTGCAGCGCCTCACGGCTCTCCGAACCTCCAAGCGAAGGCTGCGGTAAGCCTCTTCATTCTTTGACGTGGGATGCTGTAGACAATTAGTGTGGGCCTGTCGCTTTTTCTCAACCATCTTGAACACCTCCTCTGTCAGCCAGGGTCTCTGGAGAGGTCTGGACCGCGTACCCAAAGCAGCCATTGCAGCTGCATGAGTCACAGTCCTAAACCTCGCCCATTTACCCTCGACATCAGGAGGAGTCGGGGACGATGCCAACCCCAGCCGCAAGCGATGATGAAATTCTCGCTTGCAACTTTCATCAGATAACTGAGACCAAGCCACTTTAGGTTGGAATGGGGTCCTGGGTGTACACCCACCACTGGAGCGGAAGAATGGCAGGCGCATCTTACAGATGACTAGTCGATGGTCAGAGGGCAGATCAGCTCCACGGTAGGTTCTGGTGTCAAGGACATGGGCTCGCATCTGCTGGTCCGTCACTATGTAGTCCAGCAGATGTTCTTGCTTGGACCCAGCATGCATCCATGATGTTGTGTGGATGCGCCGATGCCGGAACAGCGTGTTGGTAATTACAAGCCTATGGGCTGCACAAAAATCTAGCAGCCTCCTACCGTTGTTATTGAGCTGATCTGGCCCATGCCCTCCAATCACTCCAGACCAAGTGCCAGCATCATGACCAACTCAGGCATTGAAGTCACCCAACATGATGACTCTATCCCGAGGGGCCACTTTAGCCAGCACCTGTGACAGGAGGTCATAGAAGGCATCTGACTCATCGGCTTTGCCTGCATCCCTCCACGGATGCTCGTCTTTGGTGGGGGCATAAGTAACCACGACCACCACTCCTCACCTCCGATTGATGGGAAGGTGAGCCAAAAAGTAGCCTGGGGCTTACAGCTTCCCACACCTCACCGCCACGCTCCCACGCCCCCTTCATTCTTTTGTTCAAAAGAAGAGCCACACCCTGTTGTTTGGCAGTCTGCTGCCCCGAGTAGAGGACTGTCCACCCCTCATGGTGGCAGGAGCCAGAACTGGTCCACCGGACCTCCTGAATGCCACAGAGATCCAGGCGGTACCGGTCCAGCTCCCGACAGAGGAGTGGCAGCCTTTCCTCCGCAGTGAGCGTTCGAACATTCCACGTGGCCACACGAAGTGGCTTTTCGTTGTTTCTGGAGGAACCCCGAGGGTAGAGATTCAATCTCCAGGCTCCGCCAATTAGGGTTTGGCCAGGAGACGTCATAGACGCCTGTCCCCCCGGGGCCTCCGGCACAAGCTTATTAGTTACATATTTCAGTTTAACTCGTGGTTTAGTGGTAATTAATTGAAGGTGGAGGGGTTACCAGCACCTCGCACCCGTCCAGAGCCCCCATTTAGCCCCTGTGGTGGACACAGATGCCGTGAGGGGAGGAGCCAATCGGAATTGGCCCTCCCCCACAGCACTGTCCACGACAGAGTTGCCCGTCCGGCACCGCGAGGAGGTAGGGGGTTGTTTTGCCACACATACACACACACAGTCACACACACACACACACAGTCACACAGTCACACACACACAGTCACACACACACACACACGGTCACACACACAGTCACACACACACAGTCACCCACACACACAGTCACCCACACACACAGTCACCCACACACACAGTCACCCACACACACAGTCACCCACACACACAGTCACCCACACACACAGTCACCCACACACACAGTCACACACTCACAGTCACCCACACACACAGTCACACACACACACACACAGTCACCCACACACACACAGTCACCCACACACACACAGTCACACACAGTCACACACACATGGTCACACACACACGGTCACACACGGTCACACACAGTCACACACACACACACAGTCACACACACAGTCTCACACACATGGTCACACACACACACACACAGTCACACACACACACACCTGTATGCGCCACAGTGCAGGACACAGCACTAGCGGCGGTGGTGGCGGTTGTGGCTGTGGTGGTGGTGGCATTGTTGTTGTTGACTTCCATGATGCTGCTGATGCTGCTGCTGCTGTTGGCGGTGGTGTTGGCGGCGGCGGTGTTGGCGACCGCCGTGGTTGTGGTTGTGGTTGTTGTTGTTGTTGCCGATGGCGACGACAGCGGCTGTGGTGGTGCTGCTGCTGCTGTTGGCGGCGGCGGCGGCACTCCCAACGCTGACAAAGGTGGCGGTGACGATGGCGGTGGTGGCGGTGGTGGCGCTGCTGCTGCTGATGGTGGTGGTGGTGGTGTCGGTGGCGGTGCTGTCGATGGCGGTGGTGCCGGTGGTGCCGGTAGTGGTGGTGGTGCCGGTGGCGGTGGTGCCGACGATGTTGGTGGTGGTGGTGGTGGCGGCTGGGAGGGGCCGGCTCGTGGCCGGTCGGTGAAGCGTGAATCCAGGGCGGACATCGGCTCCAATCTGGGACACGCGCGGCGAGACACGGAGACACGCAGACACGGAGACACGGAGACACACGCAGTGAGACAAGCAGTGAGACACGGAGACACGGAGACACGCGCAGTGAGACACGGAGACACGCAGACACGGAGGCACGCGCAGTGAGACACGGAGACACAGTGAGACACGGAGACACAGTGAGACATGGAGACACGGAGACACGCGCAGTGAGACACGGAGACACGCAGACACGGAGACACGGAGACATGCGCAGTGAGACACGGAGACACGCAGACACGGAGACACGGAGACATGCGCAGTGAGACACGGAGACACGCGCAGTGAGACACGCAGTGAGACACGGAGACACGCGCGGCGAGACACGGAGACACGCAGACACGGAGACACGGAGACACACGCAGTGAGACACGCAGTGAGACACGCAGTGAGACACGGAGACACGCGCAGTGAGACAAGGAGACACAGTGAGACACGGAGACACAGTGAGACACGGAGACACGGAGACACGGAGACACAGTGAGACATGGAGACACGCAGACACGGAGACACACGCAGTGAGACACGGAGACATGCGCAGTGAGACACACAGACACACAGACACGTAGACACATAGACGCGTAGACACAGACACATAGACACAGAGACACACAGACACACAGACACTGAGACACTGAGACACTGAGACACACAGACATGTAGACACTGAGACACACAGACACTGAAACACACAGACACGTAGACACACAGACACACAGACACAGAGACACACAGACACTGAGACACACAGACACACAGACAGGTAGACACTGAGACACACAGACACGTAGACACACAGACACACAGGCACGCAGACACACAGACACACAGATACTGAGACACACAGACATTGAGACACACAGACACACAGACACGTAGACACGTAGACACACACAGACGTGTAAACTCAAGGACACACACAGACACACACACACACACGCACACACAGACACACACACACACACACAGACACACACAGACACACACACACACACACAGACACACAGACACATAGACACGTAAACTCTCTGTTACCCGAGTCTCTGTGCATCGGGCCTAGCCGGTGGCGAAGCCTGGGCCTCGGCCTGCTCGGGCCTGCCCGGGGTGGGAGGGGGAGAGCCCAAGGACTGGGAGGACGAGCCACCCCCTCCCAGGGCGGCAGCTCGAAACGGAGAGGGTAACACCATGTCTCTACATACACACAGAGACACACACACACACAGAGACACACACACAGAGACACACACACACAGAGACACACACACAGACACACACACACAGACACACACAGAGACACACACAGAGACACACACAGACACACACACACACAGACACACACACACAGAGACACACACACACAGAGACACACACACAGAGACACACACAGAGACACACACAGAGACACACACACACAGAGACACACACACACAGACACACACAGACACACACACACAGAGACACACACACACAGAGACACACACACACAGACACACACAGACACACACACACACACAGACACACACACAGACACACACACAGACACACAGACACACACAAAAAAAGACACACGCACATACACACACATACACACACACAGAGACACACACACACACAGACACACACATACAACAAAAAGACACACACACATACACACACATACACAGACACACACAGGCACACACACAGACACACACACAGACACACACACACACAGAGACACACACAGACACACATAGACACACACACAAGGACTCGCACATGGACACCCAGACACACAGACGCACGCACACAGACACACACACACACAGAGACACACACAGACACACATAGACACACACACAAGGACTCGCACATGGACACCCAGACACACAGACGCACGCACACAGACACAGACACAATGAGACATGGACGGACACACACACACGGACACAACCGCAAAACACGCACACGTTAGAGACACAAAGACAAATATTCCCCGTGTAGCATGAACACCGAGTCTGTGGGTCTCTGTGTGAGTGAGTCTATGGGTCTCTGTGTGAGTGAGTCTATGGGTCTCTGTGTGAGTGAGTCTATGGGTCTCTGTGTGAGTGAGTCTGTGGGTGTCTGTGTGAGTGAGTCTGTGGGTCTCTGTGTGAGTGAGTCTGTGGGTCTCTGTGTGAGTGAGTCTATGGGTCTCTGTGTGAGTGAGTCTATGGGTCTCTGTGTGAGTGAGTCTGTGGGTCTCTGTGTGAGTGAGTCTATGGGTCTCTGTGTGAGTCTATGGGTCTCTGTGTGAGTGAGTCTATGGGTCTCTGTGTGAGTGAGTCTATGGGTCTCTGTGTGAGTGAGTCTATGGGTCTCTGTGTGAGTGAGTCTATGCATCTCTGTGTGAGTGAGTCTATGGGTCTCTGTGTGAGTGAGTCTGTGGGTCTCTGTGTGAGTGAGTCTATGGGTCTCTGTGCGAGTGAGTCTATGGGTCTCTGTGCGAGTGAGTCTATGGGTCTCTGTGTGTGTGAGTCTATGGGTCTCTGTGTGAGTGAGTCTGTGGGTCTCTGTGTGAGTGAGTCTATGGGTCTCTGTGTGAGTGAGTCTATGGGTCTCTGTGTGAGTGAGTCTATGGGTCTCTGTGTGAGTGAGTTTATGGGTCTCTGTGTGAGTGAGTCTGTGGGTCTCTGTGTGAGTGAGTCTGTGGGTCTCTGTGTGTGGTGAGTCTGTGGGTCTCTGTGTGAGTGAGTCTATGGGTCTCTGTGTGATGAGTCTATGGGTCTCTGTGTGAGTGAGTCTATGGGTCTCTGTGTGAGTGAGTCTATGGGTCTCTGTGTGAGTGAGTCTATGGGTCTCTGTGTGATGAGTCTATGGGTCTCTGTGTGAGTGAGTCTATGGGTCTCTGTGTGAGTGAGTCTATGGGTCTCTGTGTGTGGTGAGTCTGTGGGTCTCTGTGTGAGTGAGTCTATGGGTCTCTGTGTGATGAGTCTATGGGTCTCTGTGTGAGTGAGTCTATGGGTCTCTGTGTGAGTGAGTCTATGGGTCTCTGTGTGAGTAAGTGTGTCTGTGTGAGTGAGTGTGTCTGTGTGTGAGTGTCTGTGTGTCTGTGTGTGTGTGTGTGTGAGTGTCTGTGTGTCTGTCTCTGTGTGTCTGTGTGTGTGTCTGTGTGTGTGTGTCTGTATGTGAGTGTGTGAATCACCCCGTGTCTAACTGCGCGATGCACAGTGGAGTGATTCTACGTCTGTGTGTCTGTGTGCATGTGAGTGTCTGTGTGTCTGTGTGTCTCTGTGTATGTGTGTCTGTGTGAGTGTGTGAATCACCCCGTGTCTAACTGCGCGATGCACAGTGGAGTGATTCTACGTCTGTGTGTCTGTGTGTGTGTCTGTGTGTGTGTGTCTGTGTGTCTGTGTGAGTGTGTGTGTGAGTGTGTGTGTGTCTGTGTGTGAGTGTCTGTGTGTGTGTGAGTGTCTGTGTGTCTGTGTGTGTGTGACTGTGTGTCTGTGTGTGTGTGTCTGTATGTGAGTGTGTGTGTGAGTGTGTGTGTGAGTGTGTGTGTGAGTGTGTGTGTGAGTGTCTGTGTGTCTGTGTGTGAGTGTCTGTGTGTGTGTGTGAGTGTCTGTGTGTGTGTGTGTCTGTATGTGAGTGTGTGTGAGTGTGTGTGTGTCTGTGTGTGAGTGTCTGTGTGTCTGTGTGTGAGTGTCTGTGTGAGTGTGTCTGTGTGAGTGTGTGAATCACCCCGTGTCTAACTGCGCGATGCACAGTGGAGTGATTCCACGTCTGTGTGTCTGTGTGTGTGTGAGTGTCTGTGTGTCTGTGTGTGAGTGTCTGTGTGTCTGTGTGTGTGAGTGTCTGTGTGAGTGTGTCTGTGTGAGTGTGTGTGTGTGAGTGTGTGAATCACCCCGTGTCTAACTGCACGATGCACAGTGGAGTGATTCCACGTCTGTGAGTCTGTGTGTCTGTGTGAGTGTCTGTGTGTCTGTGTGTGAGTGTCTGTGTCTGTGTGTGTGAGTGTCTGTGTGTCTGTGTGTGTGAATCACCCCGTGTCTAACTGCGCGATGCACAGTGGAGTGATTCTACGTCTGTGTGTCTGTGTGTGTGTGAGTGTGTCTGTGTGTGTGAGTGTCTGTGTGTGTGAGTGTCTGTGTGTGTGAGTGTGTGAATCACCCCGTGTCTAACTGCGCGATGCACAGTGGAGTGATTCTACGTCTGTGTGTCTGTGTGTCTGTGTGTGTGTGAGTGTCTGTGTGTGTGTGAGTGTCTGTGTGTGTGTGAGTGTCTGTGTGTCTGTATGTGAGTGTGTGTGAGTGTGTGTGTGTCTGTGTGTGAGTGTCTGTGTGTCTGTGTGTGTGTGAGTGTGTCTGTGTGTGTGAGTGTCTGTGTGTCTGTGTGTGTGAGTGTCTGTGTGTCTGTGTGTGTGAATCACCCCGTGTCTAACTGCGCGATGCACAGTGGAGTGATTCTATGTCTGTGTGTGTGTGTGTCTGTGAGTGTCTGTGTGTGAGTGTCTGTGTGTCTGTGTGTGTGTCTGAGTGTGTGAATCACCCCGTGTCTAACTGCACGATGCACAGTGGAGTGATTCTACGTCTGTGTGTGTGTGTGTGTCTGTGAGTGTCTGTGTGTGAGTGTCTGTGTGTGTGAATCACCCCGTGTCTAACTGCGCGATGCACAGTGGAGTGATTCTACGTCTGTGTGTGTGTGTGTGTGTCTGCGAGTGTCTGTGTGTGAGTGTCTGTGTGTCTGTGTGTGTGTCTGAGTGTGTGAATCACCCCGTGTCTAACTGCGCGATGCACAGTGGAGTGATTCTACGTCTGTGTGTCTGTGTGTGTGTCTGTGAGTGTATGTGTGTGAGTGTCTGTGTGTGTGTGTGTGTGAGTGTGTGTCTGTGTGTGTGAGTGTCTGTGTGTCTCTGTGTGTGAGTGTCTGTGTGTCTGAGTGTGTGAATCACCCCGTGTCTAACTGCGCGATGCACAGTGGAGTGATTCTACGTCTGTGTGTCTGTGTGTGAGTGTCTGTGTGTGTGAATCACCCCGTGTCTAACTGCACGATGCACAGTGGAGTGATTCTACGTCTGTGTGTCTGTGTGTGTGTGTGAGTGTCTGTCTGTCTGTGTGTGTCTGTGTGTGTGAGTGTCTGTGTGTCTGTGTGTGTGAGTGTCTGTGTGTCTGAGTGTGTGAATCACCCCGTGTCTAACTGCGCGATGCACAGTGGAGTGATTCTACGTCTGTGTGTCTGTGTGTGTGAGTGTCTGTGTGTCTGAGTGTCTGTGTGTGAGTGTCTGTGTGTGTGTGTGTGTGAGTGTGTGTCTGTGTGTGTGAGTGTCTGTGTGTCTGTGTGTGTGAGTGTGTGTGTCTGAGTGTGTGAATCACCCCGTGTCTAACTGCGCGATGCACAGTGGAGTGATTCTGAGTCTGTGTGTGTGTGTGAGTGTCTGTGTGTGTGTGAGTGTCTGTGTGTGTGTGTCTGTGTGTGCGAGTGTCTGTGTGTGTGTGTGTGTGTCTGTGTGTGTGAATCACCCCGTGTCTAACTGCGCGATGCACAGTGGAGTGATTCTACGTCTGTGTGTGTGTGTGAGTGTCTGTGTGTGTGTGAGTGTCTGTGTGTGTGTGAGTGTGTGTGTGTCTGAGTGTGTGAATCACCCCGTGTCTAACTGCGCGATGCACAGTGGAGTGATTCTACGTCTGTGTGTCTGTGTGTGTGTGTGAGTGTCTGTCTGTCTGTGTGTGTCTGTGTGTGTGTGTGAGTGTCTGTGTGTCTGTGTGTGTGAGTGTCTGTGTGTCTGAGTGTGTGAATCACCCCGTGTCTAACTGCGCGATGCACAGTGGAGCGATTCTACGTCTGTGTGTCTGTGTGTGTGAGTGTCTGTGTGTCTGTGTGTCTGTGTGTGTGTCTGTGTGTGTGTGTGTGTGAGTGTCTGTGTGTGTGTGAGTGTGTGTGTCTGAGTGTGTGAATCACCCCGTGTCTAACTGCGCGATGCACAGTGGAGTGATTCTACGTCTGTGTGTGTCTGTGAGTGTGAGTGTCTGTGTGTCTGAGTGTCTGTGTGTGTGTGTCTGAGTGTGTGAATCACCCCGTGTCTAACTGCGCGATGCACAGTGGAGTGATTCTACGTCTGTGTGTCTGTGTGTGTGAGTGTGAGTGTCTGTGTGTCTGAGTGTCTGTGTGTGTGTGTCTGAGTGTGTGAATCACCCCGTGTCTAACTGCGCGATGCACAGTGGAGTGATTCTACGTCTGCCGTCCGCGGTCCGGGTTTCCTTCTGCGTCTTCAGGAGGTTCTGGGGACACAAAGACGCGGACACTCGGACACTCGGACACTCGGACACTCGGACACTCGGACACTCGGACACTCGGACACTCGGACACGCGGACACTCGGACACGCCGCCTCCAACTAGCCCGGCAGTGTCCGCAACATGCACCTAGCCTGGCACGGCCCAGCAGCAGCGGCGTCCTTCACAGAGGCCAATATTGACACCGCTGGGAAGTTCACTCAGCTCCACGTCTTCCTGTTGCACGTCAGTCACTCACTCACTCAGTCACTCCTCAGTCAGTCACACACTCACTCAGTCACTCACTCACTCAGTCACTCACTCACTCAGTCACTCCTCAGTCAGTCACACACTCACACACTCACTCACTCACCCACTCACTCACTCAGTCACACACTCACCCACACACTCACTCACCCACTCACTCACCCACCCACTCACTCACCCACCCGCACCACCACACACACCACACACACACCACACACACACCACCCACACACACACCACACACACACCACACACACACCACACCACACCCACCCACACACCACACACACCACCCACACACCACCCACACCACACCACAACACACCACCCACACCACACACCACCACACACCACCCACACCACACACCACCCACACACCCACCCACACACACCCACCCACACACCACACCACACACACCACACCCACCCACACTACCACACACCACCCACACCACCACCCACACCACACCCACACACCACCCACACACCACCCCACACACAACCCACCACACACACCACCCACACACCCACCAACCCACCCACACCACCCACTACCACACCACCCACCCACCACACCACCCCCACACCACACACACACACACCACCCACACACCACACACACACACCACCCACACTACCACACACCACACCACACACAACACCCACCCACACACCACACACACCACACACACCACCCACCCACACCCACCCACACCCACCCACACCACCCACCACCCACACCACACACACACACACCACCCACACCACACACACACACACCACCCACACTACACACCACACACCCACCACACCACCCACACACACACACCACACACACCACACACACCACCCACACCACACACACCACCCACACACCCACCCACCCACACACACCACCCACCCGCACCACACCCACACACCACACTACCACACCCACACACACCACACACACCACCCACACACCCACCAACCCACACCACCCACACACACACCACACACACCCACCCACACCACCCACACACACCACACACACCACCCACACCCACCCACACCCACCCACACCACCACCCACCCACCACACACACCACCCCACCCACCCACACCACCCACACACACCACCCACCCACACACCACCCACCACACCCACCACACCCACCCACACACACCACCACACCACCACCCACCCACCTTCCTGATCTCCTCGAGGCTTTCCCCGTTGAGCAACGAAGGGAACGGCCCGGCCCCTCCCCCGCCCGCTTGATTGACAGCGAGCGACGAGGTGGAGCCATTGGCCGAGGGTGGATGAGGAGGCGGCGGAGGCGGTGGAGGCGGTGGTGGAGGCGGCGGAGGCGGTGGTGGCGGTGCTACCCGATTGCCTGTCTGGTAGCTGAGTGTTGCTGGATCTTCGATGACGATGGCCCGCAGGGATGGAGGCTCGGCACATAGCCACGTGCCGTATGTCTTGTGGTGGATCGAGTTCTGGTGGTGGTGGGGGGGTGGTGGTGGTGGTGGGGGGGTGGTGGTGGGGGGGTGGTGGGTGGGGGGGTTATAGGTGGACTCAGACAGAGAGTAAGTTGGTGTGTCATAGTGTAGCGGTATAGTGGTGTTGTGTTATGGTGTTGTGTTATGGTGTTGTGTTATAGTGTAGTGTATAGTGTAGTGTATAGTGTAGTGTATAGTAGTGTATAGTGTAGTGTATAGTGTAGTAGTGTAGTGCAGTGTGTAGTGTATAGTGTAGTGTATAGTGTAGTGTATAGTAGTGTATAGTGTAGTAGTGTAGTGTATAGTGTAGTGCAGTGTGTAGTGTATAGCGTAGTGTATAGTGTAGTGTATAGTAGTGTATAGTGTAGTGTGTAGTAGTGTATAGTGTAGTGTATAGTGTGGTGTATATTGTAGTGTATTGTGTAGTAGTGTAGTGTATAGTGTAGTGTATAGTGTAGTGTATAGTGCAGTGTATAGTGCAGTGTATAGTGCAGTGTATAGTACAGTGTATAGTGTAGTGTATAGTGTAGTGTATAGTGTAGTGTGTAGTGTAGTGTGTAGTGTAGTGTATAGTGTAGTAGTATAGTGTAGTGTACAGTGAGGGAAAAAAGTATTTGATCCCCTGCTGATTTTGTACGTTTGCCCACTGACAAAGCAATGATCAGTCTATAATTTTAATGGTAGGTTTATTTGAACAGTGAGAGACAGAATAACAACAAAAAAATCCGGAAAAACGCATGTCAAAAATGTTATAAATTGATTGGCATTTTAATGAGGGAAATAAGTATTTGAGCCCTCTGCAAAACATGACTTAGTACTTGGTGGCAAAACCCTTGTTGGCAATCACAGAGGTCAGACGTTTCTTGCAGTTGGCCACCAGGTTTGCACACATCTCAGGAGGGATTTTGTCCCACTCCTCTTTGCGGATCTTCTCCAAGTCATTAAGGTTTCGAGGCTGGCGTTTGGCAACTCGAACCTTCAGCTCCCTCCACGGATTTTCTATGGGATTAAGGTCTGGAGACTGGCTAGGCCACTCCAGGACCTTAATGTGCTTCTTCTTGAGCCACTCCTTTGTTGCCTTGGCCGTGTGTTTTGGGTCATTGTCATGCTGGAATACCCATCCACGGACCCATTTTCAATGCCCTGGCTGAGGGAAGGAGGTTCTCGCCCAAGATTTGACGGTACATGGCTCCGTCCATCGTCCCTTTGATGCGGTGAAGTTGTCCTGTCCCCTTAGCAGAAAAACACCCCCAAAGCATAATGTTTCCACCCCCATGTTTGACGGTGGGGATGGTGTTCTTGGGGTCATAGGCAGCATTCCTCCTCCTCCTCCTCCAAACACGGCGAGTTGAGTTGATGCCAAAGAGCTCCATTTTGGTCTCATCTGACCACAACACTTTCACCCAGTTGTCCTCTGAATCATTCAGATGTTCATTGGCAAACTTTAGACGGGCATGTATATGTGCTTTCTTGAGCAGGGGGACCTTGCGGGCGCTGCAGGATTTCAGTCCTTCACGGCGTAGTGTGTTACCAATTGTTTTCTTGGTGACTATGGTCCCAGCTGCCTTGAGATCATTGACAAGATCCTCCCGTGTAGTTCTGGGCTGATTCCTCACCGTTCTCATGATCATTGCAACTCCACGAGGTGAGATCTTGCATGGAGCCCCAGGCCGATGGAGATTGACAGTTTTTTTGTGTTTCTTCCATTTGCGAATAATCTCACCAACTGTTGTCACCTTCTCAACAAGCTGCTTGGCAATGGTCTTGTAGCCCATTCCAGCCTTGTGTAGGTCTACAATCTTGTCCCTGACATCCTTGGAGAGCTCTTTGGTCTTGGCCATGGTGGAGAGTTTGGAATCTGATTGATTGATTGCTTCTGTGGACAGGTGTCTTTTATACAGGTAACAAGCTGAGATTAGGAGCACTCCCTTTAAGAGTGTGCTCCTAATCTCAGCTCGTTACCTGTATAAAAGACACCTGGGAGCCATAAATCTTTCTGATTGAGAGGGGGTCAAATACTTATTTCCCTCATTAAAATGCAAATCAACTTATCACATTTTTGACATGTGTTTTTCTGGATTTTGTTGTTATTCTGTCTCTCACTGTTCAAATAAACCTACCACTAAGACTATAGACTGATCATTTCTTTGTCAGTGGGCAAACGTAAAAAATCAGCAGGGGATCAAATACTTTTTTTCCCTCACTGTATAGTGTAGTGTAGTGTATAGTGTAGTGTGTCGTGTAGTGTGTAGTGTAGTAGTGTAGTGTTTAGTGTAGTGTATAGTAGTGTAGTGTTAATTAGTATAGTGTATAGTGTAGTGTATAGTGTAGTATATAGTGTAGTGTATAGTGTAGTGTATAGTAGTGTAGTGTATAGTGTAGTGTATAATGTATAGTGTAGTGTGTAGTGTATAGTGTAGTGTATAGTGGTGTAGTAGTGTATAGTAGTGTAGTAGTGTATAGTAGTGTAGTAGTGTATAGTAGTGTATAGTGTAGTGTATAATGTAGTGTATAGTGATGTAGTAGTGTATAGTATAGTGTAGTGTATAGTAGTGTAGTAGTGTATGGTGTAGTGTATAGTAGTGTAGTAGTGTATAGTATAGTGTAGTGTATAGTAGTGTATAGTGTAGTGTATAGTGTATAGTGTAGTGTATAGTGTATAGCATAGTGTATAGTAGTGTATAGTGTAGTAGTGTATAGTGTAGTGTATAGTGTAGTGTAGTAGTGTATAGTGTAGTAGTGCATAGTGTAGTGTAGTAGTGTATAGAGTAGTAGTGTAGTAGTGTATAGAGTAGTAGTGTAGTAGTGTATAGTGTAGTAGAGTAGTAGTGTAGTAGTGTATAGTGTAGTGTAGTAGTGTATAGTGTAGTAGTGTAGTGTATAGTGTATAGTAGTGTGTAGTGTAGTGTAGTAGTGTATAGTAGTGTATAGTGTAGTAGTGTATAGTGTAGTGTATAGTAGTGTATAGTGTAGTAGTGTATAGTGTAGTGAAGTAGTGTATAGTGTAGTGTAGTGTATAGTGTAGTGTATAGTGTAGTGTATAGTAGTGTAGTGTATAGTGTAGTGTATAGTGTAGTGTATAGTGTAGTGTACAGTGTAGTAGTGTATAGTGTAGTGTAGTAGTGTATAGTGTACAGTGTAGTAGTGTATAGTGTAGTGTAGTAGTGTATAGTGTACAGTGTAGTAGTGTAGTGTATAGTGTAGTGTAGTACAGTGTATAGTGTAGTGTATAGTGTAGTAGTGTACAGTGTATAGTGTAGTGTATACTAGTGTATAGTGTAGTGTATAGTGTAGTACAGTGTTATAGTGTAGTGTATAGTACAGTGTAGTACAGTGTAGTAGTGTACAGTGTAGTAGTGTATAGTGTAGTAGTGTATAGTGTAGTAGTGTATAGTGTAGTAGTGTACAGTGTAGTACAGTGTAGTAGTGTATAGTGTAGTAGTGTATAGTGTAGTAGTGTATAGTGTAGTAGTGTACAGTGTAGTACAGTGTAGTAGTGTATAGTGTAGTAGTGTACAGTGTAGTACAGTGTAGTGGTGTATAGTGTAGTAGTGTATAGTGTAGTAGTGTATAGTGTAGTAGTGTATAGTGTAGTAGTGTACAGTGTAGTACAGTATAGTAGTGTATAGTGTAGTAGTGTACAGTGTAGTACAGTGTAGTAGTGTATAGTGTAGTGTAGTGAACCTTCTCGTCGTGAGTGAGAGGATTTCCCAGCTCGTGTCTCTCAAACTCCACGAAAGCCACGGAGCCGTCCATGGAGCAGACGAGAAGAGCACGTCCACACGCACTCCTAGACACACACACACACAGACACAGTGTCACATAGACACATATACACTGTCACACATACACACATATACATAGTGTCACACACACACACACACAGACACAGTGTCACACACACTCCTAGACACACACAAAAGACAAAGATCCCCCATATAGCCTGTAACAGACTGTAGGGGCAAGTGCTGTTAGCGAGCACCTATGAAGGCCAGAACGGTACACGAGGGGGTGGGTGGCCAGCACCACGCCCGACCGCCTTTGTCTCCCTAGTGGCGATGTTTACACACCGCACCAGGTACTCATTTGAGGCTGAGTCGACCTAGGGGAGGCCCGGGACCGGTTCACATAATCGTCACTGGTGTTGGCCGTGAGCGGGAATCGAACCCGGGTCGCCAGGTTCATAGCGCAGCGCGCTAACCGCTACACTACCGCTCCCCACTAGACACACACACACACAGTGTCACACACACACACAGACACAGTGTCACACAGTGTCACACACACAGTGTCACACAGTGTCACACAGATACATAGTGTCACACACAGTGTCACACAGATACATAGTGTCACACACAGTGTCACACACAGTGTCACACACAGTGTCACATAGACACAGTGTCACACATAGTGTCACACACACATAGATACACACAGTGTCACACACACACAGTGTCACACACAGTGTCACATAGACACAGTGTCACACACAGTGTCACACAGTGTCACATAGATACACACAGTGTCACACAGTGTCACATAGATACACAGTGTCACACAGTGTCACATAGATACACAGTGTCACACACACACAGTGTCACACACAGTGTCACACAGTGTCACACACAGTGTCACACACACTCCTAGACACACACACAGACACAGTGTCACACACAGTGTCACACACACACAGTGTCACACACACACAGTGTCACACACACACAGTGTCACACATAGTGTCACATAGACACACAGTGTCACACACACACAGTGTCACACACAGTGTCACACATACATACATAGTGTCACACATACATACATAGTGTCACACACACACAGTGTCACACACAGTGTCACACATACATAGTGTCACACACAGTGTCACACACACACAGTGTCACACATACATAGTGTCACACACATAAACAGTGTCACACATACACACACACAGACACACAGTGTCACATAGATACATACATACACAGTGTCACACACGCACACATATACATAGTGTCACACATACATATATACATAGTGTCACAGACACACACACATACAGTGTCACATAGATACATAGTGTCACATAGACACACACACATACACAGTGTCACATAGATACACACATACACAGTGTCACACATACATATATACATAGTGTCACATAGACACATACACAGTGTCACATAGATACATAGTGTCACATAGACACACACACATATACTCAGTGTCACATAGATACACACACATACACAGTGTCACACATACATACATACACAGTGTCACACATACACACCCACACACACAGTGTCACATAGATACATACATACACACATACACACACATATACATAGTGTCACATAGACACACATATACACAGTGTCACATACACACACATACACAGTGTCACACACGCACATACACACTCACACACACACAGACACACACCACACGGACACACCGCACAGAGACACCAAGGAGACACGGAGACACACGGGGAGACACACGGGGAGACACGGGAAGACAGGGGAGACACGGGGAGACACGGGGAAACACACGGGAGACACGGGGAGAGACACGGGAGACACGGGGAGACACGAGGCGACACACGGGGAGACACGGGGAGACACGGGGAGACACGGGGAGAAAAACAGGGACATCAATGAGACAACACTTGCATGTCTGTGTCTCTGTGTGTGTCTATGTGTGTGTGACTGTGTGTGTCTATGTGTGTGTGTATGTGTGTGTGACTGTGTGTGTGTCTATGTGTGTGTCTGTGTGTGTGTACGTGTGTGTGTGTGTGTACGTGTGTGTGTACGTGTGTACACACACACGTGGTGGGGAGCGATAGTGTAGCGGTTAGCGCTACGCTGCGCTATGAACCTGGCGACCCGGGTTCGATTCCCGCTCACGGCCAACACCAGTGACGATTATCTGAACCGGTCCCGGGCCTCCCCTAGGTCTACTCAGCCTCAAATGAGTACCTGGTGCGGTGTGTAAACATCGCCACTAGGGAGACAAAGGCGGTCGGGCGTGGTGCTGGCCACCCACCCCCTCGTGTACCGTTCCGGCCTTCACAGGTGCTCGCTAACAGCACTTGCCCCTACAGTCTGTTAAGGCTACATGGGGGATCTTTGTATCTTTGTTGTGTACGTTTGTGTCTATATGTGTGTGTCTATGTGTGTGTGTCTATGTGTGTGTGTCTATGTGTGTGTCTGTGTGTGTCTATGTGTGTGTGTCTATGTGTGTGTGTCTATGTGTGTGTGTCTATGTGTGTGTGTCTATGTGTGTGTGTGACTGTGTGTGTGACTGTGTGTGTGACTGTGTGTGTGTCTATGTGTGTGTGACTGTGTGTGTGACTGTGTGTGTGTCTGTGTGTGTGTCTGTGTCTGTGTGTGTCTGTGTGTGTCTATGTGTCTGTACGTGTGTGTGTCTATGTGTGTGTCTATGTGTGTGTCTATGTGTGTGTACGTGTGTGTCTATGTGTGTGTGTCTATGTGTGTGTGTCTATGTGTGTGTACGTGTGTGTGTCTATGTGTGTGTGTCTATATGTGTGTACGTGTGTGTGATTATGTGTGTTTATTTGTGTGTGACTGTGTGTGTGTGTGTACGTGTGTGTGTCTATGTGTGTGTGACTGTGTGTGTGTCTATATGTGTGTGACTGTGTGTGTATGTGTGTGTGTGTCTATGCGTGACAGGTGCCTTCTATGACCTCCTGTCACAGGTGCTGGCTAAAGTGGCCCCTCTGGATAGAGTCATCTTGTTGGGTGACTTCAATGCCCGAGTTGGTCATGATGCTGGCACCTGGTCTGGAGTGATTGGAGGGCATGGGCCAGATCAGCTCAATAACAACGGTAGGAGGCTGCTAGATTTTTGTGCAGCCCATGGGCTTGTAATTACCAACACGCTGTTCCAGCATCGGCGCATCCACACAACATCATGGATGCATGCCAGGTCCAAGCAAGAACATCTGCTGGACTACATAGTGACGGATCAGCGGATGCGAGCCCATGTCCTTGACACCAGGACCTACCGTGGAGCTGATCTGTCCTCTGACCATCGACTAGTCATCTGTAAGATGCGCCTGCCATTATTCCACTCCGGTGGTGGGTGTACACCCAGGACCCCACTCCAACCTAAAGTGGCCTGGTCTCAGTTATCTGATGAAAGTTGCAAGCGAGAATTTCATCATCGCTTGCGGCTGGGATTGGCATCGTCCCCGACTCCTGATGTCGAGGGTAAATGGGCGAGGTTTAGGACTGTGACTCATGCAGCTGCAATGGCTGCTTTGGGTACGCGGTCCAGACCTCCCCAGAGACCCTGGCTGACAGAGGTGTTCAGAATGGTTGAGAAAAAGTGACAGGCCCACTGTCATCGGCTACAGAATCCCACGTCAGAGAATGAGGAGGCTTACCGCAGCCTTTGCTCGGAGGTTCGGAGAGCCGTGAGGCGCTGCAAGGATGGGTGGTGGTCGCGGGTTGCTGAGGAGATGGAGTTTGCCTCAGTGGCCCGTGATCACACATCTCTATTTAACTCCATCAAAAAAGTAACCTGCAGCGCCACACCTATTACCATCATTAGGGGGAAAAACGGTGATCCAATCTCCGACCCCCAAGAACAGGTTTGCAGATTTGCAGATTTGCTGAGCATTTCTGTGAGGTCCTGGGGGAGGGAAAATCCATCAGCCAGGAAAACATCGTGGCACAAAGTGAGGATGACCCTGCTGAGGCTGCGGTGCCTCAAATATTGGAAGAAGTCACCCCCTGTGAGTGGCTGGCTGAGGTGCCATCTGTTGAGGAAGTACTGAAGGCGATCCGGAGTCTGAGACCAGGAAAGGCAGCGGGCAGAGATGATCTCCCAAGCGAAATGCTGAGGGAGGGTGGCGTTTGTGCACAGACTGCCCTATATGACATCATAACAACGGTTTGGACCACTGGACGGGTTCCGCAGGATTGGAAGGATGCCCTGGTGGTTCCCCTTTTTAAGAAGGGGGACCGCACAGACTGTAACAACTACAGGGGCATCTCACTCCTCAGTGTGCCGGGAAAGGTCCTGGCAACGATTATTCAGCATCGCCTTGCCAGGCACGCTGAGGAGAGGCTTGCGGAGCCCCAATGCGGTTTCAGGAAAGGGCGGTCCTGCACAGATGCCATATTTTCTGTCCGTCTGCTACAGCAGAGGTGTAGGAAATTCCAACAAGACCTACATCTCTGCTTTATTGACCTGGTCAAGGCCTATGATACCATCAGTAGGCCTGGGCTCTGGGTCGTTCTTCGTGCTTTTGGAGTACCTGACCCTCTGCTCACGATCATTAAGGACCTTCATGATGGTGAGCGGGCCCGGGTAAAACTACGTGGCCGGGAGTCAGAGCCATTCCCTGTACACCTTGGGGTGCGACAGGGATGTCCTCTGGCTCCCACATTATTTAACATCTATTTTGACCACGTAGTTCGTGAAGCCTTCAATAGCTGTACCGGGGGAATCTCCATATGGTACAGATATAATGGGAGGCTGATCGATGCCCGGGTGCGGTCAAGGGATGGCTCCCTATTGCTCAACCATGTTATGTATGCTGATGATTTGGTAATAGCTGCTCAGTCAGAGGTGGAGTTGGAGACGCTGCTGCTGAGATTGGAGCGTGCCACTAAGAGGTGGGGCCTTACCATCAGCCCCACCAAAACTAAGCACCTGCCTGGGTATTTTGTACCATCGGACACTCCACCCCCACAACTCCCAATCGGTGATGGGGCAGTTGTGGAGAGAGTGGAGAGTTTCCCATACCTGGGCAGTGTGCTTATGACTGGCTCCAGTTTAACAGCAGAGGTCTCACTCCGAATCAGTCGAGCGGCAATATCTTTTCATCGGTTGCGTAACGCTGTGTGGAAGCTACCTGGTCTGTCGCTCCGCACTAAGCTTCAGGTCTTCTCGGCCACGGTCATTCCCTCCCTTCTCTACGCTTGCGAAACGTGGACCCCCCTAATGGAACATCTTCGCCGGTTAGAAACATTTAGGCTGGCCTGCCTACGATCCATCCTGGGTTTAACCAGACTGGATTGTGTGAGGAGCTCACAAATCCTTGAAAGATCTGGGCAAGGTCCCATCGGTGAGCTCCTCCGGCGGGCAAGGCTGCGATGGCTGGGTCATGTAGCCCGCATGCCCAGCCAACGCATGCCGAAACAGCTTTTGTTCGGCCAGATCGAGGGGGCTAAGCGGGCGCGGCACGGGCTAGAGAAGAGATGGAGTGATGTGGTACAGGAGAACGTGGAGCTGAGTAGACTTGCCGATGACTGGTACCAGCGGTGTCAAGATCGACCTCTGTGGAGGAGGCTCGTGAAGGATGCTACTGGGCAGTTGGAGGTAGTCGCCCTCCAATAACAACGGAGGGCGGAGGAGCGACGCTCACAACAACGAGCGGAGCGCCGGGTGGCTAAAGCACAGCAGGTTGGCACAGTAGGGGGCACAGGTGGTGCATCAGCCAGTCATCTCAGTCAGTCGACCCGTGGCACCTGGGTCTGCCCCGTGACCTCCTGCCAGCGGGCGTTCGACACTTCACGTGGCCTCAGGGTGCACATAGCCTGGCACAAGCGTCGTGGTGACGTCACCGCCACTTAGGGGCGAATGGCGGTTGTTGTTGTTGTTGTGTGTGTCTGTATGTGTGTGTGACTGTGTGTAGGTGTGTGTAAGTGTGTTTAGGTGTGTGTGGGGAGCGATAGTGTAGCGGTTAGCGCTACGCTGCGCTATGAACCTGGCGACCCGGGTTTGATTCCCACTCACGGCCAACACCAGTGACGATTATCTGAACCGGTCCCAGGCCTCCCCTAGGTCGACTCAGCCTCAAATGAGTACCTGGTGCGGTGTGTAAACATCGCCACTGGGGAGACAAAGGCGGTCGGGCGTGGTGTTGGCCACCCACCCTTCGCGTACCGTTCCGGCCTTCATAGGCGCTCGCTAACAGCACTTGCCCCTACAGTCTGTTACAGGCTATATGGGGGATCTTTGTCTTTTGTGTCTGTGTGTGTCTGTGTGTGTGTATGTGTGTGTGTATGTGTGTGTGTCTGTGTGTGTGTATGTTTGTGTGTATGTGTGTGTGTCAGTGTCTGTGTATGTGTGTGTCTGTGTGTGTGTCTGTGTGTGTATGTATGTGTGTATGTGTGTGTGTATGTGTGTGTGTATGTGTGTGTGTATGTGTGTGTGTCTGTGTGTGTGTGTATGTGTGTGTGTATGTGTGTGTGTCAGTGTCTGTGTATGTGTGTGTGTGTGTCTGTGTGTGTATATGTGTGTGTGCATGTGTGTGTGTATGTGTGTGTATGTGTGTGGCTGTGTGTGTCTGTGTGTGTGTCTGTGTGTGTGTGTATGTGTGTGTGTGTGTCTGTGTATGTGTGTGTATGTGTGTCTGTGTGTGTGTCTGTAGGGGTGTCTGTATGTGTGTCTGTGTATGTGTCTGTGTGTGTGTCTGTATGTGTGTCTGTATGTGTGTCTGTGTGTGTGTGTGCGTGTGTCTGTGTGTGTGTGTATGTGTGTCTGTGTGTGTGTCTGTGTGTATGTGTGTCTGTGTGTGTGTCTGTGTGTATGTCTCTGTGTGTGTCTGTGTGTGTGTCTGTATGTGTGTCTGTGTGTGTGTATGTGTGTGTGTGTCTGTGTATGTGTGTGTGTGTGTCTGTGTATGTGTGTGTGTGTGTCTGTGTGTGTGTCTGTGTGTGTATGTGTGTGTGTATGTGTGTGTGTCTGTGTGTGTGTATGTGTGTGTGTCTGTGTGTGTGTATGTGTGTGTGTCTGTGTGTGTCTGTATGTGTGTGTGTGTCTGTGTGTGTGTCTGTATGTGTGTGTGTGTCTGTGTGTGTGTCTGTGTGTGTGTGTGTCTGTGTGTGTGTATGTGTGTGTGTATGTGTCTGTGTGTGTGCGTGTGTCTGTGTCACCAGGAGATGTCCATGATTGATTTCTCAAAGAGGTCGTGGATGACGACCAGAGGCCGCTTCAGACACGTCAGCTGTGCCGGGGGAAAACAAGAGGGGAAGTATGGCTCACCACTCACCTACACACTCACCACTCACTCACCACTCACTCACCACTCACTCACCACTCACTCACCTACACACTCACCACTCACTCACCACTCACTCACCTACACACTCACCACTCACCTACACACTCACCACTCACCTACACACTCACCACTCACTCACCACTCACCTAAACACTCACTCACCTACACACTCACCTACACACTCACCACTCACCAATCACTCACCACTCACTCACCTACACACTCACCACTCACTCACCACTCACCACTCACTCACCACTCACTCACCTACACACTCACCACTCACTCACTCACTCACCACTCCCTCACCACTCACTCACCTACACACTCACCACTCACTCACCACTCACTCACCACTCACTCACCTACACACTCACCACTCACCTACACACTCACCACTCACTCACCACTCACTCACCACTCACTCACCACTCACCTACACACTCACCACTCACTCACCACTCACCTACACACTCACCTACACACTCACCTACACACTCACCAACACACTCACCACTCACTCACCTACACACTCACCTACACTCACCTACACACTCACCACTCACTCACCTACACACTCACCTACACACTCACCACTCACCTACACACTCACCACTCACCACTCACCTACACACTCACCACTCACCACTCACCTACACACTCACCACTCACTCACCTACACACTCACCTACACACTCACCACTCACTCACCACTCACTCACCACTCACTCACACACTCACCTACACACTCACCACTCACTCACCTACACACTCACCTACACACTCACCACTCACTCACCACTCACTCACCTACACACTCACTCACCTACACACTCAACACTCACTCACCACTCACTCACCTACACACTCACTCACCTACACACTCACCACTCACCTACACACTCACCACTCACTCACCACTCACCACTCACCTACACACTCACCACTCACTCACCACTCACCTACACACTGACCTACACACTCACCACTCACCTACACACTCACCACTCACCTACACACTCACCACTCACTCACCACTCACCTACACACTCACCACTCACCTACACACTCACCACTCACTCACCACTCACCACTCACCTACACACTCACCACTCACTCACCACTCACCACTCACTCACCTACACATACACACTCACTCACCAGTCACTCACCACTCACTCACCTACACATACACACTCACTCACCACTCACTCACCACTCACGTACACACTCACCACTCACCTACACACTCACCACTCACTCACCACTCACCTACACACTCACCACTCACTCACCACTCACTCACCACTCACCTACACACTCACCACTCACCTACACACTCACCACTCACTCACCACTCACCTACACACTCACCACTCACTCACCACTCACCTACACACTCACCACTCACCTACACACTCACCACTCACTCACCACTCACCTACACACTCACCACTCACCACTCACTCACCTACACACTCACCACTCACTCACCACTCACTCACCTACACACTCACCACTCACTCACCACTCACTCACCTACACACTCACCACTCACTCACCACTCACCTACACACTCACCACTCACCACTCACTCACCTACACACTCACCACTCACTCACCACTCACCTACACACTCACCACTCACCACTCACTCACCTACACACTCACCACTCACTCACCACTCACTCACCACTCACCTACACACTCACCTACACACTCACCACTCACCTACACACTCACCACTCACCTACACACTCACCACTCACTCACCACTCACCTAAACACTCACCACTCACTCACCACTCACTCACCTACACACTCACCACTCACTCACCACTCACTCACCTACACACTCACCACTCACTCACCACTCACCTACACACTCACCTACACACTCACCACTCACTCACCACTCACCTACACACTCACCTACACACTCACCACTCACCTACACACTCACCTACACACTCACCACTCACCTACACACTCACCACTCACTCACCTACACACTCACCACTCACCTACACACTCACCACTCACTCACCACTCACTCACCACTCACCTACACACTCACCACTCACTCACCACTCACCTACACACTCACCTACACACTCACCACTCACCTACACACTCACCACTCACCTACACACTCACCTACACACTCACCTACACACTCACCACTCACTCACCTACACACTCACCACTCACTCACCACTCACCTACACACTCACCACTCACTCACCACTCACTCACCTACACACTCACCACTCACCACTCACTCACCTACACACTCACCACTCACTCACCACTCACTCACCTACACACTCACCACTCACCTACACACTCACCTACACACTCACCACTCACCTACACACTCACCACTCACTCACCTACACACTCACCTACACACTCACCACTCACTCACCACTCACCTAAACACTCACCACTCACTCACCTACACACTCACCACTCACTCACCACTCACTCACCTACACACTCACCACTCACTCACCACTCACCTACACACTCACCTACACACTCACCACTCACCTACACACTCACCTACACACTCACCACTCACCTACACACTCACCACTCACTCACCTACACACTCACCACTCACCTACACACTCACCACTCACCTACACACTCACCACTCACTCACCACTCACCTACACACTCACCTACACACTCACCACTCACTCACCACTCACTCACCTACACACTCACCACTCACTCACCACTCACTCACCTACACACTCACCACTCACTCACCACTCACCTACACACTCACCTACACACTCACCACTCACCTACACACTCACCTACACACTCACCACTCACCTACACACTCACCACTCACTCACCTACACACTCACCACTCACCTACACACTCACCACTCACCTACACACTCACCACTCACTCACCTACACACTCACCACTCACCTACACACTCACCACTCACCACTCACTCACCACTCACCTACACCTCACCACTCACTCACCACTCACTCACCACTCACCTCACTCACCACTCACCTACACACTCACCTACACACTCACCACTCACCTACACACTCACCACTCACTCACCTACACACTCACCACTCACTCACCACTCACTCACCACTCACCTACACACTCACCACTCACTCACCTACACACTCACCACTCACCTACACACTCACCACTCACTCACCACTCACTCACCTACACACTCACCACTCACTCACCACTCACTCACCTACACACTCACCACTCACTCACCACTCACCTACACACTCACCTACACACTCACCACTCACTCACCACTCACTCACCTACACACTCACCACTCACTCACCACTCACTCACCTACACACTCACCACTCACTCACCACTCACCTACACACTCACCTACACACTCACCACTCACCTACACACTCACCTACACACTCACCACTCACCTACACACTCACCACTCACTCAACTACACACTCACCACTCACCTACACACTCACCACTCACCTACACACTCACCACTCACTCACCACTCACCTAAACACTCACCACTCACTCACCACTCACTCACCACTCACTCACCTACACACTCACCACTCACTCACCACTCACTCACCTACACACTCACCACTCACTCACCACTCACCTACACACTCACCTACACACTCACCACTCACCTACACACTCACCTACACACTCACCACTCACCTACACACTCACCACTCACTCACCTACACACTCACCACTCACCTACACACTCACCACTCACCTACACACTCACCACTCACTCACCACTCACCTACACACTCACCTACACACTCACCACTCACTCACCACTCACTCACCTACACACTCACCACTCACTCACCACTCACTCACCTACACACTCACCACTCACTCACCACTCACCTACACACTCACCTACACACTCACCACTCACCTACACACTCACCTACACACTCACCACTCACCTACACACTCACCACTCACCTACACACTCACCACTCACCTACACACTCACCACTCACTCACCTACACACTCACCACTCACCTACACACTCACCACTCACTCACCACTCACTCACCTACACACTCACCACTCACTCACCACTCACCTACACACTCACCTACACACTCACCACTCACCTACACACTCACCACTCACTCACCTACACACTCACCACTCACTCACCACTCACTCACCACTCACCTACACACTCACCACTCACTCACCTACACACTCACCACTCACCTACACACTCACCACTCACTCACCACTCACTCACCTACACACTCACTCACCTACACACTCACTCACCTACACACTCACCAACACACTCACCTACACAGTCACTCACCACTCACATACACACTCACCACTCACTCACCTACACACACACACTCACTCACCACTCACCTACACACTCACCACTCACTCACCTACACATACACACTCACCACTCACTCACCTACACACTCACCACTCACTCACCTACACACTCACCACTCACCACTCACCTACACACTAACCACTCACTCACCTACACACACACTCACCACTCACTCACCACTCACTCACCACTCACCTACACACTCACCACTCACTCACCACTCACCACTCACCTACACACTCACTCACCACTCACCTACACACCCACTCACCCACCCACCCATCCACTCACTCAACCACTCACCCACTCACCCATCCACTCACCCACTCACTCACTTACACACTCACCACTCACTCACCACTCACCTACACACTCACCTACACACTCACCACTCACCTACACACTCACCTACACACTCACCACTCACCTACACACTCACCACTCACTCACCTACACACTCACCACTCACCTACACACTCACCACTCACCTACACACTCACCACTCACTCACCTACACACTCACCACTCACCTACACACTCACCACTCACCACTCACTCACCACTCACTCACCTACACACTCACCACTCACTCACCACTCACCTACACACTCACCTACACACTCACCACTCACCTACACACTCACCACTCACTCACCTACACACTCACCACTCACTCACCACTCACTCACCACTCACCTACACACTCACCACTCACTCACCTACACACTCACCACTCACCTACACACTCACCACTCACTCACCACTCACTCACCTACACACTCACTCACCTACACACTCACCAACACACTCACCTACACAGTCACTCACCACTCACATACACACTCACCACTCACTCACCTACACATACACACTCACTCACCACTCACCTACACACTCACCACTCACTCACCTACACATACATACTCACCACTCACTCACCTACACACTCACCACTCACTCACCTACACACTCACCACTCACCTACACACTAACCACTCACTCACCTACACACACTCACCACTCACTCACCACTCACTCACCACTCACCTACACACTCACCACTCACTCACCACTCACCACTCACCTACACACTCACTCACCACTCACCTACACACCCACTCACCCACCCACCCATCCACTCACTCAACCACTCACCCACTCACCCATCCACTCACCCACTCACTCACTTACACACTCACCACTCACTCACCACTCACTCACCACTCACCTACACACTCACTCGCCTACACATTCACCACTCACTCACCCACCTACCCACCCACTCAACCACTCACCCACCCACTCACCCACCCACCCACTCACTCACCTACACATACACACTCACTCACCTACACATACACACTCACCACTCACCTACACACTCACCTACACACTCACCACTCACTCACCTACACATACACACTCACTCACCAGTCACTCACCACTCACTCACCCACACATACACACTCACTCACCACTCACTCACCACTCACCTACACACTCACTCACCTACACATACACACTCACTCACCACAGACTCACCACTCACCTACACACTCACCTACACACTCACCACTCACTCACCTACACATACACACTCACTCACCACTCACTCACCTACACATACACACTCACTCACCACTCACCTAAACACTCACCTACACACTCACCACTCACTCACCTACACACTCACTCACCACTCACTCACCACTCAACTACACACTCACCCATCCACCCACTCACTCACTCAACCACTCACCCACTCACTCACCCACCCACTCACCCACCCACCCACTCACCCACCCACTCACCCACTCACCTCACTCACTCACCCACTCACTCACCCACCCACCCACCCACTCAACAACTCACCCATCCACTCCCTCAACCACTCACCCACGCATTCACTCACTCACCCACACACCCACACACCCACCCACTCACCCACCCACTCACCTGCCCACCCACTCACTCACCCAACCACCCACTCACTGACCCACTCACCCACCCACTCACTGACCCAATCACCCACTCACTCACTCACCCACTCACCCACTCACCCACTCACTCAGCCACTCACTCACTCACCCAACCACCTACCCACTCACTCACCCACTCACCCACCCACTCACCCACTCACCCACCCACTCACCCTCACTCACTCACCCATTCACCCACTCACTCACTCACCCACTCACTCACCCACTCACTCACCCACCCACTCACCCACCCACTCACCCACTCACTCACCCACTCACTCCCCCACTCACTCCCCCACCCACCCACCCACTGACTCACTCACCCACTCACCCATTCACCCACCCACCCACTCACTCACCCACCCACCCACCCACTCAACCACTCACTGACCCACTCACACTCACCCACTCACACACTCACCCACTCACACACTCACTCACTCACCTACTCACTGACCCACTCACCCACTCACTGACCCACTCACTCACTCACCCACTCACTCACCCACCCACTCACCCACTCACTCACCCACCCACCCACTCACTCACCCACCCACCCACTCACCTACCCACCCACCCACTCACCCACCACTCACCCACTCACCCACCCACTCACCCACCCACCCACTCACCCACCTACTCACCCACCCACTCACCCACTCACTCACCCACTCACTCACTCACTCACCCACCCACCCACCCACTCACCCACCCACTGACCCACTCACACACTCACCCACTCACTCACTCACCCACCCACCCACCCACTCACCCACCCACCCACTCAACCACTCACTGACCCACTCACTCACCCACCCACCACTCACCCACCCACCCACTCACCCACCCACCCACCCACTCACCCACCCACCCACCCACTCACTCACTCACCCACCCACCCACCCACTCACCCACCCACCCACTCACCCACCCACCCACCCACTCACCCACCCACCCACTCACCCACCCACACACCCACTCACCCACCCACTCACTCACCCACCCACTCACTGACACACTCACCCACCCACCCACTCACCCACTCACTCACTCACCCACCCACCCACTCACCCACCCACCCACCCACTCACCCACACAGAGAGTGACCGGTCTTTGCTGCCGAGGGCACAGCAGCTGTAGGGCAGGCTGGGCCTCACCGAGTCTCCGTTCCTTACTGCCTTGTGGAAGATCTTGGGGTTAAACCTCTGAGTAGAGACAACGTCAACATCAACAACAACGTCAACAACAGCATCATCAACATCAGCATCATCATCAACATCAGCAGCAGCAGCATCATCATCAGCAGCAGCATCAACATCAGCATCAGCGGCAGGCCAGGCTGGGTATCACCAAGTCACCATCCCTCACTGCCTTGTTGAAGATCTTGGGGTTAAACCTCTAAGTGTGTGAGAGAGTGAGTGGGTGAGTGGGTGAGTGAGTGAGTGAGTGGGTGAGTGGGTGAGTGAGTGGGTGAGTGAGTGGGTGAGTGAGTGAGTGGGGGAGTGGGTGAGTGAGTGGGTGAGTGTGTGAGTGAGTGAGTGAGTGTGTGAGTGTGTGAGTGAGCGAGCAAGTGAGTGTGCGAGTGAGTGAGTTAGTGGGTGAGTGTGTGAGTAAGTGAGTTGGTGAGTGGGTGAGTGAGTGAGTGGGTGGGTGAGTGGGTGGGTGAGTGGGTGGGTGAGTGAGTGGGTGAGTGAGTGGGTGAGTGAGTGGGCGAGTGGGCTAGTGAGTGGGCTAGTGAGTGGGTGAGTGAGTGGGTGAGTGAGTAGGTGAGCGGGTGAGCGAGTAGGTGAGCGAGTGAGCGGGTGAGTGAGTGAGTGAGCGAGTGAGTGGGTGAGTGAGTGACTGAATGGGTGAGTGGGCGAGTGAGTCGGTGAGTGAGTGGGTGAGTGGGTGAGTGGGTGAGTAGGTGAGTGAGTGAGTGAGTGAGCGAGTGTGTGAGTAGGTGAGTGAGTGAGCGAGTGGGTGAGTGAGTGAGTGTGTGAGTGAGTGGGCGAGTGAGTGAGTGGGCTAGTGAGTGGGCTAGTGAGTGAGTGAGTCGGTGAGTAGGTGAGTGAGTGAGTGAGCGGGTGAGTGAGTGAGTGAGTGAGCGGGTGAGTGAGTGAGTGAATGAGTGAGTCGGTGAGTAGGTGAGTGAGTGAGTGAGTGGGTGAGTGAGTGAGTGAGTCGGTGAATGAGTGAGTAGGTGAGTGAGTGAGTGAGTGGGCGAGTGAGTGAGTGAGCGGGCGAGTGAGTGAGTCGGTGAGTGAGCGGGCGAGTGAGTGAGTGTGTGAGCTCACTCGCCCCTCGCTCACCACGGCGGTGACGGCCTTGCGATGTCCCACAAAGTCCATCCCGGCCCTCCACCCTCCACGTTCCACGATCTGGGCCGTGGGCCCGGCGTTGTTCATGGCATGAGCTGACACCACATAGTGTCCGTCCGGGGACCAGCCCAGCCGCAGGACGTGCGTGGTGCCTGCACACTGAGACACGCACACACAGTGACACACACACAGTGACACACACACAGTGACACACACAGTGACACACACAGTGACACACACAGTGACACACACAGTGACACACACAGTGACACGCACACAGTGACACACACTCACACAGTGACACACACACACAGTGACACACACACACAGTGACACACACAGCGACACAGTGACACACACAGCGACACGCACAGTGACACACATACACACACATACACACACATACACACACAGTGACACACACAGTGACACACACAGTGACACACACACAGTGACACACAGTGACACACACAGTGACACACACACAGTGACACACAGTGACACACACAGTGACACAGTGACACACACAGTAACACACACAGTGACACACACACACAGTGACACAGTGACACACACACAGTGACACAGTGACACACACAGTGACACACACACAGTGACACAGTAACACACACAGTGACACACACAGTGACACAGTGACACACACAGTAACACACACAGTGACACAGACACACAGTGACACAGTGACACACACACAGTGACACAGTGACACACACAGTGACACACACACAGTGACACAGTAACACACACAGTAACACACACAGTGACACACACACAGTGACACAGTAACACACACAGTAACACACACACAGTGACACACACATAGTGACACAGTAACACACAGTGACACACACAGTGACACACACACAGTGACACAGTGACACACACAGTGACACACACAGTGACACAGTGACACACACAGTGACACACACAGTGACACACACAGTAACACACACAGTAACACACACACAGTGACACACACACAGTGACACAGTAACACACACAGTAACACACACACAGTGACACACACATAGTGACACAGTAACACACAGTGACACACACAGTGACACACACACAGTGACACAGTGACACACACAGTGACACACACAGTGACACAGTGACACACACAGTGACACACACAGTGACACACACAGTAACACACACAGTGACACACACACAGTGACACAGTGACACACACAGTAACACACACAGTGACACACACACAGTGACACAGTGACACACACAGTGACACACACAGTGACACACACAGTCACACACACAGTGACACACACAGTGCCACAGTGACACACACAGTGACACAGTGACACACACACAGTGACACACACACAGTGACACACACAGTGTACACACACACACAGTGACACAGTGACACACACACACAGTAACACACACAGTGACACACACACAGTGACACACACAGTGACACACACAGTGACACACACAGTGACACAGTGACACACACACAGTGACACAGTGACACACACACAGTGACACACAGTGTACACACACAGTAACACACACAGTGACACACACACACACACAGTGACACAGTGACACACACACAGTAACACACACAGTGACACACACACACAGTGACACAGTGACACACACACACAGTAACACACACAGTGACACACACACACACAGTAACACACACAGTGACACACACACACACACAGTGACACACACTGACACACACAGTGACACACACACACAGTAACACACACATTGACACAGTGACACACACAGTGACACACACAGTGACACACACACACACACAGTGACACACACAGTGACACACACAGTGACACACACACAGTGACACACAGTGACACACACAGTGACACACACAGTGACACACACACAGTGACACACACACAGTGACACACACACAGTGACACACACAGTGACACACACAGTGACACACACACAGACACACACAGTAACACACACAGTGACACACACAGTGACACACACACACAGTGACACAGTGACACACACACAGTGACACAGTGACACACACAGTGACACACACACACAGTAACACACACAGTGACACACACACACACAGTGACACACACAGTGACACACACAGTGACACACACAGTGACACACACACAGTGACACACACACAGTGACACACACACAGTGACACAGTGACACACACACAGTGACACAGTGACACACACACAGTGACACACACAGTGACACACATAGTGACACACACACAGTAACACAGTGACACACACAGTGACACACACACAGTGACACACACAGTGACACACACACAGTGACACACACACACAGTGACACACACAGTGTACACACACAGTGACACACACAGTGACACACACAGTGACACACACAGTGACACAGTAACACACAGTGACACACACAGTGACACACACAGTGACACAGTGACACACACACACAGTGACACACACAGTGACACACACAGTGACACACACACAGTGACACACACAGTAACACAGAGACCTCACGGAAGGGCTCCGATATGCAGGTCTCCTGCTGCCAGTCCCGGGTCCTCCACAGTGACACACACAGTGACACACACAGTGACACACACAGTGACACACACAGTGACACACAGCGACACACAGTGACACACACACAGTGACACACACACAGTGACACACACACAGTGACACACACAGTGACAGAGACCTCACGGAAGGGCTCCGATATGCAGGTCTCCTGCTGCCAGTCCCGGGTCCTCCAGTGACACGCACAGTGACACACACACAGTGACACACACACACAGTGACACACACACAGTGACACACACACAGTAACACACACACACAGTGACACACAGTGACACACACAGTGACACACACACAGTAACACACACACAGTGACACACACAGTGACACACACAGTGACACACACACACAGTGACACACACAGTGACACACACAGTGACACACACACACACAGTGACACACACAGTGACACACACACAGTAACACACACAGTGACACACACACACAGTAACACACACAGTGACACACACAGTGACACACACAGTGACACACAGTGACACACACACAGTGACACACACACACAGTGACACACACAGTGACACACACACAGTAACACACACAGTGACACACACACACAGTAACACACACATTGACACAGTGACACACACACAGTGACACACACACACAGTGACACAGTAACACACACAGTGACACACACACAGTGACACACACAGTGACACACACACACAGTGACACACACACACAGTGACACACACACAGTGACACACACACACAGTGACACACACACAGTGACACACACACACACAGTGACACACAGTGACACACACAGTGACACACACACAGTAACACACACACAGTGACACACACAGTGACACACACACAGTAACACACACAGTGACACACACAGTGACACACACAGTGACACACACACACAGAGTGACACACACACAGAGTGACACACACAGTGACACACACAGTAACACACACAGTAACACACAGTGACACACACAGTGACAGAGACCTCACGGAAGGGCTCCGATATGCAGGTCTCCTGCTGCCAGTCCCGGGTCCTCCACAGTGACACACACAGTGACACACACACAGTGACACACACAGTGACACACACACAGTGACACACACAGTGACACACACACACAGTGACACACACAGTGACACACACACAGTGACACACACAGTGACACACACAGTGACACACACAGTGACACAGTGACACACAGTGACACACACAGTGACACAGTGACACACACACACAGTGACACACACAGTGACACACACACAGTGACACACACACACAGTGACACACACACAGTGACACACACACAGTGACACAGACACACAGTGACACACACACAGTGACACACACAGTAACACACACAGTGACACACACAGTGACACACACACAGTAACACACACACAGTGACACACACAGTGACACACACAGTGACACACACACAGTGACACACACACACACAGTGACACACACAGTGACACAAACACAGTGACACACACAGTGACACACACACACACAGTGACACACACAGTGACACACAGTGACACACACAGTGACACACACAGTGACACACACACAGTGACACACACACACAGTGACACACACAGTGACACACACAGTGACACACACAGTGACACACACAGTGACACACACAGTGACAGAGACCTCACGGAAGGGCTCCGATATGCAGGTCTCCTGCTGCCAGTCCCGGGTCCTCCACAGTGACACACACAGTGACACACACACACAGTGACACACACAGTGACACACACAGTGACACACACACAGTGACACACACACAGTGACACACACAGTGACACACACAGTGACACACACACACAGTGACACACACACACAGTGACACACACAGTGACACACACACACAGTGACACAGTGACACACACAGTGACACACACAGTGACACACACACACAGTGACACACACAGTGACACACACAGTGACACACACACAGTGACACACACACAGTGACACACACACACAGTGACACACACACAGTGACACACACACAGTAACACACACAGTGACACACACAGTGACACACACAGTGACACACACAGTAACACACACACAGTGACACACACAGTGACACACACACACAGTGATACACACACAGTGACACACACACAGTGACACACACAGTGACACACACACACACACACAGTGACACACACAGTGACACAAACACAGTGACACACACAGTGACACACACACAGTGACACACACAGTGACACACAGTGACACACACACAGTGACACACACACAGTGACACACACACACACAGTGACACACACAGTGACACACACACAGTGACACACACACAGTGACACACACACAGTGACACACACACAGTGACACACACACACACAGTGACACACACAGTGACACACACAGTGACAGAGACCTCACGGAAGGGCTCCGATATGCAGGTCTCCTGCTGCCAGTCCCGGGTCCTCCACAGTGACACACACAGTGACACAGTGACACACACACACAGTGACACACACAGTGACACACACACAGTGACACACACACAGTGACACACACAGTGACACACAGTGACACACACAGTGACACACACACAGTGACACACACAGTGACACACACACAGTGACACACACACGGTGACACACACAGTGACACACACAGTGACACAGTGACAGAGACCTCACGGAAGGGCTCCGATATGCAGGTCTCCTGCTGCCAGTCCCGGGTCCTCCACAGTGACACACACACAGTGACACACACAGTGACACACACACAGTGACACACACAGTGACACACACAGTGACACAGTGACACACACAGTGACACACACACAGTGACACACACACAGTGACACACACAGTGACACACACAGTGACACAGTAACACACAGTGACACACACACAGTGACACATACAGTGACACAGTAACAGTGACACAGTAACACACAGTGACACACACACAGTGACACACACAGTAACACAGTAACACAGAGACCTCACGGAAGGGCTCCGATATGCAGGTCTCCTGCTGCCAGTCCCGGGTCCTCCACAGTGACACACACACAGTGACACACACAGTGACACACACAGTGACACACACAGTAACACAGTGACACACAGTGACACACACACAGTGACACACACAGTGACACACACACACAGTGACACACACACACACAGTGACACACACAGTGACACACACACAGTGACACACACAGTGACAGAGACCTCACGGAAGGGCTCCGATATGCAGGTCTCCTGCTGCCAGTCCCGGGTCCTCCACAGTGACACACACACAGTGACACACACAGTAACACACACACAGTGACACACACACACAGTGACACACACAGTGACACACACAGTGACACACACAGTGACACACACACAGTGACACACACACACAGTGACACACACAGTGACACACACAGTGACACACACACACAGTGACACACACAGTGACACACACACACAGTGATACACGCAGTGACACACACACACAGTGACACACACAGTGACACACACAGTGACACACACAGTGACACACACACAGTGACACACACACAGTGACACACACAGTGACACACACAGTGACAGAGACCTCACGGAAGGGCTCCGATATGCAGGTCTCCTGCTGCCAGTCCCGGGTCCTCCAGACGATGAGCGTGCGGTCATCGGCCTGCGATGCGACGTAGGAGCCAACGGGATCCCACGTGACCCCTTTGACAAGACCGGCGTGGCCACGCAGCACAGACACCACCTCTACAGAGACACGGGGACACGGGGAGACACAGAGACACGGGGAGACACAGAGACACGGGGTGAGAGACACGTAGGAGCCAACGGGATCCCACGTGACCCCCTTCACGAGACCGGCGTGGCCTCGTAGCACAGACACCACCTCTACAGAGACACGGGGAGACACAGAGACACGGGCAGACACAGAGACACAGAGACACGGGGTGACACACAGAGACACGTAGGAGCCAACGGGGTCCCACGTGACCCCTTTGACGAGACCGGCGTGGCCACGCAGCACAGACACCACCTCTACGGAGACACGGAGACACGGGGAGACACGGTGAGACACGGGGAGACACAGGGAGACACCGGGTGACACGGGGAGACACGGGGAGACATGGGGAGACACGGAGACACGGGGTGAGAGACACGGTGAGAGACACGGGGTGAGAGACACGGGGTGAGAGACACGTAGGAGCCAACGGTGTGAGAGACACGGTGTGAGAGACACGGTGTGAGAGACACGGGGTGAGAGACACGGGGTGAGAGACACGGGGTGAGAGACACGGGGTGAGAGACGCGGGGTGAGAGACGCGGGGAGACACAGAGACACGGGGTGAGAGACACGGGGGGAGAGACATGGTGTGAGAGACACGGGGTGAGAGACACGGGGTGAGAGACACGGGGTGAGAGACGCGGGGTGAGAGGCGCGGGGAGACACAGAGACACGGGGTGAGAGACACGGGGTGAGAGACACGGTGTGAGAGACACGGGGTGAGAGACACGGGGTGAGAGACACGGGGTGAGAGACACGGGGTGAGAGACACGGGGTGAGAGACACGGGGTGAGAGACACGGGGTGAGAGACACAGGGTGAGAGACACGGGGTGAGAGACACGGGGTGAGAGACACGGGGTGAGAGACACGGGGTGAGAGACACGGGGTGAGAGACACGGGGTGAGAGACGCGGGGTGAGAGACGCGGGGAGACACAGAGACACGGGGTGAGAGACACGGGGTGAGAGACACGGGGTGAGAGACACAGGGTGAGAGACACGGGGTGAGAGACACGGGGTGAGAGACACGGGGTGAGAGACACGGGGTGAGAGACACGGGGTGAGAGACGCGGGGAGACACAGAGACACGGGGTGAGAGACACGGGGTGAGAGACACGGTGTGAGCGACACGGGGTGAGAGACACGGGGTGAGAGACACGGGGTGAGAGACCCGGGGTGAGAGACACGGTGAGAGACACGGGGTGAGAGACCCGGGGTGAGAGACACGGGGTGAGAGACACGGGGTGAGAGACACGGGGTGAGAGACGCGGGGTGAGAGACACGGGGTGAGAGACACGGTGTGAGAGACACGGGGTGAGAGACACGGGTGAGAGACACGGGGTGAGAGAGACGGGGTGAGAGACACGGGGTGAGAGACACGGTGAGAGATACGGGGTGAGAGGCACGGGGTGAGAGACACGGGGTGAGAGACACGGGGTGAGAGACACGGGGTGAGAGACACGGGGTGAGAGACACGGGGTGAGAGACGCGGGGTGAGAGGCGCGGGGAGACACAGAGACACGGGGTGAGAGACACGGGGTGAGAGACACGGTGTGAGAGACACGGGGTGAGAGACACGGGGTGAGAGCCACGGGGTGAGAGACACGGGGTGAGAGACACGGGGTGAGAGAGACGGGGTGAGAGACACGGGGTGAGAGACACAGGGTGAGAGACACGGGGTGAGAGACACGGGGTGAGAGACGCGGGGTGAGAGACGCGGGGAGACACAGAGCCACGGGGTGAGCGACACGGGGGGAGAGACATGGTGTGAGAGACACGGGGTGAGAGACACGGAGTGAGAGACACGGGGTGAGAGACACGGGGTGAGAGACACGGGGTGAGAGACACGGTGAGACACGGGGTGAGAGACACGGGGTGAGAGACACGGGGTGAGAGACACGGGGTGAGAGACACGGGGTGAGGGACACGGGGTGAGAGACACGGGGAGACACGGGGTGAGAGACACGGGGAGACACAGAGACACGGGGTGAGAGACACGGGGTGAGAGACACGGGGTGAGAGACACGGGGTGAGAGACACGGGGTGAGAGACGCGGGGTGAGAGACGCGGGGAGACACAGAGACACGGGGTGAGAGACACGGGGTGAGAGACACGGGGTGAGAGACAGAGGGTGAGAGACACGGGGTGAGAGACCCGGGGTGAGAGACACGGTGTGAGAGACACGGGGTGAGAGACACGGGGTGAGAGACGCGGGGTGAGAGACACGGGGTGAGAGACACGGTGTGAGAGACACGGGGTGAGAGACACGGGTGAGAGACACGGGGTGAGAGACACGGGGTGAGAGACACGGGGTGAGAGACACGGTGAGAGATACGGGGTGAGAGGCACGGGGTGAGAGACACGGGGTGAGAGACACGGGGTGAGAGACACGGGGTGAGAGACACGGGGTGAGAGACACGGGGTGAGAGACGCGGGGTGAGAGGCGCGGGGAGACACAGAGACACGGGGTGAGAGACACGGGGTGAGAGACACGGTGTGAGAGACACGGGGTGAGAGACACGGGGTGAGAGCCACGGGGTGAGAGACACGGGGTGAGAGACACGGGGTGAGAGACACGGGGTGAGAGACACGGGGTGAGAGACACAGGGTGAGAGACACGGGGTGAGAGACACGGGGTGAGAGACGCGGGGTGAGAGACGCGGGGAGACACAGAGACACG